TGCTCAAAATTTTGTATAACCGCCCTTTGCTTTGATGACTGCTTCTATACGTTGAGGCATGCTGCTATAGTATGCCTCCATGTCACCTTTGCGAAATTTGTACCATTCTTTTTCGACCCTTGACCACAATTCGTCCAGATTTTTTGGTTTTGTATCATATCCAGCTAGCCTGCACTTTAACTGTTTCCAAAGATGCTCTATTGGGTTCAAGTCGGGACTGTTAGGTGGCCAGTCAGCAATAAAGTGGACTTTGTGGGCTTTAAGCCAAGAAATGGTAGCCTTTGCTTTGTGTTTTGGGTCGTTGTCTTGTTGAAAGATAGTTTTTTGTGGATCCATACTATAATACTCCAATGTATCTAGGTATGACGACCCTAGAATCTCCAAATAGCAATCGGTATCCATTGTCTTTTGAAGCACTCGAGAGGCATATCCTACTCCGGAAGATGTCATGCACCCCCACATCATCAGAGAGCCACCTCCATGCTTGAGCAATAGCTTGTAGTTATGGGGCCTCGCTTTAAACCCTTGCTGTAACCAAGTGTATGTTGCACCATCTGATCCCCAAAGATTGACCTTCGTCTCGTCGGTAAAAACGACACTCTTCCACTCATTTGCGGACCAGTTACGATATTTTAAGGCCCATTTGTATCTCTTCGAAAGCTAAGAAACTCTCAAAAAAAATTTCTTCTACTTAAGCTTTGAGTATAATCCTACCCTTTTCATCAGAGAGACTGTTCCACTATACGTCAAAGCAATACCCTGTCCAGACAATCAAGTTTGGACTTCTTTGACATTCTTCAATGCTCCAGTTCGGATTTTTATTCGTAGCAAACAAGCCGTAAGATGACCTACTCTTGATGGTCTACCGGTACCAGTGCAAGTTTTCATTTCTGGCAACTCTTTTCTAATACGAGAAACTGTTGATTTGGCAACACCTGTTAGTTTTGAGACCTGACGAATCGATTTGCCAGATAAAAGTGCAGATTTGACATTGTTTCGTTTATCGTATGGGAGGCTGTAAGGTGTGGTGATCTGAGCACTTTCAATACAAAATATAATAAATAATCTTTCATCATATAAATGAATAATCACTTATAGCACTATACATTATAAATATAAAGTAAGCACTGTATAATGACAGTAAATAACGGTAACTGGGATAATATGGATTGTGATGTTTTGATAATAGAGTTATATAATAAGATGATATAGAGACAAAGGTAGATACTTTGAGACTGTTCTATACAATTTTATTGTTGTCCCTTTTGATTATAAATTATTCTAGCATATTTATACATGAAGAGATGTCGGAGTAAGTAGTAGTAGAGTTCATGCAAATGACTGAGTCTCTATTATCATAGACTACTTTAAATTAATTAAATAATATAAATTATGGATTTCGGTTATAAGTCTTGATCTATTAAAAGATCCATTGTCTTATTCAGTACAAGAGGTTCTTTTATGTCTATTTCTGATGTAAATTGATTATGATGTATTTTAGTATGTAAATGAAGACTTATTTAATGTCAGATCATCACATGGATATTTACAAATAAGGAAACCATAATTGTACCTTTTGGGTAACAAGGAGAATTAAAGGAGAATTTATATAATCAATTCCCAGGCACACGTTGTCAAGGTGTTAAGTAATCAATAATCAGTAATCATAATTAGTCAATAAATCAGGTAGTATAAAAGACACCCTGGAAAAGATATATTTTAGACCAATTAATTTATTTTGTAGTAAAGAAGTACTGAACAGTCTCACTGTATTTCTTTGTTTTCTTTCTATCTTCTATTATATCTTCATTCACAACCCAAACATCACATAAGGCATGATAATAAGGAGAAAAGGTATGTATATAGAATGAAGAAAAGAGAATTTTTTTCTGAGAAGCTTGCCGTATCTATATGTAGTTGGGTAGGTTGTGCTAGGATTTGCCGAAGAATGTGGAAAACGCACGATTGAGAATGCTTATTCTCCGAAGAAAATAAGGTATTCAGGTTTTGCAGGAAATTTTTTTGAAAACGCTACGTCATTTTTTACCTAAGTTGTCCAAAAATGGTATCTCTTACTAATTAGGGAAATTGAAGTAACCAGCAAAAAAATGTGCTTTTTCTGATACTAACACAAGGTCAATACGACGAAAATATATTAATTTATGCTTATAAAGGAGTTTTATGGGACACTTAATGTAACCACTGTAAGTCAGATGTGGGGACCGCTGAAAATAGATGCATTTGCGACGAGAACAAATACAAAACTGCCGATATTTTGGAGCATTCTCCCGGATCCGGATGCGACAGCCAATGATGCTTTTCAACAAATCTGGCCCAAAAAGGGACTGTATCTTTTCCCCCCGTGGAAATGGATACCCCAAGTACTTCGGAAGATAAAACAACAGCGGATACAACAAGCAGTTCTGATAACACCTTTTTGGCCAACCCAGTATTGGTTTCCAACCTTGTTGAGGATGAAGCACAAATCACTACCAGTCAACTTCAAGATCAACAGATGGACGATGACCGCATGGTAATTATCAGGGGCAAGAGGAAATTCACTACTTCATTGGATGAACAAACCTTGGAATTTTTCACTTTAGCACACAGGTCGGCTACGCATAGAATATACAACAATAATTGGAAAAAATGGATTCAATGGTGTAAAGAAGAAAATCAATTACAACCACCAACAGACTATGACGCTTTACGTGTATTACGATTTCTAATGGCAAACAAGACTTACTCGTATCAATATTTGAATGGATTACGATCTGCGATAGCCTCGGTATACAAGACACTTCATCCAGATAAAACACCTCTTGCTGAACAAGACTGCATTATTGACTTTTTTAAATCAAAAAGAAAATCCGAAGTTACTGTCCCAAAACAACATCAGTTACAAACCTGGGACACATCAAAGGTAGTAGAATATATTCAAGGTGAATGGCCCAAGGGAAAAGAAATCTCCATCTATGATTTACAATTGAAGACGATAACACTTCTATGTCTCTCTACTATGGCTAGACCAAGATCAGATATTGAACGACTACAATACCGAGACATCCATTTCGAATTTGAAGATAAACAGCCAATTTCAGTTATGATTCATTTTTGAGAAGCGAAGGAAACGCAGATAAAAACAACAGTGTTGTGAACATATATGAACTCATATGCATAGATCAATACATGATGACCATGGCAAAAGACCAGATCACATCTATGGCAATTGCAATGGATCTATAGTCACTGACATTCACTCATTCTACTAGAAGTACTACATCATCCTCATAGTCAGAGATTATGAGCCCAGTGACTCTGTTATTACTAATGGCCCTCATAAAGTGACAGTTAGAGCTGACAAATACATTGGCATTGGCATTTGACAAATATGTAATAGTTTATTCAAGTTCAGGTCAGATCATGTACTATTGGCTGAGCTGACAACTTCCTCTAAAGGCATTTCTCTTAATTGCTCCTGATCTAACAAATCAATCCGTAGTCAAGAAGCTAACCCAAAACAATATTTTGACCGAGAAGAAAAAGTATAAATACCTCGACATTTTATAGCAATTGAAAGATAACATTTCTTGGAGAAATAAAAACCTATACAAGTTCTAACGGACTTTCTCTGTGTTCTTACCTTTTCTCTTATTGAATACCTACTCTCTCTTCATCTCACAACAATCCCCTTAAGGTCTGACGTAAATTGACGAGACGCACAGCATGTGATTGGTAGATGTTGAAGTTAGGCTCTGATTTTATGTGAAAGAGTCATGAGACAAGCTTTTTGACCATTTGCCATGCCTCATCAGTAAACAAAAATCAAGACTCAATCACGACTTGCAAGTCAAGTCAGTTTTAGACTTGACTTAATTGTTTCAGACCTAACTTAACTTATTTGATTGCAAACAAGTCTTTAGTAGATCGAGCCAGCTAATTACGGAGAAAAGAAGTCTCCTATCAACCAAACATGTCAAGAAAATGATACTGACCATCTAATGGTCAAAGCAGTTGTAGTAGTCATTATTTGTTCCGTTTTTTCTTTATCTTTTCTTATCTTTTAACTTCTTATTCATCTTTTTTTAAGCTTTTATTGTTTTGTGGATATTACTTTTTTCTTCGTATTATCTATAAATTAAATGAACTCATTGATGCTTGTAATCCAGTGCTTTACTATTCTGTAAGCTCATTTGCTGTACCTGTATTCTCTAATGAAGACAGTAAATGGGAGGCATAGCTGGATGGAAAAAGAATTCCAGGTATCATGAAAGCTTACAAGCCTGAAACAATCAAGCCAAGTCGAGCCAAACCTGAGACAAATTAAGCGGTTTTAGGCTTGATTGTTTCAGGTTTGAGCTATTTAGCTTGATTGCGAACACTAGTTCAGAGATCAGATAAGGAGAAGAGTATATAAACACATCGTTTTAAGAGAAACAAAGTTTACAGTTTATTCAGTCTCGTCCTTTTTACGTTACCTGTATAAATACAACACATCGGTTGAATTCGTCCAATTTGAATCAGGCCAATTTACTTGATTCCGATCTTGTTTAACTGATATTGATTGAGTATACCCGCTCACCACTAAGCTTCACCTGACATCAATTAAACTCAGCAAAATCAGGCCTTTTACCTGAACGCTGGGTCATCGGTGGCTGGAAGAAGCTATACTTTACTTATGAGATACAGCTAAGCAAGATTCATATAGTATGCAAGAAAGCTAAGCTAAACGAGGAAAGCGCTTCGTTTCATTGAATCCATCTATGTTAATCCTTGGGCAATCGTGCTACCTGTATAGAATCAATGACGATAGAAGATCAAAGAATGATTGCTCATGACGTTGTCTCGTACAAATTATTAGATAACATGTATGTAGTGAGCGTTTAACAGTGTTGTTTTCCCTTGGCTCCTTTTATGCATCACTCTAATTGAGATGATGCCCTCTTGTTTGCAGATCCAATGAGTCTCAATATAACTGCAAATGTTCAATGTAGTTTATTTTAAAGCGCTTTTGTCTCTTTACAGGTATCTGAAAGGTTCTTGTTTTTCTTTTCATGCAGAATTTTCTATATATGCGAATAAGTTCACAAGTACTATCTTATATCTCAATTACCTCCAAATGATCTGAGTCAACAAAACTGGGTACGATAGTTTCTGTAGGTGTGGCCACCTTAGCTATTGATCTTTGGCCTTCTTCAAAAGTAGCACCTAGATTTTTTAATGCGGCCATACGCTCAGCACCTGTTGGCATAGGCGTAATGGCTTCATCACTGCTTAATGCACTTAAAGAATTCGATTGACGTCTTTCAAGTAAAGAGGAGCTGCTGCTAGTTGCTGATTTTCTTTTTTCCGACAATTGATGTTCACGTTGAATTTGCTTCAAATCGCCTGATTCGGCTTCGTAATTGTGCTTGTCCATCGCGATAAAAGAAAAGAAAGAGAGCGATGAAGTTGCGCTAAGCAAGTCTTTAGCAAAAAAAAAAAAAAAATACGTCATAGAATGACATAGGATATACTTCAAGATCGTCATTGGATAAAGTGAGATGATATCAATTTAATTGCCGCTCTGTTTATTTCGAATGAACTAGAAGAAAAAAATGGCCAAATAAAGCTGTAGAACGAATCATGGTGCAGCAGAATAAATTAAAAGAGGGTATCACACGACATTAGTTTATATCTAAAAGAATAACGACAAACATGGCTATTAAGACAGCCAAAATACATGTAGATCCAAATACAACAGCACCTCGACTGGCGGGGAATTGTCCTTTTGTCATTGCAACCTGCGTATGAAAGTATCTGGCATTTGCAAAATAGAGAAAAACAATACTAAACACGACAAATGCGCTGCCCAATGCTTTTCCTGCTTTTGCATGTCCTACTGTATTGCCTGTAGCAGGAGCAAGATGATACAATTGAGTGATAGCTTTTCCAATTCATATGTTAGCCAACCAAGACAAAGCGATTACCATAACTTACCAACACCTACTGTAATCAAAGACAAGGAGGTTCTTAACCATGCAAGAAACGTTCGTTCATTGGCTTTAATATAAGCATAAGTTGGATTGTCTCATGTATGCTGAATTGTTTACCTAAATGATCTCTGGCTACTGCAGCTTTGTTTTCTAGCATAAATGAAGTTGAAAATCTAGAATAAAATCGATTTAAAAACTCGTATGGGCCTTCTTGATGTTTTTTAGTTGCTTCTTGTTTTTGAAACTGCTGTCTCATAGATTCTTTTTCTTCTCGAGTCTTTGTTCGAACAAGGAAAGGTGGATTGAAAGGTTGAGCATGATCATCATTCTCATTCACGGCAGTTACTTCAGTGGATGGATTCATATATATAAGTATATATAAAATTAGAAAAAGAAAAAAAGGGAGAATAGTTTAACTGCCTTGGTTTTTATAAGAAGGGGTGGCCGTCCTATCGGCAAACATTATTGGTTATTTGAATACAAAAACTGACGTCACATAAAATGGTTGGTTATCTATCTTATAAGAAAGGAAGAAAGGAAGAAAGGAAGAAGAAAGAAGAAGAAAGAAAATAAAAAAGCTAAATTCCTTTGCCTTTTATACCTTTTGCCCTCTTTATTTTCGTATGCCATATCACATCATCTCTTTCGTTTTTTATTCGCTCACGCTTTTAAGACGGTCTTTGAATTGATTGTGATAAACACAGCTTCTGTTCAATTGAAGTATATCTACACTTATTGAAAAAAAAAAAGGAAAAATTGAATACTAGAAACGAAGCAGAGCATAAAATATATGAATAATATTTACATTCGATTATTAAAAAGAGCAGAGAATAGAAGGGTAACAGACATGAACCATTCTATGTGAAATATTGATACGGATACGAAATATTGATGTGTCTGTATCAATAGGCGTAATGCTACTGGCATAATTGTGTAAAGTCATTCATTAAAGCTCAAGTTTAATCAACTCTTGTCTTGAGAAATAACAAAGAGTAGGTTGTTTGTTTGTTTTTTTCTTTTTTTGCGTTATACTATCTTTCAATTACATTCATACTACTACACAGTATGATTAACCAATATCAAGCTGCCGTTGATGCCAAAGGCTGTACCATTAAGTACTGGTTTTTTTCTACTTCTATTATCTCGAAATAAACATCTCAACAAATCTTCAACAAAAAACTGAGTGCGTTTAAGTATCATCTTGGCATATGAAAGGGCTCTTGTTGGATCATGATACCTTTGATGTTGATTTCGAATGACAAAAAAACTGGGCTAATTTTTATTTCAGGACAGTGTACAATGTTTACACTACATTGTCAACGCCAGTACCACCGAGAATTCTATGCAGCAGTTAGCTGTATAATGTACTTAGTCACTCATAGTTTACCTTGAACTAGCAAATGCTTGTCCACTGAAAGCAGCAATGCCTATTAAGCCCCTTTAAAATCATGCTTTGTCTTTTATATATACATATCTATATACATACCATAACAAATAGCAGCAAGTAAAAGAGACACACCACAAGCAATAAGTGGTCCAACATTAAGTAAATTGGATAAGAACATAACGACAGCAAACCTAGTATATGTGTTATTTAAGCAAAATGCATGTATTAGTTACTTACACCAAGTACATGGCAGCACGGAAATAACAGTTTTCAAAGTAGGCAATAAAACTATCACTGTTTCAAAAAAGGTAAGATAACTTGTTATAAGAAGCTTGGATTTTACAATTTAGGACTCGTTGGACAGAACTAGCGATGCTGTTAGTATGGTGCCATTGTATCCGTACATTACCTTTAAACACAATGGAATTTCTACGACTACAAGAATAAAAGCAATGACCCTGTCATCATAAGTATCTGTCTTTCACGCGTTCTTCTTACCATCCCACAATACTGAAAACAACATGACTCAAAAATCCAACAATACCCAGCGCAATTAACACTAGCCACAATGAGCCTTTATTCATTCTATCGCATCTTTATACTTACAAATGATGGATATAATACCAAGCCTATGTATGTTATTTACAAAGAGTCTCTATAGCATACTTACCATTGGCCATAAAGAGAAAAGTTTCGAGATTTAACTTCGTCAAAGACACCCATATTAAAGCAACTGGACAAAAAAATAAAAAAAAAAGAAAATGGATAAAAGGGATGATGATATAAATAATTGTTTGCTGGCTCTTTTTTATTGTTACACAATGCAATCATCATTGAAAACTAGCCGAGCTTTTTTTCTTGATTGCTCAGCAGTGTTTAAGCCAAGACTTTAAATGTGTCAAAAGTAAATGACATCATCAGTTGATATTACCCTTTTAATTGAAAGACTCGTAATTTAGTTCTGTAAAGCAAAGCATTTTGAGCATATATTAAAACAAAAACAAATGAAAAGAGGTATGTGTTTATAACGATCCTTGACATTTATCAAGTTGTCTATTTTGCATGAAATATGGACAATCAATGAGAAATTACCTACATTTCATATGAATTTTGAGTTTATTAACATTAAACATGATCCTTTTCGCTTGGGTCTTTCAGATGTCGAGGAAACATGGGGCTTTTAGGTGTATTTTGAGCATTTTGAGCATTTGTCACAGCCAGATGTAAAGAAGAAGCACTGCTATCTCGCCACCTACTACTATTGTAATCCATTGTATCATTAAATCCAACCCATTGCACAGACGATACTGATTTGGCACTAAGTGAGGTACGTGAATTTAGATTATGTGGTTTAAATCTTGGTGTGTTGGGTGTATCAGGCTGTAGGAAACGAGAGGATCGAAGGGCAAATAGACTTGACCGTCTTCTCTCTTTTGTTTGGGTACTGGATGAAAACAGGTTGAGTGTAAGTTTTTTGAGACTAGGATTAGATTCATCCACTGCGATTTTAGGTATAAATGGATTGGTAGTAACTGTACTCGATAAATGAGGAGGGTCGTCCGTCTTTGAAAAGCAAAATTCAGCACCCAGTGAGACAGTACTGATGCGATTCTTTGTGAATTGGTTTTGTTGTGCTAGTTCAGGAAGGCTCAAGAGATGACCATACTGTGCTACTTGTTCTAATGTAGGCGTCTCTTTTTCCATAACAGAAGAAGGTTGACTAAATCGAGTAGCTCGGCTGGTTAGTGTTTTTCTTTGTCGAGTCTTTCTTTTCCAGATAAACAAGATAATCCCAATAGCCACTAGACAAGGTATCGCAACCACAATGCCTATAATAATGCCAGTAGGCACCTGTTGTTGGTTTAGGCCTAGTTCTTGTCGACGCACGAGATGATTCGTTTTTCTGATCCATGCTAGATTGGTTACGTTTAGATAAATGGGCGCCAATGAATCAAGGCTCTGTTTGCCACTGTCATACAAGACAAGATCATGATCTATGTTGATGCCAATGTGTCCTGCTCGTTTATAGTGGCCACTGAGATCCTTTGATTTCTGCCAAGTCATATTGAAAGGTGTGTGGATGTGCAATTGCCACACATCATCCATGATCGTATGTTGTGATTCGCCGCCAAATAAAATATAACGATGGGCATCCATGAAGGTCATCGATGCATATTGACGAGCAGGTGGCCATGCGTTTTGCTGATGAATAACTCGAGTTGTATTGAGTGCAGTGTCGAACCATACACAACTATTGATCACTGTATTGTTTTGATGACCAAAGCAAGTAATAAGCCATTGGTGATACACAATGGTGCTATAGCCCGTTCTATCTGTGAAAAAAGGGGTCTGCTTCCATGACTTGTGAATGAAATTATAGTGCCATAATTGATGGGCTGAATCATCTAGGATGTACAGGTCCGTATGGTTCCGTACGAATGTATGTTCTATGTTTGGTGTCTGAGCTATGCTTGGTATAGGTTGGAGAAGGCTAAGTGCTTCTTGGTTGTTTTGTGATAGGCCATGTACAAAAAGGATACTCTTTGAAGATGTATGTAAATGTAAGCTACTGATATCAGTCGATCTATGGTCCATGCCTGCTGTAGTAAAACGCACACTGAGAGTAAGGGTGGGTAATAGTGTCGTGTGGATTAAATCAGACATGCTGCCAAGCATATAAACTGTTTCTTCTGCAGTTGACTGCTTCTGGACTGACGCATGCACATTGAAGAACTGCAGCACTGTTATGAAGAACACATAGTAATAAATTAAATTTTTCATACAAGTAAAATAAAGAAGAGAGAAGGCTATTTTAGTGTGCAAAGACATGTAAGTTTTTATGATGCTGTGACAGGAAAGGAAGTTAACAATTAAAAATAGTAGTCTATAAAAACGCTTTGGATAGACAATTGCAGTAACACGAATCCATGCGGCCAACTTCCTAATCGTTTTCTTGTGCAACCATGTAGGGTAGACTCTAGCTGTGTCAAAAAGAATAAACAATGTGTGCTATCTAAATAAATGTAAACACCATCATACTTTTTAAGTCAGTTCTGGTATAGACACTCTCCTGAATTATTGGTATTTGATAGACTCGCATAGTGCAGCAAGGAGATGAATAAAAAGTGGATAAATACAGAAGAGTTGTTTTTCCTTCTTTTTTTTTTATCTTTTCTGTTCTTTATATCTATCTGATAGAATGAGTGCTCACTATCAAGCTATTGGAGTGGTCTCTACAGAATCAACAAGTTTATTACCTTCATCGCATGAGACTCAAAAGAAAAAAGGTAGATCACTTTAGACCTTAGCCAATAACGTATGCCAACCACTGTTTCTAGCTTCTCAAAGCCAGTTATTAAGTTTGCTCCCATCTTTGTTACTTGGAATGACGATCTGGTTTGGTGTTACATCCAGTGACGGATTGACAATGACAGCAATCCGTTTACTTGCTGTGTTTTCCAGGTATGCTTCAAACAAATGAAGATACAAGAGATTTATGCTGAAGGATAGTTGTATTTTTGCATTGATTACCACCTCTGTGGATACCTCGGTGCTTGTATTAACTGCCTTGGTCTTATTGACTGTTACACACTCTTTTCAATGCGTAGATCATGCAACAGGTACATCTGTAGAATGCCGATTATGTGGTCAATCAAACCCTTTAACGGAGAGCTTATTTGAATGCAACTCCGGCAAAGAGTCATTTAAACAAGCACTCGAGGGATTTTCAAGTTCTGTTGTCTGGCTTATTTTTGCAGCATTTCATTTGGGTAAAGCAGTTCAAATAACCCAATTAGGTCGCCGTTTATCTTTATACATGATCAAGTTATTTGGTAAACGCACATTAGGGCTTGCTTATGCTATCGTTTTGTCAGGTAAGTGGTGAATGTGGCCTACATATCACTGATGTGATGAAAACAGAACTATTGCTTGCTCCATTTGTGCCAAGTAATACAGCTCGTGGTGGCGGTATTGTGTTGCCTGTTGTGCACTCCATGGCTACTACTTTGGGATCGACACCAGATGTCAACCCTGAGATAGGCAGTTTTTTGATACTTGTAGGCAACCATGCTAACTTGATTTCTGCTTCTATGTATCTTACTGGTATGGCAGCAAATCCTATTGTTATCGCCAAGGCCAACCAGTTGTTTCCAGACATCAATTTTAATTTTGTCATCTGGTTGCAAGGAAGTATTGTGCCTTCTTTCGTCTGTGCTCTCTGTGTTCCCATCATCATTCGTTGGAGTCTAGGCCTTGCCACAGACACATCTTCTTTAAAACATACAAGAGGATACGATAGTGTGATTGAACATGCCCAGACAGAATTGAACAAAATGGGCCCTATGTCTATGAAAGAATGGGTAATTTCAAAACACTGACAGACTTCAAATGACTCAACCATTTCATTATTATTTAGCAATTGTGTTGTGTATTATTAGGTTGTTTGGGAATGTGGGTTACCTCAAGCATCACCCATTTGGATTCAACATTGATTGCCTTGCTGGGTATTGTTGTTTTGTTACACATGGGCACCATGTCTTGGAAAGATGTATCCAGCAATACAAACGCAGTAAGTCAAAAGAACCTCGAATCACGAAAGCTCAATTCTTAAACTAGTGGGATACATTGTTTTGGCTTGGTGGATTTGTCACTATCGCTCAGCAATTTTCTGATGCAGGTGCATCTACCTTTTTAGGCCACAAGATTTCATTTGCTATTCAACGTTTCCATCTTTCACCTACACCAAGTTTAGCCATTGCCTACTTTTTAACGACTTTCTTGTTCTCTTCGCTCAGTGCTCATACGGTTGCTTTTGTGTCTACCTTTCTCGACGCAGGCCATGCTTTAGGTGCTCACCCCATGGTATTGACAGCATTGCTTTCTTATTTCAGTACATTAGGTGGCTGTATGACTAACTTTTCAACGGGCATGTCAGCCATGTATTATGCACCTGGCTATGTTCCTCGTATCAAATGGTTCATGGTTGGCATTCAACTCGCTGTATTCTATTTATTTATTTATTTTACAATTGGTATAAGCTGGTGGTCCTTTTTAGGATGGTTAAAATAAAAAAAAAATTTTGTACATAAATCATTCAATCCAATCCTTGGTAGCTGCTTTAAATATATGTTGACCCATCAGTTTCACCATTAATTCACCTATGGCTTCTTGTTCCATAATCACTTCGACTGATCCTGCAGCATAGGTCTGCCAATAGATTTGGTTTTCTGCGCTTCGTTTTTGTCGTCTTGTTTCTTCGTCATTTGCCGTATTGTCTTCTGGATCGACCACTCTCGATAATTCATGAAAGCTTTGATGCCACACTTCAGATTGTCGTTTCTGTAAGATCTGTCGAGCCATTTCTGCCGAGGGCAAAGAAGCAGGTAAAGAAGATTTGGTGCGAAGAGAGCCTGCTAATGTGAACAGGTAAAGATGGACAGCTGCTGCGAGTTCTTTACGATACGGATTCAGTGGATTCATGATCTTTTTTCGAACATGTTCAGAAATAAATTGCTGTGTCTTGAGTAAATGGTCAATCCAGTACAGTATGTTGCGTTCATGATACAGCATTTGGCGATAGATGTCGATAGGAAAAGTCCCTTTGGTGATACGGGGCTCCATGACTGCCAGCTCCAGCATTTGCGATGTCATCTGTTGTTGTCGCTTAAGAACTTTGGCATTTATTTGGGCATCTAGTAAAGTCGACTTGTAGCGATAAGATTGTGTGTTTTCCTGACAGACCAACGAAGCCACTTTCGAGTATTGAATGCCTGTGGCAATCAACAAATCAGACAAGTGTTTACGTACCATGGTACGTGCCCACACAGGCCATAGCAGATGATCGATAACAATGACTACAAGAATAGCAATGATCGCTGTCAATGTTCGTTTCCAGACAGGAGCAAATAAGTCTTCCTGGTTGGTATCTATATAGCCTGTGGATGAAATCACAGCCAACGTTAAGAGTGAAATAAAACCAATACGCGGATACTTGGATCCTAATAAGGTGAACCACATGGGGACTTGGAAAATAAGGATCATGACAGCCAATACATAGGGATTAGCATTACGACCTGCTGCTAATAAGGAAAGATAGCCACAGATGGCACCAATCACGGTTGCCACAACTCGATAGACGCATTGAGTTAATGTAGATCCAACTGTAAAATTAAATACGACCATGGCAGACAGCAAGGCCCATTGCCCATGGTTATTGTTGTACAGCTCATTGACACCTGGAATAGGCAGCCAAGCCATCAAAGCCAACAACTCCATGGTCACTGTGAACTTGACTGCATACCGAAAAGGATCTGTTCTACACCACACATTGAGAGTATAAAGCCATTTGTTCCATACATGATTTCCAGGTGCATGTTGAAGTGCGACAGATGCTTTGTCTTCCCAATCACTTTCAATCGACATGCGCTTATCGATGCCACCACTCGGCTTAAATGCAGACGTACCTTCCGAGGAATCGGGATGATGTTCAGACCGTCTGGTGTCTTCTCGATTTAACACATGCTGTTGCCCAAACAAGACATGTTCAGTCACTGTGTTTTCAGTCTGTACATGTTCGCCTGTCTGCTCTAACCATTTCCTCCAATGGACATGAGGAAAAAATACCCGAGGAAATCGACCACTTTTTCGCTTTTGAATCAATTCTGTTGCTTGTTTGTCCAATGCCACTAATTTCTGTCCAAACTGGGTGAGACAGAACAGGATTGTAAAGATTAGATAATGGTCCTCAGTAGGTTCTGATTGACGCTCTTCATATTCCTTTTGTAAAATGACTTTGGCATTGTCCAAATTCACTAAAGCAGATGTCAAGTCGTATTGACCATTCGCATGATCCACACAAGAGAGATACGAGTGAATAGCGCGATGGGTTTCAAGGCGGTACCGAATTGATTTCATCGCATGAGCACACGTCTGTACAAATTGTTTGATTTCTGGCTGAACAGAAGAATTGAGTCGTGAAATGAACTTGTATTCAATGCGCGATACAGTGCCTCCGTTCTCGAGTTTGTTTGTGCCTATTGCAATGTACTCTGAACCTTGGCTCATTAGTGTATCTCCATTCTCGAGTGCATATTGTCTCTGTAAGCGTGTTGCAGGATTGACTTTTTGATGTGTCTGAAGTTTTTGATCTAGGATGATATAGGCTTCTCTTTCAACAGCCAACGATAGACCATAGAGATTCTGAGTCATGCCATCCATGGTCTTCGCAAACGACTTGTACCAAAGCGGGCAATAGTGTGAAATGACAATTTCGTATTTCGCTTCTCGTCTGGATTTCTGCATTTTAGCAATGTCGGTGTCTAATTTCTGAATGGTTTGACGTAATTTTTTAGATGCCGCCAAGTCACTAAAAGCAACGTCGACATGATCCTTCAAGACTTCTGTGTCTATACAGTCCAATACACTTGAAATCGAAGAAAGAGCACTACCAAAAGACGCTCTATATAGAAGCATGAGTATGAGCATATATACACTTTGTATTTTATCTTACTCGGATATCCTGGCTGCTGTTTCTGGCCATAGAATCAAATTGACCATCAATGCAATTCCACCACCAATTAAAGTAGGGTAAAAAATGCCTACAATGGACATCACGTCAAAACTGGTTGCATAGATATTGCGAGTCAGACCAAAGAATGGAATGGTGAATGCTTGCAAGGAAGGAATTAACAGCCGTGGATATTTCAATCGAAAATAAGCAGTAAGAAACACGGAGATCAAGAAACCCAGAGAAGCAATCACACCAGCACCATTACTGTAGAGGGAAGCAGACTGGATATGTCTATTATAGACTGTACACAGGTAACTCACGATAGCACACCATATACAGGCAGGTATCATGATCAAGATATTCAAGATCATCTCAACTACCTGATTACCAGCAGCACCACTGGCATTAAAGAAGATAGTGCCCAATACCATCAGATAGGGTACTACACCTACACTAGTATTGACTTGTGGAATAAGGATAAGTACAGTAGCTATTTCATAGGCTAAAGCACATTTGATTATTTTTTTCCATAGCTGTTTGTTTCTTAAACAAGAGAAAAACGTCATGATGTGTCATGGATAAGATTTTATTCTTTTTTATGCTTTTTAGAGTCAGGACCAGTTGCGTTTTCTAGTTCACGCTTAAGGTAGTTGTTTTCCATTCTGGCACGGTCCAATTCGACCTTTAAGAGTTCGACCTGTCGATTCAATTCACTCATGGCTTGATCTGTCAATAGCTTTTCCAATGTCCATTTTTCCATCGTCGCCGTTTCATTTTCCTTGAGTTGTCGAATATAAACAGCTGCACGCTGTAGAATGGATCCTTTGTTTTTTTCACAGCCCGGCACAATGCGTGCAATTTCGTTAATACCATCATTAATTGTCTCACGTCTTCTACGCTCCACTTGTTTGTGATTTTCACGACGTTGTTTATGCCACTCTTCTGATCCAACAGGTGGTTTTTCTTCTTTATTCTCTGCTGTCTTTGGTTGCCTTGGTAGTTTCTTTTGTCTTTGTTGAGGCTGAGATGTACTACTGTCATCACTTTCGCCAGATTGATTGGTATTGTTACTGGTATTTAACTCGTTTAATTGCATTGTTTGTTGTAAGGCTTGCAAAGAAGCATTTTGTTGTTGTGTCATGGAAGCCCTGATGTTGGATTAGCATGGGACATAACAGAGGGGTTCGATACTTGCCAAATTTCATTATAATTATTACTTGCTGATGAACTGTTTTCTTGTCCATCTTCAATAACCACAGACTCTTTTGATGGTTCCTGAGCTTCCCTTTCCAAATCAATGACCTACATCGATATCAAAAGCGTGTTCTTTCTTTTGCTCAAGACTTTAGGTTTGTTTATACCTGTGCTAATTTTTGTTGATTGGGTTCTGGTTGAGGTTGTTCTTCAGTCATGGTGAACAAGATGAAAACGAGTAGCGTGAGTATAGATAAATAAGAACGATTGCATGAGACATATCAAACTGCAGCGTGTTGTCCGGGCTCGGTCAACAGTCACACTTGGTGAAGATTAAATTTCACTTATTATATGTTTAGAGAACATTGTGAATGCTTGTTTTTTTTCAAAGTTTTCTCTTTTATAAGCTTCTTTTTTTGTATTTTTAATAATAGCCTGCGTATGCCTCATACTTGGCATATGTTTTAACGCACCATAGAGTATTATAAAAGTAGGTTAATAACACAAAATAGCAGATCTTCAAAATGCTTCAACTCGTCTCTTCCTTGCCCTTTCAGCAAGTGAAAAGTTGATTAAAACTCAGAAGTTATTTTATTCCCTTATGGACATCTAGAAGTAAAAAAAAAAAAAAAAAAAAAAAAAAAAAAAAAAAAAAAAAACTCGATTAGAATCTTTGGAATGGTCTGATCCAACCGAAATCAGGCAAGACTATGTATAGGCACTTCTGATGAAAAGAAAACGAGCGTACTAAGATGAAAAAAAGGCGACTTCATTTACGCATTGGCTTCAAATTTGCGTTCAAAGTTCATTGCATTTCAGCAGAGATTGACTACAGTATTTCTACTTTGAATTCAGATGATGTTAGTTTTTTTCTGGACGAATCAAAATTAATTTCCATATGCTCTTCTTACCTATTTTGGACGAAATAAAAATGGAAATTGAACAGAAAGAGAAGAATTATTAGAGAAGGTACAATAGCATGTTAGATGACTTTACCTATAACAATCTTAATTCCTGAAGGAAATACCGTGTTTATTACGGCGATTATTGCTTTTCTTTTTAATTTCTCTTGAATCGTTCTGGATGGCCTTCATCCTTCCAAATTGACTTGGCAATGTTCATCATATTCAAACTAGCGTTGATGTCACGGTGCCATAATGTTCTGCACGTCTTGCAAACGAGAACACTATTACCGCGGGCACCACTAATACTACCTAAGTTCCTACTTTCACATTTGGAACATATTTGGGACGTCAAATATTCATCAATGTCCACAACGAGTAAGTCACCAGTCCTCTCTCTTCTTTTCAACGTTCTGTATAAAAGACTAGTGACACCAGTCCGGACCGTTTTCATCTCCACATGGTCCTTCCCAAACATGCCACTACCAAATACTATCAGTGGTACCTTCTGTTTGTACTGAAAGAAATTGATTTCTCTAAGTATCATAAACTTATGAGTAAAAAAATTATCGTAGCCATGCCCAAGTAGCTTTTTACCTTGTTTCTGTTGTTTTCAGTGCCATTTTTCTCTTTCCTTTATCTTTCTTTCCAGACTTATCCCCCTTCTTTTTCCGCTTCCCTTTGTTCTTTGCTCTTTTTCGTTTGTTTCCTCTTGACTTCTTGTTGTATTTCTTGGTACCATCTAACAACATTTTCACCATTTGCTCCGGCGCTCGTTGGCGACCCTGGTATAAGAAAAAGGCTTCTTTTGCAGTTTCTTGATTGTAAAAACTGAAAATACGACCAATGTTTTCGAGCATATAAATGGCATACTCCATATACAGTGATTCATTGGCAGTCTTATTGGTGGGTATATTTGTTTCAATCGTCTTGATACCGCATGCTTTCTTTTTCTTCTCTTGCTCTGCTGAGAATTTTGTAGAGCCTGTCAAGTGGTAATATTCCTTGATGGAACGTTGCCTGAAGTCGTTAATATTACCATTTGAACCAGCAAATGCAGTGAAACCCCTTTTTCTTCCTGGATCTACGGCTATTGGAAAATAGTGGCTGCCAACTTTATGCTGCTCAAAATCATCCAAGATCAGATCAACTTGATTGATTTGCTTGGTTAAACGTTTTTCTGTGATTGTTCGTTTGTTAAAAACAAAATCAACAGAAAAACCGTCTGACCTGATTAGGTTACCAAAGAGTCTCTTATTTGTTCCAGTGGGTAATAAAGATTTAATCCTAATAGTAAACATATTTTAAATGACTATTATATAAAAATATTCTTTACTACTATGTACTTACGATTTGATTCTAAGCAGCTGATCATTATACCCTCTGGGGAGTGGTTCACCAGGAAGAAATACTGCTAATGCATTGACCGAAATTGTCACTGATCGCCAATGACATGATGGTGAAGGGAATACATTGAACAGCCTTGGTAAAGGAAGTCTTCTAACGTCAAACGCTTTATGGGATTGATGTTCCCTTTCAAAGACAGCCAGTATATGAAACAACAGAGGAACAAAAGAGCCAGGGTTATCAGCTAATGATTTTATACTAACTCTAGCATCGAGTTTTCTTTTAAGTGGCAGGCATAGTTCATCAATTTTTCGTTTGATCATAGGGTCTTCAAGTGATTTCTGTTCAGGCCACACCGCTTCACCTTGGCATACATACTGATATCTATATTTTATAGCAATATCATCGAGGTCCTTCAGAGCCATGGACTATATACATAATATTGAAGTATCTAGAGTAAATGAATGTGATTATTAGCTCTTACAACAAACATAATTTGAATTTGATATTGCAAAAATCTTCTCAATATATTTTCAGTCTTTCTACAACTGCATTCTCGTAGGTGGTTGCCAGCTCCTTGCAGGCCTCAGTAATGCACTGGCTAGCTCCTCCAATAGTAGATGGAAAACTTAATTTTTCTTTAAATAAGATGAACCTCGTTAAAAAAAAACATTATAACAGACAAGTCAATCTAACTGTGATGATCTGGTGTAAATAACTTTAAATAAATAAATAAAAGTATATTATCACAAATAAAGTCTTTTCTCATAACAAGAACATTTGTCATATATTATTATTATTATTATTATTATTATTATTATTATTATTATTATTATTATTATTATGCCAGCTAGTCATAGTTTGATAGCAATAAAACTGAGTTCATTCTAAACAATGATATAGCTGAATCAACATTTACACTCCTACGGAATAGAGTCATATAATCCAGGAACCAGTAAACAGATCTCATCTTGAATGATAAATAACTGTAAAGATGGTTCTTTTTTTTTTTTTTTTTAAATGTGTTTATTGATTGAGCCGCGTACACTAAGAGTAATAGTCAAAATGAAGAGGCGGGTGCAATTAAAATGAAAGTTAATAAAATAAAGCGAAACACACTAGATAAAATAAACTAAACTAAAATAAATTATATAGAAAAAGTTACAGGATTGAATGGCATTGATCCTCTTCAATAGTCTGACGAACATTGAATCGGATGCTTGCTAATATGGCCGTAGGTATAAAGATGGTTCACAAAGTATATTTTATTGAAAAAGCCAATACTCTTATTCCATCTAATATAACCTTCAGCTCATCAAGTCCTATCTCAAGTTACATCTAAGGACATAATCCAAATCATATATAAGCCTAGAATATAAAAAATCTCTCTCGAACTTTTACCTCAATACATTTATAAACGGTCTCAAAGTACTTCCTACACGTCTCTTTATTTTTTTATAATTTTTATATTCAATCTTTTTATTTAAAAAGTCCGAAAACACCACAATAACCAGTCATTTTGATATTTCTTCTTTAACAATTGACCTCCCTTTACAGATAAATGTCTAAATGTAAACTCATTCAAAAAGCTAATTCTTTTTCTGTCTAATTTTCATCTTTATTTCGTCCAAAATAGGCAGGAAGAACATCTAGAAATTAATTTTGATTCGTCCAGAAAAAAACTAGCATCGTCTGAGGTTGAAGTGTAAGAACAGTATTCAACTGAAATAAAAATTAGCCCATTCGAACTCAACAATAAAGATATCCTAATTCAAGAGCCCTTTAATGTAAGTAACAATATAAATAAAGCGTACCAGTCAATGTACAAAATACAGGCAAACAAGGCAGTACTATATACTATAAAAAAAAAAGTCTATTTTTATTATTTTATTTACATAATTATCTCTGTTGTGGTATTTTTTTGCTCATTCAGCTTTTTGTTCACTTCTTTACGTGTGATGACTGCATGATCCACCATATTTTCATCGGCTGGTGTGGTTGGTCCTGAAGAACAAGAAGAAGAAGAAGAAGATGACAAGGCTGTTGTATGTAATAAATTAGGAGAACTTGCATGATCGCTGTAATAAGGTAAACTGCCTCCACATAGCTTCTCCCACCAATCTTGAATGATACGCTTCACAAGTCGTTTGGTGGTTGGATTGACTTTTCTTCCCATGACTGGGTTAAGTAGGCTGATGAGGATACGATACGTTTCTTGTTTCTTGTAGGGACATGTACGCAGTTGTGTATTCTCGAGTAAAGGTTCAAACACACGTAAATAGGCATCCCGTAACTTGTTTATGTGAGATGATAGAGTACAGTAAATGACTTACATGTTGAGATTCTTTTGTATCACCCAAATCACACAATTCTCTTAATGTGATATCCACCAACACATACAAATCATTTGTATAAAAGTATTCATACAAACAAGGCCGTGTAAATACACCATACAGTAATTTCAGAATCAGCATTTGAACACAAGCATCATCTGTAGATATTAGTTTTATAGATTATTTGTGTGTTTACACCTACTGGATCTGTTCAGCATAAAGATCAAATTAGCACTGAATGTGTCTGATCTGCCTATACGTTCAGATAAACTATCCAACACCAAGTTTTGGTTTAAGCCAGACATCATGTATTGTTCGTTCAACACTAATATCACTCGAATGACATCATAATTGAACGACTCTTGTGCATCTTCCCTTGTCTCTTCTATCAAGTCTAACAAGTGATTGACGACCAACCGATCTACTAATTCTAATCTATCGTGAATCACTAGAATTACCCATGAGCCTTATTCCCTTACCTAAATCATTGGACTCTAACTTGGCCAATTTACACATTTCAAAACAAAGTCCAAAAGCTGCACCCAGTAATTTGTACGATGCATAAAACTCAAGGCGAAATTCAGTCATGATCTTGCCAAACAATCGATTCCTTTTGTTCTGTATGGATTCAAGTAAAATAAAGTCCATCCAACGAGGTTCATCTTTGCCTGCATATAAAAGGAGAGAATAAGCAATCAGGAGTTCAATACCATCTTGTGAAGCCAGAGCATGTTTGTTTAGAATATGGGCTAATACGACTGTACTAAAGTCAAGGCATACTTTAGAATCAATCAGTTTATAGGCTACTTGAGCAAATTCAATAGAAGACTTTAGGAATTCTAGACACAATGAGATGAGAGCATGTTGATGAGAATAGATACCTTGGTATCGTACTAGGAATTTGATATAGTGTGTTGTGATTCGCTGCACATCTTGTTCAGTAGAGTATGGGTGATTCAATACCTCATCCAGTTCTTTCTAGGCTATGAGATACATGTATTTTATCAAGTCTTATGTTTACCAGCATAAAAGCTTTCAATATCATCAAAATAGTAGTCGATTGTATCGTAGTCCATAAAAGCAGAAAAAGAGGGCAAAAGAAAAATTATCCATGTGTGTGATTTGTTATGCTATTGACATTTTCCAATCTCCGTCTTTTTAAGGAAATTGAATTCTCCTATGCTGAATAATGATTGGTGGATACAACAAGCCGTTTTTTTTTTTTTTTTTTTTTTTATATATATATTTTCCCCAGATATATATATATATATATATATTATTGTTAGACGATGAAAAACCACTTAAACATCAACTTGGCATCCTTACAAGATCCTTGGTCAGATGAGATGCTTGCTTTATGGTTACCTATTGCAGCCTATTGGGTCTATTCGACATTCTGGTTGATTGTCATGAAGGCACAACTACCTTATTTCGAACAATACCGTATTCATACCATGGGAGATATGGAGAAACGAAACAAAGTCAGTGTGTCTCGAGTACTCAGTATGGTGACACTGCAACACCTTATACAAGCTGTCTTGGGTTTCTTGGTCTTGAAACCAGTGGACCCCATCAGTTATGGTCTAGCACAAGAAAGACAGTTGCATTGGTGGACTGGGTTGTTTATGACAAGTGTTGATCGAGTGCATTCTATTCAACTGGCCCGAGTAATATGTTGGGTACTTGTGCCTCTATTCCAATTTGTCATGGCCATGTAAGTACTCTAGGCATGTTTGTGTATAAGCTCATCTTGAATATAGGGTTATTATGGATGCCCATCAGTACTTTTTGCATCGTTTATTTCATATCAACAAATTCCTTTATAAGCATATTCATTCTCATCATCATCGTCTGTATGTACCTTATGCCTTTGGTGCCTTATACAATCATCCCTTGGAAGGTTTTTTATTGGATACGTGTGGTGCAGCCATTGCTGTTGAATTGACTCGATTATCACCCAAGATGACTTGGATCTTTTTTACTTTCTCTACGCTGAAGACAGTGGATGATCATTGTGGATATGCACTTCCTTGGGACCCACTGCAGTTTTTGTTTGGTAACAATGTACAATAGTAAGTACACAGTATCTGATGATTGTTCTTGTTACTCATCTATATCTTTAGCCATGATATTCATCATCAATCCTTTGGCATCAAAACTAACTTTTCACAACCCTTTTTCACTTTTTGGGATAAATTATTAGGGACTGAAATGTCCTTGAAAGAAGCAGAAAAGAGAAACAAACAACGCAATGCATAATACATCTATTCATCTATATACACACACACACACACACACACTTATTACATTACCATTATAATAATAAAGTTTTTCTTTTATATATATACTTTAATCCAATGCATGATATACATATTCAGGTGGACTCAAAATGGCTACTAGACAGAGTACAATGGCCAAAATTACACTCAAAATCCAACTGATGATACAAAAGATAAAACTGATATTGTAACGTGTGCCCATATAGAAAGTAGCACTTGAATTAAACAAGTAGGCTATGATACCCATGGACAAGGCTTGAGGAAGAGCATACAGGATAAACAGACTAACTATCAGTGAATATGATCTTGATTGGTTCACTTACAATGAAATGGGTGCCCATGCCTTGGATCGTTTGCGTCTTTGACTACAGAGAGTGACGAATAAGGCCATGATGGCCAATGCACCTACCACAGCAGATAAGATCATGCCTGCTGAAGCTGCACGCCTAAGTACGTATTTAACTATGCATTCCATACAGTCATAGATTTACCATAATTCACAGAATCCATCTAGCATATATATGTGTGTGTGTGTGTGTGAGTAGTCTATATATCCCATAGCATAACTTACCTTCTTGACAATCACCATGATCAACAGAAGGAAAAGAACGGCACTCTCTTGTTAGACTAGAGTAGATGAATCACCTTGTTTTACACAACAAGATTACCTTCGACAGAGTTTAAATAGCCCATAATTTGTCTCCATATAAAATGGAACAGGTGTGACAAAAGTAAGCCTATAGTATAGTGTTATCGCAAGTCTATAGACTGATATTTACCACTTGGGAAACAAGATAGAAGAGAGTGTAAGTCCATAATTACATAGAAATACAAATAAAGTAACCACATAAGCAAGTAAAGAGACAGCCATCGTATTCAATACTAAAGAAAAGAAAAGAAATGAAAAAAAAAAAAGAAAGAAAAGAAACAGTTGTGTTACTCCTGATTTGTATAGCATTCTTTTTTCTTATGTTTAGTTTATTTCATAAATCAAGTGAGAAATCCAGTTCAGAGAAAGGATTGTCTAATGTACTCGAATACACACAGAAATCAAGCCGAGATATCTCTCAGTTAGCAGACAATAACCGTATGGCTGCTAATAATTTAATGGCGTATGGTTCTCATATGGGTGATGACTTGACAGTAAGTAACAACACCCTAGTTTTGATCCTGACTTTGTGGTAGGATGTCACGCATAAACTAGGTCAACTGTTGACCACATGGTCCAACATTCTGATGGAATTCTCTGATGCTGTCCATCAATACCAAGATACATTGAAATCCATATCCTTGAAAGAAGAAGCACTTCAACCTAGTCGTGAACAAAAGCGAAAACTGAACGAATCGATTGAACGTCTTCAGGGCTCTTATGCATCGATGGACAAGATGAATGCATTAAAGACACAGTTACGTGAACTAGAAGCATTCACCGAGCCAGATGAAGTGGAGATGACTAACTTTAAGCGGATTGCAACGCGTGAAGGCCTTTATTTGTTGTTGAATGGGATGCATGCCATGGCCAGTAAGACAGATATTATCTCTACTTTTGGTAAATACATTGTGGATGAATTGGATGTAGCACCTATTCAACCAGGACAAGTGCGTCCTCCTTATGAAGCCATGAACAAGACAAAACGTATTCAAGAAGATGCTATCCGTGCTATTGAGGCATGGCATCCAGATAAGACCAAAGTCAGAAGAACATTGACTTCCCATCATGGCCATAATCCTCTTGTTGTGAAAGAACTACCTCCTCTGCCTGTAGATCCTGAAGAAAATCGACAGTATTCATTCTATAAGCCTGATGAAGAAGCAGTCGATCAACAAGAAAGAACAGAGCAAGAAGAAGAAGAACAAGAAAAGAAACAAGTGCAAGAAGACCATGCTCACTCTCACCCTATGACCCCCGCAGGTCTCTCCAGTGTATATCCCCACCATGCTTACCAACCACCCTTTAACCAGCATAATCTCTACCAATTTTACCAACACTATTTACCCCCTCGCTCTTATGAAGACATGTCCATGGCATTCAGTCCTGGTGCTGTCTTTCGAGGTATAGAAGAACAAGAACAAGAGAAACATGATGCAGGTGGATTTGTATTACCCTCAGATAATCCCAATAATAAATTCAAGTAAACCGAACTCTATCGAGACCTAAACTTCGTCTGACTTGCATGGTGGCTACCCATTCTTTGATGGTTTCTTGTAAAATAACTGTATTGTTGAGTAGAGTCGAAAGACTGATATCAGTGGCTGCCTTGCGCTTTGTGCGTCTTCTGCTTGTTTCTGAAGGCACAGTAGGAGCAGCAAACACGTCTTGGTCTTCTTCATCTAAGTTCAGGATAGGTTGACGTTCAATTTCAAAGGTGGATGGGAATAAGGGTTCAATGCGTATCTGCATGGTTTTTTTGGCTTGTATCATCCAGGGTAATTCAGTAGTAGTAGTAATAGCAGTAGAGACCACAGAAGTACGACGTGGATTGGTCGGTGGATAAAGACCCAAGAGTTTGCTGACACTGGGGGATGAGGTATTGGTGATGGACCATGATGGTTCCATTGATACTGTGCGGCACATGGGTTCCATGAGTAATGCTTGCCATCGTTCTTGCAACAGTTGATCAAACCCATCTATTTCAGAACGATAATAGTCTATTTGCTGTGTGAGTGTGCGTAACAAGGTATAAAAGGGAGGAAAAGATTTGAACTGAATGGGTGCTGTCATTGACCCTGAGTCTGCAATAGCTTCATCTAGTGATGCGTCATCGTCGTCGTCTTCTGTCTTTGGTATAGGTAGTCTGTTAAGGCGAGGTTGGGTAGTCATCCATTGCGCACCGCCTTCTTGTGTGAGGCTCAAGATATGGTTTGGATCTGCACGATCGGATGCTTGAAATGTGATCCATCCTTCCAGGCTACGATAAGGACATAAGGCAAGGGCTGAAATCACACTGGTCAAAGCCAGATTTAATTCAGACGACTGAGCAAGGAAATGAGACAGCAAATCAAGCAAGCGATGCATCAGTCTGTCTGTCGATGGAATCCGTTTGCGTCCACGGTGTTCAGGCACCACCACCACCAACAGACGCTTGGGTGGTGTATCAGAGTATTGTTGTTGCCCGTACTTGAAGCTTCTTCTTTTTTCGCTCTTGCTTGTCTTTTTGGGTTTTTTAAGTGCGTCTGGATGAAGCAGGTGGTGGTAGCAAGGGTTGCTGTCAAAGGCAGATTCGACGTCGTTTAGATAATGCTCATAGCCCAACACAAGACGGTCCTCAGCATGGGTTGGATGCATAGCAGACACGAGGCCAAAATAAAGTTCGATTTCTTTCAGGTGATGCGAGACAATCATGGAGGGTTCTGTCGTGTCGGGTACAGTGGAGACGACATGGTCTGCATAAGAACAGTGTTTGACCACCAATGTCTTGAGTAGTTTGAGTGTGGCAATCACCGTCGGTTGAGAAACAGATGATAGTCGACTCAAGATCAAATCCTTTAGGGTGTATCGCTCAGCAGCAGCATAAGCCGACATGGGATGATCACCTAGCGTCGGATCCTCAAGGCACGGTTCGCCCGTCAAATACCCCACTACGACATGCGCTAAGTCAGGCTGTTGTATTGTCTGTAGCATCAAATCAATATAACTCACCACAGCCACAGAGGATCCATCATGGTCTGAGCATTCGAGAATGGAAGGGTACAGAATATTCTCGACAAAGATCATTTGGATACAGACCAGCAATCGTTTTGAGATTGCTTCGTGAGGACAACGCAGCAGGATGTCTTGACAAAACTCGACCAGTTTAAGAAAACTGTCGAGTCGGTACTTGAAGGAAGCTGAGCTAGAGAGTTCAGCACCTGCTTCGTCTGAGGGAAATGAGCGTGGATCCAAGTCTTGGCCGAGAAGATAGGAACTGGTAGTTTGGTTGATTTCGTCTTCATCTTTGACAATCAATTTGCGTGGTAATTGAGAGTACAGAGCACCTAAGCCTGCTGCCATAATAGTAGCAAAGTCAGATTGAAATATAAAGTCGCCTAGTTGATCTGTAGCCATCTCCATCAAGAATAACAAGCCAGTACGTGCATAATCTCCTGATCTACCTTCACGATGCACGAATCTCAAAAGATAAGTAAACAGCAAGAATTCATACTGAGGGTCTGTATGGGTATCCAATGTCTTTTGAGGTGTTGTTAACCAATGCTTGTCATGAAAAAAGATATTGAGCAGTGCTGGAAATCCATGAATTTTGGAACAAATAATATACATTAAATCCACCACATCTTCATGATCCAATTCACGCTGTCGTTCATCCAACACACAGAACCGAAGCAGCCGAATCGTCGGTTTATGGACTGCATTATGGACTAAGAATCGCTCGTCCAACAAGTCAACCATGGAGGCAATCATGCGTATACTCTCACCACGAATGCCTTCAGGATAATTCATCTTTTCAGACACGTTGACCAAATATTGCAAAAGGCCATTTTTTAGAAAATATTCCATACAGACACCGGTAGCATTGTCTTCTTGACGGGCTTCTTCGTCTACCAACATATCAACCATTTGTCTCAGGCGTTCAGGTATTTCCGTTTGTTTCACATGAAGGTTGGTTTTGCGGTCTTCTGCAATAAAGATATTCTAGAATGGATTAAATACGCCCAGATAAAACATCACTTACATGAACATAGTCCCAACATTTATGGAATTTGGCTAATTGCATAGCACTTGTAGGCTGTGCTTTAGGTGGACTGATACGTTTCGTGAACTTGCTAAAATAATCCATCGTCAAAAGAAGAAGAAAAAAAAGTAACAACAGGGTTTCAATCTCCTTAAGACTGCCTGTGCTACTAACGATGACTTGACATGCAGGAATCTTTGTTTTTTTTAGAACTTTTATTAGACATACTCCTTTATTTTTAGTCAGGAAGCATGTATCATGTTGAAAATGGCCAAGGTACAGGTATCGGTGCTAAAAAAAAAAGCGACATGATTTCGTTAAGCTTAGTTGACAATACTGCAAGGCATAAGAGTGATATCAAGCTACAGTTTCTGTCTAGAATAGGATAATAATTTGCTTAAAGCGTGGACAGTCAGTCAAGAACTCTGTTGTGCATGTCTATATTAAATTCAGTGTCTTTCTTTTGAACAAACCTATTCGCTTTTGTTTCTATGTTGACGACTTGAAGAAAAACGCAATTGATTCATGATTGCGCAGTCTTTGTTTTATATAGAATATATGATGTTTTGATTCTTTTCGCGTATCTGAATTACGAAGAAGGAAGCATTAGTTGAGATGGCTACAGCACAGTAAATGTATGGATTAATTATTTTCTTGACGTTCTTGACAATGTGTTTCTTCCTCAGAGAAAACAAATAGATCCAGACATTTTACCTAATTTGAAATTATTTATGCGAGCATTCATACTTGTATCCAGCTACTATCCACCACATCTTAAAATCTCATTGATCTTTTTGGGTTGCCCCAATATATCAACTGGTTTGGTTTTGTTTATCATTGTAATCCCATAATTTAATAGTGCCATCTAAACTAGCTGTATAGAGTTGAAGGTGGTTTTTTGGATTCAACATCACCCGAGTGATTTTGTTGCTATGTCCGCCTGTGCTGGCTGATTGTGATATAATTCATGACCTAAAAAGACCAGACTAGTCATTTCTTTTCAATATCCATGTTAATCCAATGATACATGAAGACTGGTTATCATTATGTGAGCCTTATCAGCCGGGCATTACTATAACAAATATGGGCTATGCTGTACTCATGATAATTTGATATACAGGAATCCTTTATTATGTAGGAAAAACAGTTATACCGCTTTTTGAGCACTATAAATTGACTATGCATATTTTTAACAGTAATGACAATGACTAAACACAGCCTCCATCGTTTCCTTACACATGAATTTTGTTTGTTTATGGGATGAGGCTTGTGCGAATGAAACAATTGAGTCAAACCTAATCCGTTCGGAAAAGGATACGAGGAACTCAGGTAACACAATAGGATCTGCCCCCCCTCCGCTAATTGATATCTCCATTATTCCCCACCAATCATCGTTTTCGGCGGCTTTTCCGATTTGCTTTCACGTTTTCATACAAGAAGGCATATTACTCTCTAGCCAATAAGATAGAATTGCCAATAAAAGCATGCTTATAAATACAATTCCGCAGTAAGGCAATGAAAAGGATTAGCATAAAAGTGACTGTATTACGCGTTGGTTGCCGAATTTAGTTTCAATTTTATAGTCGAGTGCTAGACCCGTATGACTCAGAAATTTTTTATTATTATTATAAATAGGAGACTGTATTTGTCATCCAACATTCTATCCTTCTTTCTATATTTATTATTCAACATGGCTACCTTATTCTTTGACAACCCTTATGCTTCACCAGAACAGATCAAATTAAATGATTTTGAGCCAAAACCATCCTCCCATGCAGACTTTGATGATTTCTTTGTTGCACTTGATGCACTTGATGCACCTATAGCAAAATATGCTAAAAGTGCAGATAACTGGCAATTCGTTGTGAATCAAATGCGACAACAAATGTTCAATTCTTCAAAAACGAATTATGGATCACCCGAGACATTTTTTCTTCAAAAAGCACGACAAAGTGATCCATTGTATGCCAACTCAATGGCCCATACCATGCGTGCTAGTTCATTTTGTACGTTGAATACGGCTGGCAGTGACAGAGATGCAGATCCATTGGCTTATCGCCGCTTTCGATCAGAACATTTGTTGATGCGTATGCTTCATTGCAGAGATAGTGATTGGAGTCAAGTCTCTTTAATGCGATTATCTAAAGGGATCTTTGTACACCAGAAATGGCAGTCTAGCAAACCTCAATCTTCCCCCACATTGTCTGCGATTGAAGACACACTTTATCAATTCAATGATTCAACAGGTAAGAAATCATCGTAAATTGTGTGGTCGATAAAATTAATTATTTTCATAGAAGCGCCGATTGATACATTTCAATTTGACAATGCTTTTCATATGATGAACAGTCTCACAAGTTCTTGCTATGACATGTTTGTTCCTTACAGTTACACATTTGGTGCTCGCTACACAAATCCTTATGGCAATGCACACGACTTGGTTATTCGAGGTAAATTGCCTCTTTGGTGTCAAACACTGTTTCTCTCCACTTGCCTGAAACAAGCGACACCTGTTCAGCCCCATGTTGCTCTGTTTGGCCTGTTTCCTTTTGCTCCTCAAGTAGCAGTGACATTCAAACCTTTGACTGAAGAATATGAGCATGCTATCTCACCTGAATTGACATTGTTATATGAACGCTTTACGCTGGAACACTATGATCCTTTGATTGATATCGATCAAGATGAATATGAGTGTTTATGGGCTCAGAAAAAGAAGGACATCCTACAGAATATTCTTGTTTGTGACATTCCTGATGACCTGGCCAAATTTTTGAATAATATGGCTGCTTTATGGGCAGCAAATCAAGGTCTTATGATTTAAATTACCTTTTTTTTTGTACATAGTCTAGACATACACTCATGCATATATGTATATATATTTACGCCATTTTATCTTGAAGGAAAACTTGGGCATTTTATGTTTCTCTTTTATTTTTTATTTTTTAGCATTCTCTTTATATCCTCATCTGTAATAAATTCTTGTTATGCTTTTATGCAATCTACATCTAAAGGACCTGCACTGTAACACTTCATACCATCAGCACAAGAAAACTGATATCCAATATTTTCACCTAAACATTCAACAATTGCCTATTTAGAAAGAGTGAGTATAAAAACAAAAAAAAATATCTTTACTTTGTCTTCTCCGTCCGGTTTAAGACAATAGACACCTATTATCATGTTAATGTAATAGTCAATAGAAGCAGCAACTACCTCTAGGTACATGTTTGCATGAAGGAGCCCAGTTACCATTGGGTAATTTGACAAATTTTGAAGAATCAAACAAGGTACCATTGTTTTGTTTCGTATCATCTGCGTTTGTATTTTCAGCAGGCATCATAATATTAAAATTAGTTTCAATATTGGTAGGGCCTTCATCATTTCTGTATTTCTTTTTGTCTTCTTTTTTATCATCATTGTCTTTGTCTTCTTTCTCATCTTCACTGTCATTCTTGTGGTGTTCTTCTTTATCTGATTCTTTATCGCTGTCATTATGGTCTTCTTTATCTGGTTCTTTATCTGGTTCTTCATCCGATTCTTCTTCATTAGAAACAAGAAAGAGCATAGGTGGCTTAATCAAGGTTTGTTCTTGATGAGTGTCGATGACAGAACCCCGTTGTAACAAGTTATGTGGCATTATTGCAGCGGAAGCAATGCTCAGCATTTGATCATTGGGCTCTATCTTTGGCACAGCAATGACTGTAATGCCAAACAAAGCTACAGTGAGAAACAATAAATGCATTGGATAGAAAAGAGAAAGAAAAAGTATTGGAATGAAAGCGAATTATAGTTTATCTTGATGGACCATTTTTCAACATTGCAAACATTCCGTTTTTTTTTTGTGACATCGTATTGACAATGATGCACCTTTTTTTTTTTCTATTTTTATGATGCTTGTGTCCACTCTAAACGTTAGAAAATCAGATTTCTGTAAGCTTGTTAAAAAAATAGTAGCACTTGTGTCTTAAAAAAATCAAGTTCCGTCTCCCTGAGATAAAATTCATTGTGTTTAAGGCACACTTTACAGATTCGTCGATTTTCATTGGCTCAAACCGTGAATACAATAAGGTTTGCCCTGAACATTGGAGATGCATCATGGCAGTAAAACACTCAGATTCATACATGCTATAAAAGAAAGAATCGCACACTTTCTTTTTTCTCTTTAGAGCCCATCATGATTTATATTGTTCTAGTCATCTCGATTGTAGTATATGCCATTGTCTATTGTAGAAGAAGATACCAATCTCCTCTTGCTTCAGCACCCTTAGCTCCAACCAGTAGCCTCCTCATCAAATACTTGGGTATTGTTCCCCCACCTCAAAATTCAGATCAAAAAGACTATCTGTCCGAGTTTTTGATCCGAGTAGGTCAAGATCCTGCCTTGTCGCCTATTTCCGTATGCTGGTCTATCCTCGGTAAACCCTTGGTGATTGTCAATACACTTCAAGGTGTTAGAAACGTCTTGATTGATGGACAAGCGAGGAGCAAAAGTAAAGAAGGTGGTGTACCCAACGTTCAACGAGGTAATTTAATTCGGTTGATTCAGAATTTGGTCTTTGGTGGTCCTAGTTTGAATAATGTGATTGGCGAGGTAAGTAAAAAAAAAAAAAAAAAAAAAAAAAAAAGGTTTTTTGCTGTGTCGTTGTCTGATCTAATGTAGGAATGGCGCTGGCGTCGTCATGTCTTGTTACCATCTTTTCAACCCAAACAATTAGTGCCTAAGTTAATGCCTTATGTGGCCAGTCGTACATTGACACTGCTGGATGTGTTTGATCAACATGCTCAACAAGGAACTACAATTGAACTCGATAGCGTCTTTATGGATCTCACCATGGATGTCATTAACTTTTATCTTTATGGTCGTGATGATTTGGATTATACGATCGTCAATGGAAGAGAAAATCTCAAGGTAAGACATATTTCATGGCTTGACCACTTACATAGTTTAGCATGAACATGAGCAACTTGGATTAGGATTTCAATCACTGGAAGCATGGCTTCCCTTTGGCATCAACAAGACAAACTGGGCACAAAGAGAATTCAAACCTTCTCGAGATAGACTCAAGGCTTTTATCCATGATGCATTGGCCTTATCACTTCAAGACTACTTGGCTATGAAAAAACAATACGATCATCAAAACGTACCTGAAAAGCAACGATCTTATCTATCTGTGGCTGCCTGTGCTTTTGCCAGTGAACAATACGATAAAGACAATGAAAATCTAGTGAATGATCTCCTTTCCTTGACGTTCGCAGGTTATGATACCACAGCACATACATTGGCTTTCACGTTTGCTGAATTGGCTCGTAACCCTTCATTGCAAGATGAACTGTTTGCTCAAGTACGTCAAGTCTTAGGTCCTCCTCCTATTGCTCCTGAACAAATTACTGCTGACAAACTGGCACGTATGCCACTGGTCACTGCTGTTTATCGTGAAACTTTGCGTAAATATCCTGCTGTTGTATTTATTCCCGTGCATGTCAACAAAGATACCATGGTGGAAGATGTAGTTGTGCCTGCAGGTTCAGAAATCTGGTGTAATGTTCGTGGTATTCAAATGAACCCTGCTGTGTTTCCTAAACCCGAGACATATGATCCTAAGCGTTGGTTACGTCCTGAAGATTTGCAAGAAGGTCAAGGGGATCATGTGTTTGATAATCTTTCGTCTGGTCATGCCAGTCATGCTACAACCATTACGCCTGAGACACAATATAATTTCCCTGATTTATCGTTCACTATGGGCCAACATGCCTGTATTGGTAAAAACCTGGCTACCCTTGAGTTGCGTACAGTGATTGCTTGTACCATGAACCAGTTTACTTGTAGACTAAAAGACAAGAGTGTGATTGATACTAAGGTTGTGCTTACCACTAAACCGCGTTATGGTGTTCATGTTCATTTTGAAAGAAGAAAAGAATAATAAATGATTGGCCAAGATATAATTAAACTTTTGCCAGGGATAGTGTTACACAATTCTCTTGACTTGACCCGGGAGTTTACATAAATCTATAGCCATGCGTGAAATAATGATATCAACATTATGTTGGTTTAGTAACAATGGGTCTAATTGACTAAAAAGATGCAGGGAAGGACAATTAGATACACAAGTCAAAGGTACATGAATGTATGTATACAGATATATGTTGACATTATTACCATAATAGCTCACCATGCATGTTTGTTTAAATAAACCTGCAGAATATTCATATTGAAAAGCTCCAAAGAGAGCAAGAAAAATTTGGTCCAAGGTAGTACAGTTGGTTTTCCTCGGTTTCCCAAGTTTCTACTCTCTTATTTTAGCGTATAATTTATTATTATTATTATTTTCTCTTTCTTTCTTTTTCTTTTTTTACTCTTTTTGCCAATGAAGGAATAATGAATTATTTACTACTTGTTTTTTCTCTTCTTGTGTCTATCTTTATCGCCAAAGCAAATCAAGTAGTGATTGAATGCAAATTTCCGTGTACAAATAGTGATGAAATATGTGAAGTCTCGAGTAATTTTGTCAAGTGCACACAAAAAACAAATAGTACAAAGTAAGCTTGTCATCCATTTCAATTTAATTAACAAACTCCGACTTTTCTTTTTCTTTTTTTATCCAGGTGGATATTAAAGAATGCCATGTCTTTACCTGAATATCAAGGAACAGCAGTACAGATTGGTCAGACATGTACGCCAGCACCTTTGCCTTATTTAAAAGACGCTTCTCACTTAGCAACCAACGCAAGTGAGACTATCATCAACTGGCCATCTCGAGATTATGATGCTTACTTTAGTAATTGCGATGCTGATCTCTATTGCGATCGAGCTAATGTCTGTGTCAAGAAGCTACAACAAGGCTCTGTATGTGAGTCTGATAACCAGTGTCTTCATGGCATCTGCAGTCAAAGCACTTGTCAAGCAAGTCCAAGCAGTAATGGCTCAAGTCATATTGTGTTCAATACCATTCATATTGTCGTCACTGTCATTGGGATATTGTTGTTCTTTGGCGTCATGTTTGCTGTCTATATGTTTGGACGAAGAAGAAGACTGCAAAAAGAAAAAAAATTGGCCGAGAAAAAATTCGAATCTGGCGGAGACCAGCCCAGCAGATCCAATTCGTCTTCGTCCAATGCTACTCGTATTGCACATACACGCGCTTCTTCCACAACGACATTGCATTCACATCCCAATAATGCGGTGACCAACATGCTTCATCCAGACTATGAATCTCATTTTATGACAACAGAAGCACCTATCGCATCGCTTTCTCCTTCCATGCCAAATCCGTATAATCATAATCATACACCTAGTATGCAACAACAACAACTTCAATATCAACTACAGAGACAACTCTTGATTGATAAAAAGAAAGCTCGGTGCAGCAACCACCACCACCTTATTCCCCATAATTTCTTGTAAATATACCCCCTTCCCTTTTAGCCATATACATGTGTATTATTATTATTAGTATTAGTATTAAAAAAGAAAGTGTTTACCTACTAAAACGCATATAAACATATTGAATTATGAAATATTGAAACAACAAATCACTTCTTTTTATTTAGCCCATTGTTAAAGCAGAAAGTAGGAGAACGATATTACATTATATCAAACTCACTCTTTCTACTTGTAGACAATCGTATAGAATAGGTATTATTCTTCTTTTTATACATTTTCAGGGTTTCCCTTCAGAAGATGTATAGAATGATGGAGAAAATACATATATCTTTTCGAATTGTTTAAAAGATACCATTGTCCACACTTCAAATTCCTTATATGGTCAAATACAATGCGATTTATAGCTAAGTTGGTATTCTGTTTTATACAATAGCATTAACTTAAACGTTCTTTTGTTCATATTTACTCAAGCAATAATTCAATACAGCTTTTAACGTATTGCCTGGCAAGCTGGACAAAAGTGAGCCTCCCACACTGCTCATTTTCAGTAAAAATCATAGTTACAGACTAATATCTTTTTATTCAGAATGACAAGAACGTCATTTGGCCATAATAAGAACGTAATTAACTGTGGTTAATCTGTGTAAAACATAAGTATACCATTGAATTTACTTTGTATCAATCGGCAAAACAGGAATTATATCAGTCATAACCACTATTTCTTAGCAAACAGTATTTCTTGAGCTTTTTGTATATTAAAGAAACTTGGAAAGTGCCAAAAAATGGTTTGAAGGCAGATACAGACAGGTACTCTGAGGTGTTGCGACAAGCGTTCTTCCTGGCAGTTATGGGTACACAAATAGTACTGTAGGTTGTTTAGAGTCTCAAGAAACATAAAAGATAGTCAAGTTATAATGCAGTTGTTGAGCAAATGATAAAAAGTCAGCCGTGTTTGGCTGTGTTACATGCGATTGTCCAGCCTCTGCCTACAGATTCGATACCATGTATATCATTCTTTTGACATGTAAGAGTAGCTGTGTGCTCTCGCTACATCTTTTGCTAATGCACTTGTCTGCTATCTCTTTGCTTTTGTGCATGTTGCGGACATCCAAGTATATCACGCACGCATTTGAGCATGTCACTGGAGATCAAGAGTAAAAAAAAATTCATCTTGGCCATTTTCAGAAAAAAATGTTGAGGGAGGGGAGTATTAAGGTCATCTTGTTCAGAATTACAAAGCTGTCGTTTGTCAGAGATACATGAGGCTTTTACTGTGATAGTCAATAGCAAAAGATGTCTATATAATGTAACAAAATACGCTCCAAGCGTTGGTTTTGCAAAACACATACAAAAAGTGTATGTTATCACCATAAAACAAGAAACACGTTTTCTGCGTTTTTCTCTGTATTTTGGCAGGAGTCATCAAGTGTTCTTTGTGTCATTCGATAGCCCATATAAACGTCTATAACTTTGCTTAAGGCGTCTTGTGGACTTTTGTAGTAGATCTGGACTCCTTTCATCCAAATATATATTTTTGTCCTTTTATATTTCATATCGCTTAGCAGTACATGCGTTATTAAAGATTGTTAAAATTAGCCACATGAGTGTACCCTTGTAAAAGGAAATGATTAACGTCTGCGACATTATTAATTGTTTTTCTTATTCTTTAACAGATTTAGCTTTACCTTAAAATTGTGTATAACAAACGTGTGATTTTCATAAGCAGAGCAGTTTGTCGTACATTTGGCAGGAATTCTTACTATTTTTGTCAAGGAATACGCAACAACAAAACAGTGATTGCTTTACAGTGTTTCCAAGAAATAATGTCGCAAACGTTGAAAAATTATAGTGCAAAATATACAAAATTCGACATCTTGGCGCGACAACAATTTCTGGAAGAACTATACTCGTGCCTTATAATTTGTTAGCTTCATTGTTCTTCTGCTTTTTTCTCGGTTCTTACTTGACCTTTTTGCTTTAAAAACACGAGCACTATTTTTGAAGGCAGAGCCAGAATTGTGATTTCTGCTTTAATAGGTTATATAGGATTAAAATTATTATGTTTCCTTATACCTTCACTTCTTTATATGACTTGATGCATAGCTATGCTCTTTCTTTCCTCGGCCAGACAAAATTTGAGAAAAAGCAAGTCTGCGGTGATCTTACATTTAGGAAATAGATATAATCTGAAAGTATTGCTGCTTATACGTCCTTTCTTTTCTATCATTTTTGTGAGTCAAACAAAACAAGACATAGATGCTTTTAGCTATAAATGGGCTTAATTTGATCAAATTTGTTTAGATAGCTACATCTGACTTGATTTTTTCTCAAGATGACTCGGTTAGGTTTAACCAAAATGGTTGGCCACTATATCTTACTCCATATCCCTTTTTCTAATAGTCACTTTGGACTGTCCTCCTACTACATTTGTCCCTCTTGTTGATGTTGTTCTAAAGACGTGAATTATGCTATAGCAAATGCTGAGGAACAATTTTGTCCAGCTATGCATCAAAAGCCCAGAGTACCCTGATCAATAGGCCGAACTTTCTTTTTAAGCAAATATAATAGAGTTTTTATCCTATGAATACTTGATCAACTTGTCAAATAGTTGTCAAGGAACCAAAGCAAAACAGAGCCACAACAACCTTTAGCTCGCTACTGCAGCGTGTATGCAGCTATCAATCGACACTATCTAAACAAAAAATAAATCAGTCTATTTTAATACATTGTCAAAGCCAAACAATTACCCTTAAATGAAACAGGCTGCTTTTTTTTTTTTTTTACTCAACTCATTTCCAATCATTTCTATTTTATCCTTCATGTCTTTACTTTGGTATTCAAATTTTTTACACCAACATTTATTGACAAGTTAAGTTGAGACGTGTTGTACGTAAACAAACATGAAGCACTTTATTTTTAATTTAACCATCTGTGCCTCCCAAGCCACTTTTTAAAAAACAGAACATTCAAACGATGCGTGAGATCGATCCTAGCTGTAAAGTCTATTAAATTTAAAGTTCTACAGCGATGTTATCTTAAAAGTGTTAACTGCTCCATTTTTTTTATAAGAAGACAATAAACCCAATTTTGGTTATTTGCTGAATAGGGCTAAGCCTACATGCCAATACATGCAGAAGTTGGCTTACATCCAATGTTATAGACAGTCAATAATGCAGAGTGCTAGATGTAGGCAACAACATGTACTTTTGCATAAAAGGAGGATACATTGGTACCTGGATGAAACGAATGATTGCAGTTCATGGCTTTACATTGGCTTATCCCTAACACATTGATTGAATAAGCCTAAACATCAACTGAGTTTTCTTTTTTAAGCATAGTGGTACAGCAGAACACATCTCATTGTACGGAAATCCTTTTTACTGTCGTACCACCTTAAACCTTAAACTAAAAATGGTCTGTTTGTTTTCTTTTTATGTAGAAAAATATAAAAGTGCCTTTTAACCAACACAAATGTCGATTTTCTCCTTTTTCTTTCTTCTCTTTCTCTCTTCTTTTTTTTTCCTGTAATAGACATGATCAAATTCATTTTTCTTTTTTTCATTTCTCTTGTCAATGCTTCAGTTTATGTCACAGTAAGATAATGATACTAAAGTCAATGCCATTCAAACCATTCTTATAGATTACAAACGAAACATTTGAAGACAGACCAGCAGTATTTGGACCTCGGATATCGTCCAATGGGAAAATGGGGTACGTCGTTGAACCCTCAGATGACCCCACAGGCTGTGGGATTGTTCAACCACCTTGTTCAGACTGGATCGCACTTGTGAAACGTGGTGGTTGTTCATTTATCACCAAAGTGAGGTACATGCAAAAAAGTGGAGCAGTTGCAGTCATTGTGGGTGATGCTGAGAACCCTGGATGGATCACGATGTATTCTCCTGGTAAATGAATGCATGGATAATATATTCAATTAACACAGTACTAGGTGATACGTCTGATGTCTCTATTCCAAGTGTGTTTGTAGCCAAAGACGAATATACAAAACTATTGCAAATGTCGAAACTGTTAGGCACACCTATGATGTCTGTTCTCCAACGACAAGACACATCAATACCTTGGTAAGGAGTGTGAGAAAGATGATCACGATGGATGCTGACCTTCTTCTCTATAGGCCATGGGTGGATATTGTGATGATTTTGTTTTTGGTACCTGCAGTCATGGTGTTCTTTGTGTTCATATTCTGGAAAATAAGACAAAAGATCATGCGAAAAAGAGAATTAGCGCCTGTTTCTGTAGTGTCGAAATTAGCTGTCAAAGTGTTTAGTGAAGAAGAAAAGAAAATAAGCGATGAAAAAGTAGAGCAGGGAGAAGAAGAAGAAGGTGAAAGTTGTGCTATTTGTCTAGAAGAATATGGTGTGGGTGATGAATTAAGACTTTTACCTTGTCATCACCAATTTCACACGCTTTGTGTGGATGCATGGCTAACCACTCAGAAAAAACTGGTAAGATTTATTTTACAAATTTATAACAAACTCATGATAAATAGTGTCCTATCTGTAAACGAGATATTACTTGCAATTTAACGACTGAAATCACACCGCTTCTTTTAGAGTCTGGCTATGCTTAGAATTCTTTTGTAATCATTTTTTTTGTACATATATCATTTCTTTACGTAATATTAATAATAGAAATCTCTCTTTCTCTCTTGTCCTTTTGGGAAATATACTTTTAAAAAAGGAGACTATAAACAGACTCCTTAAATACAACAAAGCTCCCCTTTATGATCTCCTTGAATTGTGTATATACAATCAATCACTTTATTATATTTACATCAATTTAAGAAAGGTTCTTTTGAGCTTCACCCTTCTTTTCTTCGACCTTAGCAGAGGCTTCACCAGAAGTGTTACCAGTAAGAGAATTAACAGCGCCCTTAACAGCACCAGTAACTTGGTTCACAGCACCAGTGACATAGTCGCTCACAGTAGCAGCAGTTTCTTGACCATGACCAGCAGCATTTTGAGCTTGACCCTTGGATTCGAGGGACTTGTTACCTACGGCGCCACCAACATTTTCCTTGACATCACCAACGAATTGGTCCTTTTTAGCATCAGTTCTTGAGGGAGAAGACATGTTTATATTTGAATAATAATAATGAAGAAAAAAAGAAGGTACTTGCGTACCTTATTATATATACTTTTTTTTCTGTAAAGTCAATCATGATGTAATTTTATGATTTGTACGTCATGATGATTTTCGTTTACCATTGTAATTCCATGATTTCATACTTGTGTTCAATTGCTGAGATTCATTTGTGACGAGTGTAAAGTGAAAAAAGCTTTTTTTTTTTTATCCTTTTCATTGACTATGACAGAAGAACAACCTGCTGACTATGACTCAAAGCAGTACGAAGCCATAATAGCATCATGGCAACAGGACTCTACAGCCTATCTTAATCGTTACTATGATCTTTACTATAAACAGTCTAACGACACCTTAGCCACCAGTGTTTATGTTCGTCAGTCACCCAACAAGATCTGTGTTCTCGGCATAACTCAACCTCCTGCCTTTGATAGTATTCATTTACGCGTTGAATTGATTGGTGAGAAAGTAAAGACAGATACAGTCTTGTGTGAACTCAGTAAAGAAGGACAAATCGTTGGCCAAGTGAGGGCTGAAATGGAAGGCAAATTACTCGAATTGAATCAACGCTACAACACAGAAGATCCCCAATCTTTAATGAGAGATCATATGGATATTGGGTTCATTGCCATCATTATGCCAAAGACAGAAGACTCTGCTGTACAACTGAAAGAATTTGAAAAGAAAACAAGCATCCAAAAATAGATAAAATCATGTGTATATAATAACAATAAAAATCCCCTTCTCTCTTTTTTTTTTCTTCTTCTTTAATCAGTATGGGACAAGCAACTTCTTCTCCTCATGCATTGTCCTTCTTTCGAAAGAATCTAGTCACAAATGAATATGAAGATATTTCAAACAAATTCACAAAAGCAACTGTGTCTACTCTAGCTGTGCCTGTCATTATTGTTGCTTATCCTGTATTAAATGCGTACACATTTCATGATTCGGATATTACTGGATTTCGTATCCTTGATGGCGCCATTGGTGGCTTATTGGGTGTGATTGGGTGTATGTAAAATGATTGTTGATTGTTTATTCATGTTTGTATAGGGCCATTGGCTCCATTTATGGCCATTTGGGGCGCGATTCGGATCAATTTTAAAGACAAGCCTCAATTACCGTTGCCTGTGCCAACCGATCTACTCCAACGCGCTGAGGAAGAAATCAATTTAAACACAACTTTGTTTTACAATGTAGCTGTGGTGGGTGCTTCAGGTACAGGCAAGGTAAACTAACTATGTGATATCAGCTCTATATTAATGATACATGTTAGTAACACATTTTGTGTGGGTGTATAGAGCTCGGTTGTCAATGCTATTCGAGGATATAAAGATACACATCCCAAAGCGTCCAGAGTAGGCGAAGTAGAGACGACACACAAACCAGTGGCTTTTCAACATCCTGATTTGACATCCATGATTATTTGGGATATGCCTGGTGTAGGCACGAAACGTCATCCAAGAGAAACGTATTTCGAAGATAACTTTTTATGTGCTTTTGATTTGTTGGTGATTGTCTTGGGAAACAGGCAAGTGTATAAGGACAAGGGTGTTTGTATTAATGTATAGTTCAGGTTAATGCAAGATGATATAGACATTGCATTTAAAGCAAAAGATCAAAGAATACCTGTTTTATTTGTTCGAAGCAAAGCAGATCAAGTAAGACAAGCCATGTATGATATAGACACTGATATGAGAATAGGCAATTGACAGTAAAATAAGAAGGCACGAAGACGATGATGAATATCAATGGGCTACAGCTGTGGGTGAACTTGTATATGAAGTCAAGGATTCTGTATTTACTCAACTTCGGCAAAACCAATTGAACACGAAAAAGTTGTTCATTGTGTCTGCTGCTTCTTTGCAATTATTTGTAGCCACTATCAACAAAAAAGAAGTCAGAAAGACGCTTAAACTGATAGACGAAGAAAGGTTCATGACAGCCCTAATTGAAGGAGTGATGGTCAAGAGACGCTACTATGAGAAACAAGAGAGAAAGAACAAGAAAAAACAAATTTCGAGTATGAAATGAAATAATGCTATTATAATAATAAATGATTAAGAAAAGTGAATATTGGCAGTATTGAATGCAAGCAGAAGCCTAGGTTTATCAGTCAAAGTACGATATAATGAGCCACTTACTTGAGGAAATCATCCAAATCACATCGAGCAGCACGCATTTCAGACATGCCAACGCCTTCAAGGACACCCACCACTTTGGATTTAATATCAAAATCAGATTCAACCATCTAGCAACAAACAATGAATCACACTATAAAGCAATGATATATTACCATTTCATGTGCAGCACAATATGTCTTGTAATTTTGTTCAAGCATGTTCAACACAGTTGTTTGTTTAAAGTTAGCAGAAAAGGTCTTGTGTTTTCTAGTGAATAAAATACGCAATAAACCATCAAATTCCTTGAAATCCACAGGAGGAGGAGGGTTCTTGGGTTCCAATCGAACCACAGAGGATTCTACTTTAGGTGGAGGTCTAAAGTTGTTCTTACCAACCTTCATGACATGATCTACTTTAGCTAATAATTGAACATTCACAGAGAGACGACAGTAGAGTTCATCTCCTGGCTTGGCGACAAGACGCAAGGCAAATTCACGCTGAAACATCAGAATGGCACAACGAAACATGGGACGATGCTCTAATAGCTTAAACACCAAGACGGAGGAAATTTGATAGGGGGTATTACTGATACAGACATCGAAATAAGGAAGTTCAGTCTTCATGAAATCACCCAACAAGATATGAAGCTTCTTTTGATCTGGTCTATACTTTTCATAAGTTATCCATAAATACGATCTATATCTACTTACGTTCCATGCACACGCTTCTGTAATTCAGCAGCAAGACGAGGATCCATTTCAACAGCATACACTTTCTTACAAGCCTGAAGAATACGGACTGTCAAGTTACCAGTACCGGGACCGATTTCGAGAACTGTGTCTGATCCAACAAGATTGGCCTACTTATGGAGATCAATAACCGATCTGAATGCTCGATCGATCTTACCTTGTCCACAATACCTTGAGCTACAAGAGGATTCTTAAGAATGTGTTGACCAAGATCCTTGTTGAAAATGGGGCCAAAGGCTCTCATATCTTCTTGAACTGAGGTCGTCTTTCTAGCGGCTTTGGCAGTGAGTTTAGGCATGGTGTCGAAAAAAAAGATAAAGAAGGGGAAAATTTGACAGAAAAAAAAAAACTTTTAACAGTCTTAGAGCTTAAATCAACTACGACTCCATTAATTACTACGATTTTCAGTAAAGACAAAAACTGTTTAAAATTATTATCTATACATAGTCTGCGTAGGCTACATGTATTGAAGATGAAAGGAGTTTGTATAGGTCAATTGGAGTGTGTTATGGGCTTTAATGCTTAAATGCATATTCCATAGACAAATAGTAAAAATGTATCTGACTATGAATACTTCATAATTTATAGCCACAGGAGCACTATTCGATGAGCTCCAAGTGCTAGTTTTTCGACAACATTATTCAAAAATGAGCGCTATTTCCATTTTGTCGCAGCAAAGAAAAAAACTAATTGGCTTTTATAGACACTTTATGCTAGTAAGCAAGACTCGATGAGTTCTTTGTACGCTAAAGAGACTTGAAAATGCCACAGAGGTCGACTGACGGCAGATACAGTGATGTTACAGCCGGTAACTTGAAGTGTGCAAAAAAAAAAAAAAAAAAAAAAGGCCAATCATTTGTATGGTAAAACGATGCTGGTCTTTTGCGAATCAAGTAGTGATGCTACCGAACAACGCAGTATTGTCTTTATATATATATATGTTTATCTTAGAAAGCGAGTTGGAAGTCTAGCGCGGCAGGTCAGAATTCTGTGCAATGCTCATCGTTTTGTCGTGTAAAGTGCAAAAAAAAAAGAAGAAAAAACTATGGATGTGATGAAAGGAGCCTAGATCTACTACAAAAGTCCACAAGACGCCTTAAGCAAAGTTATAGACGTTTATATGGGCTATCGAATGACACAAAGAACACTTGATGACTCCTGCCAAAATACAGAGAAAAACGCAGAAAACGTGTTTCTTGTTTTATGGTGATAACATACACTTTTTGTATGTGTTTTGCAAAACCAACGCTTGGAGCGTATTTTGTTACATTATATAGACATCTTTTGCTATTGACTATCACAGTAAAAGCCTCATGTATCTCTGACAAACGACAGCTTTGTAATTCTGAACAAGATGACCTTAATACTCCCCTCCCTCAACATTTTTTTCTGAAAATGGCCAAGATGAATTTTTTTTTACTCTTGATCTCCAGTGACATGCTCAAATGCGTGCGTGATATACTTGGATGTCCGCAACATGCACAAAAGCAAAGAGATAGCAGACAAGTGCATTAGCAAAAGATGTAGCGAGAGCACACAGCTACTCTTACATGTCAAAAGAATGATATACATGGTATCGAATCTGTAGGCAGAGGCTGGACAATCGCATGTAACACAGCCAAACACGGCTGACTTTTTATCATTTACTCAACAACTGCATTATAACTTGACTATCTTTTTTTTTTTTTATGTTTTTATGTTTCTTGAGACTCTAAACAACCTACAGTACTATTTGTGTGCCCATAACTGCCAGGTTCTGTAAGTTGTTCTAAGCAAAAATGCTAAAAAATGCACCGTTTTTTGATGGACCATTACTCGACAACCACATTATCAAAACAGCCTGTTTTCTCATTTAGAACATGTTTCTTTGAGTCTAGGAACCGAATGGTACCATTGGTTTGGCTGCTAAGTGAGATTCACTTTTTGACCCATGAGGATCCAGAAGGTTCGTGAAGATAAAAAAAAAGACAATACTGCGTTGTTCGGTAGCATCACTACTTGATTCGCAAAAGACCAGCATCGTTTTACCATACAAATGATTGGCCTTTTTTTTTTTTTTTTTTTTTGCACACTTCAAGTTACCGGCTGTAACATCACTGTATCTGCCGTCAGTCGACCTCTGTGGCATTTTCAAGTCTCCCAAACATCCACAGAAATGAAGCAAACTTTGCCTGTTAGTAGAATAAATAACGATAATCGTTACCTAAACAATAAAGCAGCAGAGCAAATGCTACACTAAACTAAAGGATTTTTTTAAAACTGCTTTGTCAACAAATATTGCATCATGCTCAAACAATGGTGTCAAATAATCCAACTTTTTTTCGTTGATTTCTTTGCAAAAATGTTGCAAAGAAAACCTACCTAATCCACATTCTATAATATTCATGTAGATATACTTCACTCAGTATAAACGTACCGAAGGATGTTGGGATAGAATGTAAACTACCTAGCTCTTTCCTTCAATGTCTTTCATGAGTTTCTAGTTTTCTGCATCAAAAGTAATGATTCTTTGGAAGTACGGATGTTGAGTGCGGCATACTGAGATAGTGATAAACAACAAAACTCGTTTTTGTTCGCACTTACTACCCTCTTTACGTAGGCCATGAGTTGAACAAAAAGTCTCGTCATTCATGATCCTACAAGGGCATATGAATATCCCAACAGTAGCTGTATAAACCTATTTATTATTATTTGAACGACTGAAATTAACAACAAGGCCAGATAAAGAAGACGTCGAAGAGTCATTTCGATCCATTTGAAAAGGCCAAGTAGGTTTCTCTTGTTCTTCATCTAAAGGATGCAATGATGTAGAAACTGAAACCACGGGTTTTGAATGATGACGTGAAAAATGATGAGTTAGGCTAATCAGAGAGGAAGAAATACGCCTGATGCTTTTTCGTAAACGGTCCATGATCGTCACGGCCTGAGATACTTCTTCATCCGTGACTTCAACGGCTTTGTAAAGCGTAGGATCTGCTTCTTTCCACCAAACCGTGGGGTCCTGTAAGTCCTCAACAACCCATGGATGATGTTTGATTTGTTCAAGTGTGATTCGATTCTCAGGTTGTTTAGCTAATAACCTTTCAAATAAGTCCTTGAGCGTCTCTGGTGTTTGGAATCCAATCTCTTCAGGTGTAGGGAATACAAGAGGTGCTGTTGGTATAATATCAAACAATTCGAATTCTGTAGCAGCCGTAAATGGACACCGACCATACACTAGACAGTACAAGGTGACACCGAGTGCCCAGACGTCAATCGCCTTTGTGATGTGTCGATTATCCTGCGTGGTATAATTCTCGACTGAACTACAGAGTTCAGGAGCAAAGAATGCAGGCGTACCTGCTGTTTCTGCTAATTCTCGATCAATTTCATCATCATACTGTGAATGAATGCCAGCTAAATGTTGATTGAAATAAGACACACCAAAATCAGATATCTTAACAATATGGTCGTGTGTAAGTAACAAGTTGGCAGGTTTGATATCACGATGAATGATGCCTTGATAATGCACTAGATAGAGTTACATGTTATTCCACCCTATAGAAAAAGACAGGCTTACGATAGTCTAATCCACTCACTACATCTCGAAATATACTGCGCGCTTGGTCCATTGATAGCACAGGTCTATGGTTTTGCTCATCTCTCCAGAGAATTTCACCGCCTTCCATGTATTCTAATGCTAATCGTGTGGCTTAATACAACCATCACTCGCCATGCAGCTTACCTAAATAAATCTTTCGACTGGCCGGATCGTCTATGACTTCACGTAACCGAACAACATGTGGATGTATACATTTTTTTAATATAGCAATCTCTCGTCTGATCTTTTGTTCACTTTCATTGTATTCGTCTAAAGCTTCATGGTATTGTTGACGGTGATAATTTTTGGCCCTTAAGATACTGTATCCCAGTTGTCTTCGTCGTGATTGTTTATCTACTATTTTAATAGCCTAAAAACTATCATGTTAAAAAAGGAGAGAGAAAGAGAAAGAGAGAGAGAAAGATACATAAGGAGATTCACTTACAACAAGTTCTCCTGTATCAAGGTCTTCTGCTAATTTGACTTTTCCATGTACGCCTCGGCCAATTTCTTTGATGATCATAAAGTTATTAATGATTTTATTGCCTGTTTCTGGATCATATTCTTTATTGATTTTATGGGTTGTCAAGACAGGCGAAACCATATTGGTCGATTCTCTATGACTATTGGGTTTAAAAAATGATAGTCTACGAAAAGACCGTTTTTTGGCTGGCTGGTTTAGTGACGAGTCTACACTCTTCCAGGATGTTAGAATATGACCTTGTCTTTGTTGTTTGTCGGGTTCATGGCTATGCATAATAGAAAAGACAAAGAAAAAAGAGAAAGAACAATGTAGAAAAGAAAAAGAAAAAATAAAAATGGCGGCATCTAAAGTGAGAATTGAATGCCAGCTTTTTTTTTCTGCATTATCTTGATAAGGGGCTTTTTTTTTTCTTCAATCAGGCCATGATTCTTGTTACAGCATGGCTTAGTAGAATCTTAAAGCAAAACTATCTTGACTGTATGTATTCATTCAGACAGAAATAAAAAAAACCAAGTTTAATTATTTTCTCCCTTTTATTTTCCTCCTTTTTTTGAATTTGTGTAGGTGAACCGTATTCATTATTTAGCTTCCTTTAGGAAAAAAAAAGGTCTTTATAATACATAATTAATTGCATTCTCCAAATACCATTCGTTTAGGGAGGGAGGGGGGGAATATACATTTGTTCTTGAATCCATTTTGTAGGAACTGCCCATGCGTTGTGCAACACAAGATGGCCAGTGATTGGCCTTTATATCCATCAATGGATCTTCAAGCAGATCTTTGTATGTTGGTATAGGCTTGTCTCTATCAACCAGGCAATGCTTTTCTTGTTGTAGAATCAAATAAGCTTGACTTGAACCGCGTTCATACCAGTATATCCCAAATAAATCATAGACACAGTTTGTTTTATCATCAATTGCCATGGATGGTTTGTCATAATTAGATCTGTGAACAGCATGTCCTTGTGGTGATCTTTTTCAACGCACAGACACATCGTCACTTTATCCAATCCTGTAAAAATAAGATACATGCTGTCATGGAGTGTCGCTTGTTTAGAGTCCGCTTTAAGCCGAAAACGAAACTTCTTTCTTTATAAAAACACGGCATGAAGCAACATCTTCCTACTGAAATCTACCAGCACATCTTTCGTGGGGTCCCTCGATGGCAACTCTACCAGTGCATGTTTGTCTGCAAAGCATGGCATGGGTTAGCGGCACAAATGTTTTATGAAGAGATCCGCCTCTCGATTGAAAACATTCGCGCTTTGAAACAAAAGTTGGCTGATGGCAGTTTTTGTTTACCTTACGGATCGCATGTCAAGTCGTTCACGATCGTGGCAGAATTCGATTCAGAGCCAGGCATAGATGATCGATTGGTTCCCGAATTAGCACTGGAAGTAGACGAATTAGAACACTTTTTGGCGTACACGCCTCACCTAAAAAAGGTCGACTTTACTTCATCGTTTATTCAAAATCATTACATTCACATCTTCCACACGTTGGAACAAAAGCCACTCATTGAAGAGTTTGCCTATCCTGCATCCACGTACGATAGCTATGAAGGTGACTTTTTTGCATTGTGTTATGCCTACCGAGATTCGTTGAAGGATGTCTCTTTGACTTACAATTACCATAATCATATGTTTCATAACACACCTTCCTATTTGGCATTACCAGAATTCAAGCACATGACACACTTGTCCTTCTGTAATGATTTTAGTCCTGATCTACTCTTATTTGACATCTTGGAGATGTGTCCTCAGTTAACCTATTTCAGTTTTACAAGCTATACGCTTGTGCCAGGCACAGCAGCCAATGCACTCGAGACACTGCTCCAGAAATACAAGATCACTCAACCCTCGCCCTTACCTCACAATCGTTACCTCACCTACTTGGAAATTGCCGTACCTGTCTTCACCAGACCTTACATGGACTACATCACACATTATACTCCCTTTACACTCAACACCATACGACTCAAGATCATGGATGATTATTTCTACGACTGGATCCAAAACGAAGGCATGGACGCCATTCTTCAACTTGCCAGACGCATGCGTCATGCCAAGACAGCACGTATCTTTAGTTGTCCCAGTGACGATGTCCAGAAACAACCTATCCTAGGCCACGCTAAAATCACTCAGTTTTTTCAGATTGTGCATGCTCTTCAAGGGGATCGCACCCTGTACTGTACTTTTAATTGCAGCGAGAGTTCGGCTCAGGAAATTGCGCTTGCTGTCTATCATGGTTACCATCTGTCTTTGAACTATGGACTGGATCAACAAGACTTTGATGGCATGGAAGAAGAACCACAAGTACCACCTTATCATTTGATCCAATGGCCAGATCGAGCCATTGCAGGCATTGGGTTTGAGATTATCCATGAATTCAAGTTGCGTATTACTCATAAAGTGCAGGATGTTCCTATGGCCTTGATGGATTATGCACTGAAGCAGTGTCCTCACCTGCATCATTATGAAGCTGATTTTTGGCGGTCAGACTGTAAGATCGAATGTCATTCTGTATATCATGACCAGCCCAAGACACAAGATATTCGCTGGATCAAGATAAAAGGTGGGTCTGGGATCACTCAGGCACTCGCTCATAAGATAAGCACGTATCTGCCTCATATCACTACAGTGGACTATCGATTCGGAGACAGAGGCTTGTTTGATGCTGAACAAGACAACAATAATTATCAATACATTCTGGACTTGAGACCCCTGACTTCAGTGCAGGAGATTCATGTTGATTTTCGATTGTTGGTCTATAAAGTCATCAATCATGTCTTTCTCAAATTGATAGAGGACACAAGTGAAGTATACTATGAAATCATCAAACGAAATCAAGAGACAATAGCTATTCCGTCTGATGAAAACAGAGTCATTGCATGCTGTCATGATCGTTCTAAGCTTACTTCTCTCACTATATTCTATAAAAAGAGTGGCATAAAGCAAGTACTGAAGAATGCAAGTAACACGATTGTATTTGAATAAAGCACTCTTTATTTTAGCAGTCTAGATTAGCTATTCTGATTGGCTTGATAATACCAGTCCCTGATTAAAAAAATTTTTTTTTTTTTTTTGAATGTGTCTATAAAGACCCACCTTAAATCATCCTTTTCTTCTTGTTCTTTACCTTTAAACTGTAAGTACATATAGACATGAAAACTGTTTACTATACAAGATGATTGTATAAAATGGGAATCTCTCTGAAATACAGAATGAAAGAGAACATTATATATTTGTTTACTGAATAGGAAACAGTTTTCTATGTAATTTTGTTTATTCAGGTTTATTGACTGTATTCATAGTGTGTTTGCAAGTCCTTTAGAGGGTAAGTTACTTTAGTGTAATCTTTCAATGATGAGAGAAAAGGTTTCAAAATTATCATGCACCACCACGCTTAAATGGGGCGCAAGCCTTTGTTGCAGATTAGAAACAATCAATATCTGATAGAAAGATGATTAAAAATTCAAGGCTTCGTATTTTTACTAACTCTTCATGATAGACATTTGTTTATAAATAAATAAATAAAAATTTTAATGTGTATTATGTATTTCAGAAAGTGCCTTTTGTACATTTTCAGGTAATAATTCAGGCAATCTATGAGTGCTTGATTCATTGACTTGGATGGTCAGCATGGAAGGGGGATCCTAGTTTTGTTTAGAACCATGAAGAGAATAACAAAAAGACTTACATTGATAAAAGGACACAACACTTCTGGCAAGTATTGTCCATGTTGAGCAGACCAAGATCTTCTCTCTTGTAATTCGTCTAAAACAACCAAGTCAGATAGATTGAGATTGCCTTGACTTACCATGATAAGCATCTTCAAAGGCTTTCGTCAATTCTCTTCTTTGAGCTTCTTGTCTTTCTTCAGCCTTTTTTCTTCTTTCTATCTCCAACAACAGATAATTATAAGAAGAGGCATAACATTGATACCATTCAGCCAAGGCAGACAACTGCTTAAAGAATTCGTCCAGATTGAGTTCTCGCTCTTTGATCTCCATGTCTGTATCTGCTAATTTCTCTAGAATAATATCTGCTTGACCTGTACTGAATGTCTCTAATTGATGTGTTATCTTGAGTAATTCAGTCTTGACTTGTAAATAGACTTCCATTCGTGTCTGTATTTCTTGACTTGAACAAGGTAAGTACAACCATAAAAGATCTTTATTTTTTACCTGATGGATTCGACAATAGCCAAACTATGCTTGAGTTCTTCCAAAATAGTGGGTATGTGTTCATGGTCTTCTTGTAAGACAGTGATATCCAAGGCATGTCTTCCTTCTGGATCTGATTGGTACATTCTACATTGTCAGTCTATTCTTTTGCTATGGACATCTTGTCTCCATCCTCCTCCCTCCCCCCACCCTTCGTTACTCACCTTGTTGCTTCTCCTAATTGATCATAATGATTGGTTAAGCTTGTCAAGATATCTGCCATGTTGGAGATCTCATCTTCTTGGATCTGGATCTTTTCACTTGAATAAGCTGCTGTGGCTTCATCTAATGGAATCACTAGTGATTTAGTACGCGCTTTGGTGATGTCTGACATGAAACCAGACAACCATTTCACTTGGTTTTGTAATGCATTGTTGGCTGTCTATTTCTTCATTAACTCTTGAGTCAAGAAAACCTTTTACTTGCCTCCATGTCGCCTATTTCATCATCGGCTTGTTGTTGCAGTTCAATGATTTCTTGGTCAGAAATATAATCAAACAAACAACTGTATTGCTGTGGATCTTTGGCTCTCTCTTGATTGACTCTGAGGATATCAGGATCAATGGTGCACTGTTTCAACAAGTTGAAAATGGTTGTCAATTCCATCGTCAGTGCTTGTAGATGAGATTCACGTTCCTATGGAGTTTATCATCCTGCTGGTCTCTATGCTTCTTACTTTAATACGAGTCTTGCAATGATCTACATTCGACATTAAATAGTCTTTGACCTTATCCAAAGTACTCAACTGGACAAGAATATGGTTATCAGCAAAGACCAACTTGGGATATACTTTAGTGATGGTCTCCACATGGTTTTCTGATGTCTGTAACCAATGATTTGCTTGTGCACATATCGATTGGCCTGTTTGAAGTGCCTTTTTAGAAGCCAACAAGAGTTCAATCAGTTCTTGTTCCATTATAAAAAAAAAAAAAAAAAAAAAAAAAAAAAGGAAATAAACAACAGGCTCTATTATCCAATGACATGTCGTTTATTACTTGTACACAATCTGCCTTGGTTTAGAACTAATACAACCATGCATACTGTTTCTACAACAAGCAGGGAATGCTTCTTGACAGAGTCTGCCTCCTCTATAGAAAAAGACATTAGTATCTGATAGGTATGATTTGTTTTATTCTTACCCGTCTGTGTCACAAAATGCATCACAGTGAGTTGTTTGAGTGACAGGATCCAGTCGTTTGCATAAATGGGCTTTCTGTAATACTCCACAGCGGATAGGCACTGTAGAGGGAGTGAATGCCATGCATGACAGACTTGCTTCTCCACATATATTGTCTGTCGAATAATGGGCAATGACTTGACTGACATAGGTTGTAGAAGGTAGTAAGTCACTTTCATTCACAGGTGATTGAATACGATTATGATGCTTACGTAAAGGCATCATACCTTGTACAAGCAGACCACAAGACAATAAAAGTAGAATGTTTACCATGACATATACACAAAAGAAAAAAAAAAGTGAAAAAAAAAGGTATTTATAATATACATTATTTGCCCGAAACAATTCAAGCTTATGCATGCCACTTGCATTTAGTTGATAGTTTATGGGCATGAATACGATAGCTGATATGAATATGCGTAGTGCTTTTTCGTGGTGATTTTGTAGAGGGTTTCTTGAACGAGACAGTACTAGGATGTCGAAAGGAAACAGGACCTCTTTGCGAAAGACAGACTAGAGCATAAGCCATATGTCATGTAGGTTACTTACTTTTAAATCCTTTCTTCAAGTTGCTTTGTCTTCTTGATTCATAAAATGGATTTGAAACAGGCTAAACAATAAGTCATCCAATAAAACAAGGGAAACTTACACCTGACGTTATTCTGGAAGAATGGTGTGTATCATCATCTAACCCAGCTTATTTTATTTTACAGTGTCAAATGGCAGCTATTATTATTATTGTTGTTGTCTTTTACCTAACAAATGACGAATAGACATGGCATGATGACTAGTTGGCTGACATGGATAAGCTTATGTTTTGAGTCCTAACTTACTTTTTTAAACTGACTTTTATGGTGTGCTAAAGCCATTAAAATCGTGCCTGCTTCTTTATCTTCGGCATCCATATCCAATTTCTTTTGATATGGACTAGGATCATTAGGGTCTGAAGGTGAACGATAGACTCTTTGATTTTTTCGAGAATGAGGTGATGTAAAAGTCATGATTGAAAAAAAAAAAAAAAAAAAAGAAAGAAAAAGAAAGAAAAAGGGTTGTTTATTTAAGGTATGCTTGTACAACTTTCTTTTTTTTTTTTTTTTTTAATAGATAGGAGTTTTTTTTTATGGATATAAATAAAATGCCATACTGATAATCACATAAGAAGACTATAGCGTAGTGAGTCAAACAGTATCCATAATACATTACTTACCAATAACAAGACACCTTCTAACCAATTAGATCGACCATCTTGAATCAAATAGTTAACAATCAACACACTAGCAAACAAAATGATGGTCTCAAAGTCTTCAAAGAACAAAGTCATTGGTTGATGAATAGCCCAGCCAGCAATGACAAGCACAGGTGTGACTAACAAGCCAATCTGCAAGGAAGAAGAAATAGCAATACCAATACCCAAATTCATCTTGTCTTTCATGGCAAAGGTGACAGCACTCACATGTTCAGCAGCACTAGAAAACGGTGAGGAACGCCTATCAATCGCATGGCTAACTTACTTTCCAACAATAGGCAGTAAAATGATACCTACAAAGGTTTGATTGATGCCCCAACTTTCAACAACGCCTTCAATACTATAGCAAGGAATTCAGTCAATGTGTCATCAAACAAGCAATACTTTACGCGCCAACAAGATATTCAGCATGAACAGAAACAACACAAGCAAGGACCAACAGTCTACTGGTTTAAGTAACATGTAACAAAAGGATCTACTTACGAAATCACTGAAAAGGCAAGTGTGGTCGAAGGCATTTCTTCGTCATCAGCCTCATCTTCGTACTACCATTGAAGGGTGAGACAATGTGTTTCATTTACTGTTTTTTCTTACCAAGAATGTATGTGTCTTGAGCTAGAACAGAAAAGTCAGATATTGTTTATGTTATGGTGTTGTGTTACCTGAAAGAGTAAATAGAGGACATAGACGACCAATAAAACGATAGACACGCCACGACTCAATTGGAGAATACTTTCGACTGTATCTTCATCCGGTGTAGAAGCAGAGAAGGACGCAGGCACAAGTAAAGACAAGGTAGTGAGGGCCAGAAGAGAACAGGAAGTTTGTGCAGCTAGTCTAATAAGTATGTCTGTTGGTCTATGGATGCTTACCTGTGACATTGAACTTTTGTTCTGTTCTGTTTAAGCCACCCAAAAAGAAACAAAAACCAAGGACCTAATAAGAAACGATGAGTTAAAGGTGATATTGTTAGATGGTACATACGAGCAATAAGTTGGATAAGATAGATCCTAATACAGAGGCTAACAAAATGGTAAACAAAAAATATAACCTATTTTAGATTTTACCTTGAACAACGCGAATCAATCCTTCTTTTAAAGCAACGACACCCAAAATAAGCTCAACTGCATTACCAAACGTAGCATTCAATAAGGCGCCAATGGTCGAACCAGATCGAAGCGCTATTTCTTCCGTGGCTAACGCATCATATAAGATCCTTGTTGTTGCTGTTGTTATTGCTACATATGATCACTTACCAAAACCTAAGAGTTTAGCCAATGGAATGATAGCAATAAAGTTCAATGTAAAAACCACCGTAGCCGATGCATGAATAAGTGAATAAAAGATAGAGATAGGCACAAAGATCAAAAGAAGATTAATGTAAGAAGAATAGATGGTAACTTTCAGCGAAGACCACAAAGTGATATTCTCTTGAGATGTGTGGTTTCCAAGCAAAGGTTCGTGTTCGTTACTCATTTGATTGTATAGAAAAAAAAAAAAGAGAGAGAGAGAGAGGATAAAATGACGTTTCAGCTTTTATATATGTCTATCTTTGAATAAACAAACTTGAACTTCCAAGAAAGAAGGGTGACACAAACAACTTGCATTATGTTTATGAAACAAAAGAAGAAAAGGATCATGTTACTGAATAGCATTTTTGTTTGTTTTTCTTCACAAAACAGGCTCTATGGCTTTTATACGTAAAGGTTGCCGAAATCCGCTGCAGGTTAAAAATAAGGGGGCACTTACTCCTGAATAACCAAATAGACAACAAAGAGCGAAATCGTTTGAATTAAAGACTCATATTCTAGATTAACTATTGATGTTATAGAAACATCGTATCGAGTAACGCGCTTTTGTTGGACCAGCTTCGATTGATCGCCATTGTCTTCACATAAGATTCTATTGAAATGATTAAAAGTTATTCAACAAAGATGCACCATTACTGCCTCAAAAACACACTCAACATTACTTCTCACATGCGTAGTGTCTAAGCATTACTTTCATGCATGCTATATCGTGAGAGAATTGGAGAATAACCAGCTACTGTTCATTCTGCTTTAAAGTTTTGTGCTATGCTTATACCCTGACTACTATGCTTATGTGAGTGATAGGCTGTAGTCCAAATAATACCATTAATGTTAAAAGAAACAGTAATACTATCATAAACGTTGCATTTTACAGGTTTACTTGGACCAAGATTGATAGCTAGATTTGCTATCTCGTATCGTTAGTTGAGTATAATTTACAACTATTCTATTGATATATAGCCTGATAAAATATTTACTAGCAACAAGGAAAAAAAAACTAATTGGCTTTTATAGACACTTTATGCTAGTAAGCAAGACTTGATGAGTTCTTTGTACGCTAAAGAGACTTGAAAATGCCACAGAGGTCGACTGACGGCAGATACAGTGATGTTACAGCCGGTAACTTGAAGTGTGCAAAAAAAAAAAAACTCGATCAGAATCTTTGGAATGATCCAGTGTAGGTCTGATCCAACCGAAATCAGGCAAGACCATGTATAGGTACTTCTGATGAAAAGAAAACGAGCCTACTAAGATGAAAAAAGGCGACTTCATTTACGCATTGGCTTCAAATCTGCGTTCAAAGCTCATTGCACACTATGATGAGTGCAAAAGAGACCCATTTCAGCAGAGGTTGACTATTAGACAAGCAATCATGCTTATACCATTCAATGCGCAAACAATAGGCGAGCAAGTCATACTATACTACTTGGCATTTTTGAGGACTAAAGGGTGCAAATAAAGACAGGACAAACTATGGAAGACGCATACGAAGGGGAAAGATGATAATTTAAACACCAACAGTTTTCTTTTTCATAAGGTATACTCTGATCAGATGCATGCTTTCGCTCTTTTACAGCACTTGCAACTCGAATTCGTATCTTACTACACATCATTAGAAAAGAAGCAGAAAAAATATAAAATTTTTGGAGTTAGAAAGTGATCAAGTGCTCAGTGTAAAAGCATGTTGAAGATACCACCACAGTAGTGTACAATTGAAATTTACTTTGATCAACAAATAATAAGGGTCGAAAGCAACAATGAAGCATTAAACTAGTAAAACCAAATCAGCTTCGAAATTGGATACTTTGCATCTTACATTCAAAAGTATATATGTCAATAATTGAACAATACAAAGTGCAGCAGTGTTGGTCACATAAACATATTAATTGTCGTTACCAAGACCAAGAAATGAGCTTCCAGATAGGGTAATGCTACATGTCAGAAACAAGTAGGGTATAATGCCATGCCTGGAGTGAGTTGATCATTTTCGATTCAAGAGTCCCAACGAAAAAGAAGAAGAAACCTTGTTTCCATTATTTACAGACGCAACCAGTTTTTGTGAGTGTCCTGAATGGATATAGTAGCTAATAGGAAGAGAAAGAAAAGGACAAGAATCAGAAACTAGGCACTAAAAACATGAACACAGAGACAAGAAGAAAAAGAAAGAGATCCATCGGTATTCTTGATTTCTGGGGTATTGTTTTACATGTATACTTAATTTCAGTAGCAAAAGAATTAGATTGAAGCTTGATTATAAGTGCCATTGAGATAATGAGCCTCCATTCATTCTACAAGTCTCATTACAAATGAGGCTTCATTTCGAGCTGCAAGTCGATGTCAAGTAAATCAAGTTTAAATTCGATTTACTTGATTGAGAAGACTAATCTTAGTCAGTTTATATTTTATGTTTCGCTAAGATGAAAGAAATGACTTGTCTATTCTGTACCCTATATACATGCGATACTTACGTCTTATTTTTCTCATTTTCAACTCATATAAGCGCTTGCTTCAAAACGTCGCCTCAAATAAAATTTTGAATTGCCAGGACAGACTAAGGTCAATTAAAGGTTCTTTTTGTACTGAGCATGAATTCGGCGTAACCAAATTGAAATAAAAAATATTCCCACCTAGATGAAATCAGTTTTAAGGTTTAAGTGGCTGGCAGATGTCAAGAATGCTAAGAAATACTGAAAGCATCTCGAATATAACCTTGAAAAAAAAGAGAGACAAGGACTTGAGATTTAATTAATTATTGTACGAATGAGAATAAGAAGAACTAGAGTGTCAAAATCAGCGGCGGCGTCGTCTCTTTGCACTAAATAGAAAAAACTGAGTTTGCCTTCCTACATACAATACTCACTTGTGCATTGATCGAGTTATCTTTCTTGTGATAGTAACGTTTTTTGCTGACTTCTTTGGTGTACAAGGTCTTTTCTTCCAAGGCAAATCAGCAATTGTAGTAGGAGTACAGGCATCGACAATTGTGATAGGAGCAGAGGCATCAACAGCTATAGTAGAAGCACAGGCATCGACATGTTCTTTTAGTTCCTCTACCACTTATTCATGGTTTAAACTTTCATCTATGTCTGGAGACTGTAGATTTTCCTCCTCATTGCCTACTTCATTGTCTACTTGGTTGTCTACTCCATTGTCACTGACTTGTTTGTCTTGATTTTCATTGTTGAACCTCTCGCTTAAAGCCTCTACATCAAGTGTTCTTTTCTGCCCAAAACAAATGATTAAAAGTCCAGTAAAAGTAAAACGTAAAGTACCTTGAGCGTTGTTTTGTCCTTTCGTGCCATATTACGAAACCTCTCACTCAGCAGAAGATATGCCAACCAGTGTCTGTGACACATCAATGTCAACATTGCACAACTTGGCTTTTGTCTCCAAATAAATGCATGATTCTGTCGTTACGCAATAAGGGATTTGTCCTCAGTGACAGGGATAAGCTTCAGATAGTCTCTAATCAAGAGTTTTTTGAGAAACATGACCGCTCTGTCAGTAGCTCAGTTGAGTTCCATTCGTTTGTCCAACTTGATTGCGTTTTTTGCTTCTCTGGCCAATCTGTCTTCGCCATCTACTCTTCTTGGTTCAGCGTATTGATGACGGAAAAACCAGGTAAGAATAGGGATTTTTTCACACAATTGGTAAGACTATCTATTTCTTTTGCCTGTAGTTTATGAAGGATGTGTTGAGGAAGAACTGTTATCATAGGAGGATTGGGCCTGTAAAGTAGTTGTGCTTCTAGTAGTTGTGGTGATGCTAGTGATACTGATAGTGGCTGTGATGGTAGCGTTGCTGGTAATGGTGCTGATGCTTGCTCTTGAGCTGATATATTTCAGAAAAAGAAAATTGAAAAGACACGTTACCTTTTGAAGCAGCAACTAAAGACTGCAATAATGTTTTTGCTTCGCGTACATCGTTTTCCAATGCATCAACTTTCCTCACAATACCAAAGATGTCTCTTTCGTTTGCTTCAACACTCTCAGTAATTCTTTAAAAATTCATTGCCATGCAACTTACGTGATTCAAAAGGAAAAGAAAAAATAATACGGTGGTATTATTGAAACATGTTTGTTTGTTTATTGTTATCGATTTGTCATCAATAACAAACATTCACTTAATAAGTAAGCTAATGTAAAGGATCATACATAAATCAGATTCGTGTCGACTTCTTGCCAGTGACAAAGAGAAGCTAATACCCAAAGAAAAGTATTGTTGAAATAAAAAGGAAAAGGGGGATTTTTTTTTATCACTTCATCGTGTAGTACAGTGTATGCATATGCTTGGAAATATTATATGTTTTTTATGTATCTCACCAGAGTATATCAGCATACTCTGTAATCAACAAGTAGCCTTGTATACTGCTTGGCCTAAGCATATTAACAAACTCATCCTTAAATAAACTGGACAAGCAATTGATAAGCATAATAGTACCACCGACAGATTGGCAGTCCGCTGCAGGCCTTAGTACAAATTGTTCCTCGGGCTCTATGAAACACACTTAAAGTGTTATATCTGCAAATGTGCTATGAAAAGTGTGCGCTATAGCTCAAAAGCAAAAAATATGTTTTAGAAGCATAGTTCATTATTTAAGGAGCAAGCATACTGCGTTTTTTTATATAATCTGCCACGCCATGTCTGTATCTACAAACTTTGTTAATACGACTTCTTAGTAGCTTTTTGTTTCTGAATACTTTTAGTCCATTATTTTTTAAAAATTAAACTCAGACACATTTATTAAGGAACATTTTGGAGGTGCCAAATTTTTTTTTTTTTGTCTTTTCTGCAATATTAATGCTAATCTCTATCTCTGTTTTATAGTAAGCTGCCCAGTACAATGGAGTATTCAAATTGAACTTCTTTGTTTGCTTGTTTCTCCTTTCATCTTTCTTTTTCTGATATCAACATGAAGATTTCAATACAGCAAGTCAAATGAATTCAAATCATAAATCAGATCTTCTTTCAAACGATCTATACTAAGAACTAATCAAGACTTTCGTTCATAGTCATCTGCATTGAGAATTAAATGCGATCAAGGAAGCACATCATGAAGCAAATAAGCCAATTTGGAACAAAGCCAGTTCAAATGATGACTTTCTATTCCAGATCAAATCGTGGCACAATCGAGCTCTTTGTTGCTTCTGTAGATATGCTATCTATGCTATTATACTCAAAAAAAGAAAAGAAAAGTATGTGTTTGTTAGCCATAAGGATTTAGTCTGTTTAGTTTTCCTCTATGAATCCTGGTAATCAAATGCCACAAAGATCATATGAGCTATGTCTTTTTTTTTTTTTTTTTTGAGAGTGACCGAGTTTGATGTTGCTACCAAAAAAAGAAGCCAAAACATGCAGCAAATGCCTCAATCAAGAAGGTTGACTTGCATATTGAATAGGCAATTCTTTCTTATTTTTTTTTCTCGCTTTCTTGTACGAGATCAAATGAATGCTTTACAGATTTGGTGATAGAAAGAAGCATTGCTCATCATTCCATTCTCTTGTTGCTTACGAATATTATATGCCCCCCTGAGAGACAAAGTTAAATATACTTATTGGCAGTCCAAATAAAGACCGAAACACATTACAAAGGAATGCTTTCAATTGTCAACAAGAGTGTACTTGTATGAAATGACTGTAAAGAAATACACATAGAACTCAACGTCCATAGCCTAACATGACTTTTATGACATGTATCAAGAAAAAAAAAAAAAAAAGTGCTTCAAAAGTAAATGGCCAAGATTGGCAGCACAATAAACAATGTCTACCAATGTCAAATGCAGTCCATGTGATGATATCGAAAAAGAAAATGTAACTTTAGTCAACAATGAGTAATGCCTGTTTTGGCCTTTATTCACTACAATTGACAAACTACCTTGTGTCGAATTGATCAAAAAAGAAAAAATATTTATTGTATATTTTCATTTCCCGATCTTTTTTGCTTCCTTTTCCTCTTTCTTTTTTTTTTTTTAAACTCTTTGTTCCTGAAACTCACTCCCATTTTTGGCTTTACTCCTGGTTTATAAGAAAAGAGAGAGAATGAGTCAAGGTAGAGGGTCCACCTGTGTTATTCAACCTTCCAGGTCTTCTTTATTCCATCGTCGTACTAACAGTAACACAAGCAATAAGAGTAAGCTCATGCCTTCAACCATGTTGAAACTCATGTATCCATAGCCAATGTCAAGCCAAAAAGAAACTTTTTCTCATTCTTGATGTGCTGTGCACTCAAGAAGAAAAAGAAACAAAAAGAACCTGTAGTTGAGAAAGAGATGACGCCTGTTGCACCACCCACACCACCCACACCACTATTACCTGAATCTGACTTGGTTGATCAGGCACTGAAACGACCTTCTTCAATTGAAGAAAAAGAATTCTTGACCGAGGATGAAGACAAGTATGAACAAGTAACCAAGTCAGAAGAAGCAACATTGGATGACTCTAATGTAATGTCTATTCACCTAATCCAAACTGACATGTCTATAGGTTACTTTCCTTCTCAACCCTATTGAAAAAGAACACCGTGGACGTAAATGCCTTGTATTAGACCTTGATGAAACGTTAATTCATAGTTCATTTAAAGTAAGTCTATGGTTACTGTCCATATCACTGATGTATGATTGATTAGACGGTTGCTGAAGCCGATTTTATTGTTCCTGTAGAGATTGATGGTCATTATCATAATGTATTTGTCCTGAAAAGACCTGGTGTAGATGACTTTATGCGCAAAATGGGTGAATTGTACGAGATTGTGATCTTTACAGCCAGTCTTTCTAAAGTAGGTGTATAACAGGATAACATCATACTCAACCATCCACTTAGTATGCAGATCCAGTCTTGGACAAGTTTGATTTACACCATGTTATCCACCATCGTTTGTTTAGAGAATCTTGTCACCCATACAAAGGCACTTTTATCAAAGTAACGTATCTTTCTCTAAAATAGGAGAACTTACTTTTCTCCTTAGGATTTGTCAAGATTAGGCCGTGATTTAAAGCATGTCATCATTCTCGATAATACACCCACAAGCTATAGTTTCCATCCTTCCAATGCTGTGCCTGTCTCTACCTGGTTTAATGATCAGCATGATTCTGAACTTATTGACTTGATTCCTTTTCTTCAAGACCTATCCAAAGTAGATGATGTCGTTGAAGTCCTCAACACCTCATTCTAATCTGCACTGTATTTTATATTCATTCATCTCATTTTACATAATAAACCCATTCTTTTATTATTCCAACATGTAAATCCTTGAGGCCACATCCTGCACTACCCAATCCATACCCTTCAATAGACTATCCCCTGTGACTGCACTGCATGCAAATATAGCCCAGTGATGACTCTTGATATCATCTAAACCTAAAGCCATTCGTATCTCTTGTTCGGTTAATGCACCTGCAATGTCTTGTTTATTGGCAAACACCAGTAACGTAGCGCCTGCCAGTCTCTCTTCTTGTAAGAGTCCACTGAGTTCTCGCTTACAGTCTGATAAACGTAGACGATCTGCTGAATCAACCACCCAGACCAATGCATCTGTCTGCTCAAAATAGTTACGCCAATAGGATCGAATGGATTTCTGACCCCCTACATCCCATATATTCAGTTTATAACTACACCAAAGTCAGTCATCTGTTGATCCAGTGTGTGATTTACTTTTCATGTTCTAATGTCTTGATATTAAACCCAAGCGTAGGTGAAATAGTATCAATAGGTTCACCATTAATACGCTTGAGGATGGTTGTCTTGCCAGCATTATCTAGACCACTGAATAACAATGAGATCAAGCATCGATAGACATGACTTACAGCATCAGAATACGCATCTCTTTCTCATGTTGACGATTCTTTTTCAAGATGCTCAGTAAGCCCATGATGATGAAAAGAAAGAAAAGCGTGTTTTATTCACTCAAAGCGGAGTTTAGGTATACAAATCAATGATGGCTTCAATTGAATTGCATTGACTACATGCTTTGACAAGTAAGTTGCACAGTTCTTTAGGTATATAAGAACGCATCTTTCTAGCCTAGGAGAGTATCAGTATAGGGCATTGAAGATCTACTTGCCTCTTGGTACGTTGTATTGACAGATCCATGTTGCGCATGTGCTTTAGTCAAGATAAAGAACAACTCTTCTTCAAGACACACAGGCAATCCAGCCATCCCATCGACTGTTCTTGTACACAACACTTGATGACCACTCTCTTGATGGAGCATAAACCTTCTTCTTACCCAATAACGATAAGCAGCAGTACCAAGATGACATTGTCTCTTCCCCTATACTGATATCAGTCTTTGTAGAGTTATACCTTTGTAGTACTTGTTCTACTATCTTGACAATATCAATCGCTGTATTTAAAGAAAGAATAGCTTTTCTATGCTTCTTTTTGACTGCCTTTACTAAGGACTGGAATTCTTCTTGTGTAATCCAATCCACAGGCATGGATCGATACAGGGACAATTCTGTAATCATAAAAAAAAAAAAAGAAAGACAATTGACGTAACACCATTTTATTTTCCTCTTCTTTCTTTTTTTTTTAATTATGTCAAATAAGCCTACCGAAAGTACTTCTAAGCTGAGTAAACCCTCTGCTATTTCAAAACAAGTCCTCAAGACAAACCCTATTCCACAAACAGTCTTGTCGGAAGACACCACACTCCCTGTACTGAAATCAAAAGCACCTACACAACCCCTTCGAAGTACGAAAGTATCTCAGAAACTGGTGTTGTTTCCTACAGCTGAGGATACAGAGACAACCATGCCTATGGACGCACCTAAAGAAGAAGAAGAAGAACATGCCGACAATACTGACTATGACTTGCGACGTGCTTCATTGAATGAACGACAATGGGAAGATGAGCAGAGTCAACCACGTACAGCAGGTGTCCCATTGCCTATCGAATGGACATTTGGATCCCGCACACCTGCTGAACGCATGACCAAAGACGAACGAGAGGCAGCCATGTTGCCTCGAGCAGCAGCATATTATACAGGTGAAGGCTATGATCTCACACGTCTTCGACCCTTTTTACGCCAACACCATCATGTCGCTCCTCGATTGTATGATGAGTGTCTTTATGCTGCTTATCGTTTTCCTCTCAAGACACTACGTCCCGACAAAGACAATTTGTTCAATATCCGTATACAGAGTTATGCGCCTTCGAGTCTGGAAGACATGGACTATGATGAAGATCATTTCAATCCCTCGGATGCACCTACTGTGATCCAGCCTCGTCCCGGTCAACCTTTTCCTGAAGATTTTCATTACAAACAAGACCCTATACCCGACACAAAATTACACAGTCGTGAGCCCTTTAAGGGAGGTGAAGTCTTTATCTTTGACTATGGTGTCGTCGTCTTTTGGAACTTCCGTCGTGCAGAAGAACTGTTGATGTTGGAAGACTTTATGCAGTTCTCGGTAGACCCCTTTCGCGATAATCCAGATGAAGACATGCAGATTGAAGAAATCCATTTCCAATACGACACATCTCAAATGAAGCCTCGTATCTTCAACGACATGATTACCCTCAAGAGTGGTAATCACATGATCAAACTCACTTTATCGCATGGGTTATCTCAGAGTGCGGTTGTGGCTCGTTATGAAGATATCATGGACAAGACGATTGAAGAAACAAAGCATTTGCCTAAAGAAATGGCAGAGACAGGTCGGTTAGGCAAGAACCGTGCAGAAATCACCAAGATCAATGGTCAATTGTTTACATTGCGTATGAATGTCAATTTAGTGTCGAATGTGTTGGGTAAGAAGCTATCTATCCTAAAGAGATATTGACTCACCTAGTACAGATACGCCTGAAATCTTTTGGTCTGAACCTGCTCTACAGCCCATGTACACAGCCATTCGAGAGTACCTTGAAATCCCTCAACGTGCTCAAATCCTGAATGATCGTTTACGTGTGATTTCTGACTTGTTGTCTATGCTACGAGACCACCTTACCAACTTTGGTGTCGAGTATCAAACATTGATTATTATTTACTTGATTATTATCGCTGTGATTGTTGCTTGTGTAAGTAGAACAAGGATATGTTCATTCAATAAGACTCATTTTATTATTATTCTAGTTTGAAATTGCTGTCAAGATCTTACATTCAGTTGATCTTTTTTAATAAATAATGTTAAATAGGAAGGTTTTTTACATTGATCAGGTCAGAGAGTAAAGAGGGACCCAAGATAGCAGGTGCCACCACAAGCCCAATAAACAGCAAAAATAGGCTATAGAACATGATGCCATACAGAATAGCAATACGTTTTCGCTGTTGACGTTGTTTGGCTGTCCAGATATGAGCACGAATTTGCTTGGAAGGCTTAAGCCAGAACAACATCAACGAATGAGCTGTGTTGATGTATGGTATTAAGATAAACAAAGAGAGGAAAAACAGAATGAGATGACCTAGTAAGAAATCAGTAGCAAATTCAGTCATTTCAATCATTTTGCAGACAAATTCTCTTGCAGGTTGACTGAGTGCTATATATATATAAAAAAAAAAGAAAAGGTGAGTTTCATATGACAATCAAGCCTTGTTTACCATGCCACCCAAGCTACATAGAGATAAAATCAGCATATAAACTCAATGGAATCCATGTCACTTACCCCACGTCCATACCACTTGCCAGTCCACCATCCTCGATTGGATTCATCTTGCTTAAACTCACGCGTCAAACACAAGACAGTCAAGACCTTAAGCACAAACCGCTGAATAGCCACCATGGCCACCACACCCAACAACACATGCGTTAATTTCCAATGCTCTAAGAAAAAAAGAGCTTCAAAAATAACAATCAGTCCAATCACAGACCACGCATGCGCCAAAGCAGCAATGGTCGATCCGAACTTAGTGACCCACAGACTCAGCACAGACCCAAGACCGACAGAGACACCGAAAAAGATAGCCAGGCCTACCATGTTGATCAAGAGAGGAGCCAAGGCCATCACACCAATACGAATCAAGGGACTAGGTCCTGTGGCAGGTAAAGTAGGATCTTCATCATCAAAACTCTTGACAAACGTGTAGGGGATAGTACAGAGCAAGGCGTACAGGAAAGGCAGAATCACTTCAGAGACAAAGATAGCACCCAGACCTGCTCGAGGCATATCGCCAATACTGTTGGTTCCTGAGGTAGGTTTGCTTCGTTTATAGCCTGTGATACGGGCGCGTGTGGACCGAACATGACTGATCCAAGAATCCCGGTGCGTCTTAGAATTACCTCTAGATAGCCAATGGATGAATTCACGGTAATCGACCAAGAACTCAATGGGCGAAAACTGGTTGGGATTAAACACAAAAGGCGAGACAATCAAGGCCACCACAGTAAACCAGAAATAGATCAAGTGAGGAATCCAATAGGCCACTGAAGCAAACAACATGATCATCAAGTTTCTGGCACCTACATAGATACTAGGGCCTGTGAATCGAGAATACAGGGTGGAAAACGGAATACGCGATGTAGCAAAACCACGGCCTGTACCAATATAACGAGCACCACCAAACACCAAGTTTTCCAGGACAGAGTAGGTGTAAATCTGTGTCACAAAGATTTCAAACAGCGGAGAAAGGGAAGTGAAGTGTCTTCCCATACGGGCCAAACTGCGAAGAAATCCGCGTTCTGTTAATTCCTGTAGAAACAAGGGCAAAAAGGCAGCAAAGAACACGACAAAGATAGACAGGATACAACGCTTAACCCAGTCAAAAATAGGCACGAGATTATAACAGCCTTCAGGTATGAGAGGCGCATCAGGAGGCGCATCAGCATTGTATTCACAAATCGTCAATGTGGCACCCATCGCACTGATAAACAGGATGGCCAACATGAACATTTGAACCGACATCATGATGAAGATATTGTTGATATGGAACCCAGGATGAGCATAATAAAACGTTAAGAATCGATCCAATGGGAGTTGTGTGCCAATGTAATAGTATTCACGCGACAGCATTTGTTCACCCATACCCGTACCAATCTTAGTCGTAAAGTTCAGAATGGAGCCAAATCCAAGATCACGACCCTTACCACACTGGAAATACTCTGTGTGCTTGATACGTCCACCTCGAGTAAAAGCGTTCATGCCCGCATAGATATCTTCGTTTAAATGAAGCCCCTTTTGTGCCTTTGAGACACCACCACGGGTCGTCATAAAGATCGCATTCAAGAAATCAGGATGACCATAGTGAAGTTTACCTCCAATCTTGGCCATGATACGTTGTGTCAGTGTACCAAACGTCTGTTCTTTACCCGCAGCCACATCACCCAAGACACCCACGTTTTCAGAAAAGATGTATTCTCTTGCACCCACAATCGCCACCGGAGAACGGTTGCTCTTGGGATACGAAGCAGCATAGGGAGAGATATTGCAAGGTTCCAGGGTCTCAAATTCACCTAGCACATTACGGATCTTGAGACACTCTTCAAGATAATTGTCTTGGTTGGCATCGATCAACTGCAAGAATTCGCCACGGTAAAAGATGATGGCATGGTTTTGGTTATCGGATTTACCATCACCCAGGATAGGATTACCAGGTAAACGTACACGGAATCGAGGCACACGCTTGCCATTTTCATTCAGGGGACAAGTACCATCAATCAGACAAGAATAAAACACGGTTTCGCCTTCAGGTTCAGTCGCTGCTTCTTCATCCACATAGGCAACCTGTAATTCAGGAAACGCTTTAAACAAAAACTCGGCATCTTCTGCTTCACTTGGACTGAATTTTGCATACCGTTGCATGGCGACCAGGAACTTGAATTTACGATGGGCCAATCGATCCAGATCGTTCTCTAAAGCTTCTTTGTCTTGACCATAATGACTTGAGGATTCAGGGTTTTCTACACGATAGAGCAACTTGATGGCCTTGCGATAGTTCATGAAACCAGAGACAGTACGGTACAAGGTCTGTGCTCTCAGAGATGCCCAGATGCGTGTACGCAATGTATATTCAGGTTTGGACGATTTGAACCCAATACAGTAAAACGGCAAATCATCGTTTTCTTTGGCCATGTCCTTCTCAAACGAACTTGTGCTGGATGCAATGGAAGCGTCAGACTTGAAATGCATACTGCGACGATCATCATCGCCCACTAACATTTTGGTGTCCTTGACAAAATTCTCCCATTCGACCGCATGCAACTGCTTCAAGTATTCCAACAGAGTCACGCGCGTACTTGTGTCTTCTTCTCGAATAATCTCGCGAAGTGAAAGTAAGATTTTTTCTCCGTAATGAGGCTAAACAAACAAATAAGATTCAAACATGATGGTGTGTTTTAAAACTTACGGTCAGGACAGTGAAGGTCGGCATACATTCAACAGGATGAGGAGGTGGCATGGGCGTTGTTAAACTTTGAGCAAAGAAATGGATACGACGTTCTGCTTCACCACTTTGAGGAAAATACTCTGTTTTAAAAGAAGTGTCTTCTTGAGAAATGAAAAATGTGGGTGTCTTGAGTGTACGGTGACCATCTAACGGATTAAGTTCCTAGCAGAGCAATCTTTAGTAACGTATATAAAATCTAGAATGAATTTTACCTGTTGATACAACATACGTTGAGCATGGTCGACCGTAATTAAATGTTCTCTGTACATGGTAATCACAATAGCATTCCAGATTTGAGAACAGAGTATCTTGGGCTTGTACTTGACTTGGATATCGGTGGTCGCCAACAATTTGACAAAAATACGCTTGGGCAAGCGTGAAAAGATATTTCTCCATGGTGACCAGATTGAGATACCAAGATAAAACGATCTCGCTACCGAAAACACAGTGTTCCAAATAATATACCAAAGATACGTATCCAAGAAATAAAGCACCAGGTCCATCAAGAACATGATAAAGATAGTAATACGAGGCATTTGTTCACAAATGACAGATCCAATCAACTTGTCATTACAATTGGTGATGGTCATTGTACTGATGGCCTTGAGAGGATCTTTAAAAGACAAGGCCAAGAAAAAGTACGATTCGATTAGTTTGCATGTAAAGACACAGATCCAGAGCGAGATGGACATGACACGATCGATGGGCTTGAGAGGAGGGAAGTTGGCTGTGAATCGTTCGTTGGCAAGTTGATCCCGTGTATGTTCGGAAGCACGCATAAACAGTCGAGACGAAGGCACGATAGACAAAACCAAGGTGGTAGCCACACTGATCAAAAGCTGAATGATCGAGACCAGTTTAGAGATCCAGCTTGTTCGGTCCAACACCACACAGTAAAAGGAAGGACCACCATTGACCAACATCAATATCACCAACAGTATAATACGGCGCAAGACCTTTTTGGAATTACTCCAGCTGGCCGGCAGATAAGCGAGTTCAGCACATGAACCCACCAGCACTAACAAACAAGCCACTACACCACCTAAAGCGACAATCGATATCTGTACAGCGACTTCTTGACTTGCGACTTCCTTGTCAGCATCTAGATAAAGCGAATAGGCATTGGCCATAATATAATACCAAAAGGTCACAATATGAATCACCCAGACTCTCGAAAAGTTAATGGAGGCATGCATCCAAGTACGTTTTTCTTTGTAGGTCTTTTTAAACGTCTTTTGCCAATCGACTTCTTTAAGTGCCGGGTATCGTTCATGAGGTGGTAATTTACCAAGCGTGTTGCCTTGGCCGGCGGATACTTGAATCTTGTCATAAAAAGTAGAATGCCAGAAAAATTGATTGACATCGTCATAGCCCACGACTTGATCATGGTCCTTTTCTCGTTTTGCGTATTTGCCATTCAAAAGTACATAGGTTTGGTCACGAATAAAGCGATATAGAGGTGTCACCACTTGATCCAGATACGCACCTTCAGCCATATCAGGCAACGCTTGGGGACTTTCCACACAATAATAATCATAGGCCATCTTGAAGATAAAGCACAGTGTCTCGGGTGTAAATCGAACAGGAGCAGCTTCACCCCATAAGCACAAGTAAAGCGCTAAATCTCTTGCCTTGTCAGCGTTGCTCAATGACCGCATACGCAACGTCCATTTCTCCTCATTACGAGCTAATTGTTCTTGTTCGTCGCCAATGTCCAATGCGACTTGCTTCTCTTGTTCTGTTTGGCCGTAAATGTCCATCTTGGAAGCAAAATACCATTTACGATAATTCGCATTATCGCCACCAATGTAGTCCGCATGAAGCGTGTCGAGTGCAAGTTGAGGATCAAGTCGAGACGCACGGGAATCCAGCATGGTTTTCAAATGCTCGGCTATATTGTTGACACTGTCTTGTTGAAACCCGAATTTTCTTCTTAGGCTATCAAAGATTTCGTCCATTTGTCTGAATGCGATAGGCACACGATCTTCTGGTCCCCAAGCAGGATAGGGTGATTCTTCCGTAGCATAACCAATCAGCGTATTGATGCCTGTGGCTGTCGTGGCTGTACTTGGAATCGATGCTTGACTTTCACTTTTGATTTTATTGCCAGTGTATTTCCGACTTTCGAGCAATGCCAACATGGAGTCTGCCGATGAAGCATATTCCATATAACGTCCATCATCGCCTTCTGTCAAAGCAGCTAATACATCGACATCAAACACATCTTGTTTTGGTGGTGGGTAGTTGACAGGTTGAGAAATAGGACCGGACACATATTGTGGTGGAAAATCAACAGCTCGGATGGGAGTCGTCTTTTGGAGTTGTTTGATATGGCCTATGGAAATATTTAATAACATTCCTCACACAAAATCATTTTTATTCACCTTCAGAAACAGACCCTGCTTCCAAGATGCTGATGCCCGCTTTAGATATTGAATCAACCGAAGCCATGGAAGATGCTTCACTGTATCTGGTAGAAAGTAGATCTGCACTTTTACTGTCCGTGTCATGAACATTTTGAGGATCACTGACAATGCTATAAAAGAAAATGTTGTCAGCTTCATGTTGAGTAACATTTCATTTTACTTTGCATAATAAGCACGAATCTCTGGAAAATCTTGATTGGATGCTTTTGATTCCTTTTTGTGGGTATGGAGAACATCTGTTAAGGAAGCCTCACTGGAATTGTCGAGTGATAGAGAAGAAGTATTCTCTACTTCTTTTTTCTTCAAAGATGTATTTTCTTCCATCTCTGCTTTTTCTATCAAGAAAAAAAATATAAAAAAGAAAGAAAGAAAGAAATGAACAAGGAGAAAAAAAAGTAATTGTTTGAATTGTATAGTTTGTTGTATATTGTTTGATGCGATAACAAATATGATACTCGAAAAGAGATCACGGTTGCATTTAAAACGTCTTTTTTTTCTACTGTCTGACGGTAAATTAAAGATATGCCATAGTAAAAAGGAATGAACCATTTATTTGTATGTTCTTTTGTTCTTTCAAAAGAAATTGAAAGAGAAAACAGCCGATGTTGCTATTTCATTCAAATGTTGTTAGCACAATTGAATTTCATGTCAAGAATGCACTTGATGTTTGATAAAAAAAAAAAAAAAAAAGCTCAATCCCTTTAACCCTAAATAAATGTTTAAGCTTAATAGAATAAGTCTAGTTTTTTATGGTTTATGTCATTGGGTGATAACATAGCATGATGGGGCTATTTTTCTTTTCTTTTCTCGTCGATACTTGTTCCTGGTTACCTTGCCTAGACATGAATGCATTTCATCTTATTGACCAGTAAAAACCCCGGTTGAGTCAACAGGGGGAATTTGATCACCTAACAAGCCACTAGTTTAGCATAATTTTTTCTTTACCTTTCTCTGTTTTTCTTTTCTTAATCATGTTTCGACGCTCGATTCTTGGACTTCAAAAAGCAGCCAGAAGAAGCTACAGTGCTACTCCCGAACAACCTTTGACAAACTCGGCTGCTCATAAGTTAGCCGAGGAAGCTTTAGCTCAAAAAACAGGTGCTGTCAAACCTAGAGCTGCTACGCTTCCTAAAGGTGACAAGAAACCCACGAAAGCCAAGTCTGAAAAGAATAACCATTACAAGACAGCTTTGGGCGCAGGTGCTGCTGTAGGTCTTGGTCTTGGTGCTATGTTTTACTATGGTATGTTTAAGCCAATGCTCGAAAATATATCTAACTGAGTGATAGGTCGTCCATTTGAGGATGGTAGACAAGACAAGGTAAGACTGACTTTTATTGATCTGAATGCATTATTGATATAAATACAGTATGCTGCCGAAAATCCTTTTGTTGCTGCTTATAAACGTTGTGTTGATCGATTCAATGAATTCCAACAGGTAAGACGCGGGGGTATATAGCATAAAAGGATAGACTTATGTATCTATTGAAAGAGTATGCATGAACCCATTTGGGACAAACTTCTTCCTGACCCATTACCTCAACCCTATCAACGTCCTTACACTTTGGTCATCAATTTGGATGAGACATTAGTTTATTCTTACTGGGATGTAAGTACCCATATCAAAAGAATAGAAGGTTATTGAACAATTTATAGAAAGATCATGGTTGGCGTCACGCTAAACGACCTGGTGTTGATTATTTCCTCTCTTACCTTTCTCAATTCTTTGAAATTGTCATTTTCACTTCTCAATCTTCCATGGTAAGTCTCGAATATACTTTATTATCATTAACACTTGTGTGATAGAATGCTATGCCCATTTTGGATAAACTTGATCCCTACCAATATGCCATGTACAGACTTTACCGTGAAGCCACGCGTTATGTTGATGGAAAATACGTCAAGGATTTGTCTCACTTGAACCGTGACTTGAGCAAGGTGATCATTATGGACTCTAACCCCGAAGCCTTTACTTACCAACCCGAGAACGGTATTGCTTTGAAGCCATGGAAAGGTGAGGCTGGAGATCAAGGATTATTAGAATATATTCCTTTCTTAGAAGGTAAGATCATATAAGGCCTGTCTTGTTCTAACTCAAGCAGCTGTTGGTATGCTGATGCCTGAAGATGTTCGAACTGTATTGAAGACATTCGAAGGTCAACATATTCCTATTGCATGGGCCAAGCGTGAAGAAGAAATGAAAGAATTGAGCAGAATCCAATGGGAACAAGAACAAGCTCAAAAGAAATCATCTCGTAACCTGGGTTCTCTTTTAGGTGGTGGTGCTGCTGCTACACAAGTGGAAGGCCCACCTCCTTCTCCTTTGGAAATGTTGAGAAAGGAGTACAGAGAAGCTTTTGCCTCTCAATTCGAAACTCAAAAGAAGGCTCAAGAAGAAGCTATGGCACAAGATATGGAAAGACAGATGCAAATGATGAAGGAAATGAAGATGTCTGTTTGGGATTTGATGGCACAAGCTGCTTCTGTAAGTGGAAATATAAATTCTTTTCAATCTATTTACTCTTTTGTAGGGTCAACCATTAGCTCCTCCTCCACCACCTTCAAACGAACAACCTCAACAATAATAAATGTATTACGCTTTCATTGTAGAATGACTGGAATCCTTCTTTTCTTTTTTAGTAACTATGAAGTGTTTCAAATGAGAATGGGGGAATTCCCGAAACGATTTGATTGAATTACGATGATACCGTGCATATACAACATTCATTTCTTGTGCCATTGACCAAAAAGTCAATGATTTTCGTTCTTCGAGATAAGCCAACTGGACTTGAAATGGTGCAACTCATAGTGCAAGGCATAAGAGAATGTCTTGACTCTATTCAGATGATGGATATTTCTAGATCACTTCCAAATAAGAATTGCATGAATAAATAAAGGAAAATATCCCTTGTTTTTTTTTAAGATACAAAGAAAAATGCCTAAAAGTGATATTTTTTATTGTGATTAAACAAAATGACTAAACCACTGCTTTTTAGGCTAATAACCCAAAAAAAAAGAGATACATATCTAACCAATCAAGTCTTTATTGAACCCTATCTCCTTCAAAGTGGCTTAAAGAGCTATCCTATTTAGAACTGTATTTGATGATTTGGTTTTTTGAGAAATGAAGCAATACGATCATGAACTGACGTTTATATTCCCTTATTTTTTTTACGGGAAGTGTTCCGTTATGTAAATAGCTTTTTTTTTGTTTTGTTTTTTTTTGTTTTTGTTGATCTATATTATGCAGAGCATCACATGCTACAGGAACGAAAGAATTTCTTTTGAGTGAATTACAATCTCCGGAACTGTTATCCTATCAGTTCATATCAAAACTAAGTGAAGAAACAAGCTGTCTTTCTCAAGTATATTATCTAAAGAGAGACAGAGAGAAAAAAAAGAAAGGGAGATACTAGACCTTTTTTTTTTTTTTTTTACATAGCCAATGTATACTAAACTATACATTAAATCTTAAATATTCATACCATGTGTAGGCATAAACTATTTAATTTCTACCTTTTAGGTTGTCTTTGATAAATTCCATAGATCCATTCTTTACAAGAGCAAGAAGAAAGAGAAAGAAAGAAGAGAAATGATACGCGCCAAAATAAAGTTTTTTTTTCTTCTTCACTTCTTTATCCTGCATGCTATGTATATGTGTGTATAAATATACATGTTCCTTTTCCTTGACTTCTTTGAAGAAGAAGAAAGATAAAAAAAAAACTATATAGGATGAGCAGTCTCATACGATTACCGCGTCATTTATACTAACAATACGGTTCGAACACAAATGATTGTTTGACACCTGATTTACACAATGCCCTCTCTATCCCCTTATTTTTTTTTTTAGCCATTAAAACCAACTATTTTTTTTCTTACCTCTTTTTCTTCTCTCTTTCTTTTTTGTTGTTGTTTAAATAAAATATATTCATGCAGTACTTGACATCAAATAATACCCCCAAGATACACAAGATGAGTACTTCTACACCTTGGATGCAATCAGCATCTACTGTGTCAGATCAATACTATAACAATGGTTCACCCGATTCCATGCTAACAGATACGGAAGACATCTACATGTCTGATACACCAAAATCCTCAAGAAGCCGCAATTCAACTTCTGATATGTGTGTAGAAAAAAACACAGAAGGAAAACCACCTTATTCCTATGCTACCTTAATCAAGTATGCGATTGAGCGTAGTTCAGAGAACAAATTAACTCTAAGCCAAATCTATCAATGGGTAATTGAGCATTATCCTTATTATGGATCTGCCGGTTCGGGCTGGAAGGTAAGACACCTCTCAAAAAGACACCATGCTAACTTGAACTAGAACTCAATCCGTCATAATCTCTCGCTTAACAAGAGCTTTGTACGTGTTCCTCGTCCTGTCAATGAGCCTGGTAAAGGTTCTTATTGGACTGTAGACCAATTTGCGGCAGATACAGAACAACGAGTAAAATCCAATGTACGTGGTCGTTCAAATAGACCCAACAGCGATTTAAATCAACGTACCAATGCGCCTTGGTTAACAGGTCGTCATCAGTATTACCATCATCATCGTGATAGTAGATCACTTTCAACAGATGCAGGTGTTTCTTCTCCATCAACCACAGTACGCCGACCATCCCAATATGGTTACTGCAGTCATCCGTATAGCGGTGGTGGGTACGAACGTAATCTTCCCTATGGATACTACCAACACCGTATTCCATCTTCACATGAGACACTATTATCTGCTCGTCAATCGTCTGTCACCTACAGTCTTCCTAATCAACCTTCATTTGGCATGTACCAACCACCTGCTTACTCGCATCGTCAATCTTGTCCTGACTTATCCTCTACATATGCTGAAACACTCCCAGATTTCAATACCACACCCTCTGCTTCTACACCATGCGACAGTCAAAAGATGTGCTATCCGCCCTTTACCAGTTATTCTTCTACATTACCTAACACAGAAGAACTCACTTCACCCAATTCTTTAAAAGGCAATACTGCGCAAGAAACGCCACTGACTTCATTTTTTAAAGAGTTTGAAGGCAAAGATGGATTACCTTCACCTGTCTTGTCTTCTAGTAATTGTTCTTCTACATCGCCTTCGAACATGTCGGTGGCAGATCCACTCTCTCTGGTAACACAACACCCTTCACCCGTGACAACAACAACGACAGCTGTTGCCCCTGATACATCGTATTCGTCCAACTTGTTGATACAAAAAGAAGGCTGTCTTACATCCCCTTCTTCTCCATTAGCCATGACAGGTAATATTTCATAAAGTCATACCATTAAACTGACTCCATATACTCTAGAGAGTGCTATTTCCTACATGGTTTCACAACAGCAACAAGATGATCATTCTTTGCGTGATACGTGTTCTTCCTCTCAATCTTCCACTACAAGTAATAGCAGTAGTGGTCATATGCAACAAGACTATTATAAAACTAAAGTTATGTCATCTCAACCCTCAGTAAATTATGAACCAAGTCTTTCTCAATGGTAGAATTTTATAAAATAAAATAAAAATAAAGGGTTGTTTGTTATTCGTCGTCAATATGCCAGTCATAAGTTGAATTGTGTGTCTCTGTCCATTGTTGTAAGAGGCACAAGAGTGACCATCCATCAGTAGGTTCAGCATGTTTAAAAGAACTCAACAGACCTTCCGTGATTGGGTCCAACAACTGTTCGACTGTCAACACAATCACTTTACATCTTAACATAATGTCAGTGACAGATAAACATGCGTACTTTACCTTGTTCTGGATAAGGCAACGTTCCATCTTCTAAAGTCACGTAGGAATTCATAACTCGATGCAGCACTTCTCACAAAAGTGAAACAAGCAATGACCAAATCGCATTCTTGACCTTGTATCTTCTCAACCGTATCGACTTTAATCCGAGACCCTAGTTGACTTAACCTTCTCTGTATCTCAATGCGCTGTTGATGGTATGGTGTGACAATCATCACATTAGGTTCGTTCGGATCCCTATGGATGGGAGTTTCAGAACGAGGCACATTTTTCATTTTTGAGGAGAGATAATATGCTACGATCAATTGAACCATACGACCTTCTTCTTGAATGGCATCATACTCAGTCGTGTGCTTCAATTTGACAAGGGAAATAGGCTTAAGAGGATCCAAGATAGACTTGATCAGTGGAAGGCGTGTATGATCAACCATGTCTCTTGAAAGTTGATTCCAGTCCAAGTGTAGTTTGATTCTTGGATAACGAGCTGTATAGTCAGGACCATAGACATGTTGAAAAAACTGATTCAAGCCTTCATTCTATATGTAAACACACACAAAAGGATCAGTTTGAGAATAGGTTTGTATAGGTTACCATGCGCCAATTATCTTTTAGCTGCAATGTATTAGGACCAAAGTCATGCAATGCACCTTTTTGCATCAAGAATTCTCGGATAGGTATGGCATGGTTCTTGCTGTTACGCATAAGACATTGTTGAATAGAACCATACAACATAGGGTCTTGAACAGTCGTTCGAATATCTGAATAATTGTGCTTCATAATAGGTCCTAGTTGCTACATCATCGAGTGAGTGAAGGATAGTTATACATCATACGAACCATATGATCACCTGCAACAATTAACTTTCCGTTAGGTCGCTTTAGGCATGCAACTGCCAAGAGTGCATCCGAAACAAGTAACTAAAAAAAAAAGTGCATGTTAGGAAAATTACCATAGTCACTGTCGATATGAACCTGAGTACTTTCATCCATAATCATCATACTGCAGCCTTCAAATGTCTTCCATTTACCCCTGATCTTGTTCCATTTCCAATTCGTGGCGCCCACAACAAAGACGCGACCAGGATCTTGTGTTCTGTACTGGTTGACTTTGGTGATAGAATAATCCCAACGTTCACACAAGATGCTGGATTGAGCTAAACTTTCGGGTGGACCATCACAGACATACATGATAGAAAACAAGTCTTGAAACCCATGACGGGCTTGTACTTTTTCAATACGTTTCAGTAAGTTGAGGATGGCTTCACGTGTAAAAGCAGTAACGCCAATCATCAGTTTCTTGCTCTTGTTCTTAGGATGCTCTTTAAAGCATTTGATATACCAGTTTACAAACAAAGCCAAGAATTCTGTCTTGCCTGAGCCCTATTGAGACAAAATATGAATACGGATCTCTATACTGTCTTACTTACAGGTGGGCCCCATATAATTTGCAACCGTTTCTTGAAAATATTGGCTGAAATGTCCTTTTGAGAAGGCGACATGGAGAATTTTTCTCGAAGCTGCAATGCTGCATTGTTTGCCTTGAAATCAATATCGTCCATGACATTCTCGTCTGCCCAACGATTTGGATCATTGATCAGGTTCATGATATCATCACTGATTTGGTCGTCTGCATCCATGGATTTTAATGCCTCAATGCATTGACTTGTAGTAAAGTCCATGTAGCGTTCATACAGTCTCCATCGTCTCTGTTGAGGACTACAACGATTACCAATCAAGACAATTTCGTCTTGACTGACAGATTTGACATCAACACAACGAATACCTTTTTTTTTGTATTTGCCAGCACTCATATACAACAAATCGGAATATTGAATGGTTTCCACAATGCCCTAGAGCAACAAATAATGAGATGATATACCATGATGTTGCTATCTACCTCACGACTATCTTCCACTAGAATATAACGTCGCCAAGTATCAAACTTGAGCTTCTCCAGCCTTGTCTGCAAATGAGGCCCATTCAACAAAGGAGTGACAGAGAATATAAGCCCAACGTCATACGGGTTCCCTGTCTCTATAGCCCCAACGTACTCCAGCACTAAACTACCGAATGTTTGTTGATCATCCAATCTTTCTAATTTAGACAGGTCTCGAATCCGGTCCATTCTCAACTGGTCGCATGATTGGATACATTCAAGCTGCTTGAAAAAGACCAATTTGGCTAATAATGGGTGTTTGTACGCTTGTATCTGAGGCCATTGAAAAGGTGTACAGATCAAAGGAAACAAGTTTTTCTGATGCACTGCCATGTAATCGTTTGCTAATTGCCAATAACTAGCCATGATTTGCTGTAAGCATAGAAAACGAGCCAAAATTGTTTTTTCTGTAGCACAATTCATGTGTTCCCCAGGCGTCAATAAGTCTGGTTTTTTCCAGATACTGTAAGTAAAGTTATTCAAATCAAGGTTCTTTAGCGCAGCGACTACTGTATCTTCTTCGTCTGTCATCCATGGGATCACATCAGCAAGTGAGTAATAAGCCAGGATGCCCATGGCAACGGTATCTTCCAGCAGTTTTTCGATAGAGACGAATCGACCTACTGAGCTTGTACAGAGCAAGCTATCCATGTCGGGAAAATGAACAATACCAGGCAAGCCAAGTAACTGTATATCGCGAAAAAGAATGGCCAAGCATCGCATTGCATTGGAGAGAATGTATTCCTTGTCGACACCAACCAGTTCTTTGCCTTCAGATACAACAAGATTATACAAAAAGTTCTGGATTTGCTTTTTCTCCTGTTCACTGTACACATAAAGCAAGCAGCGGGATTTGCGTTGATGCATGTACGTTAACACAGACACTAGATCACGTATGAAATTATTTACAAATTCACTATATGTCTCTTGTTCTTTCTCTATATGAGCTTGATAATCCACAGCATGAAAAAACTGGGATACCTGTATGCCTTGTGCATCCAAGACAGAAAGACCATAGACAAAGGGTCGTTCTGATCGCGCATCCATCTGAAGATAGATATAGATAGCATGATCTGTTTCTTTTGCAATCAAGACAGTGGCATAGCCCTTGAATCTTGGTTTTTTGTCATTGTATGCGTCTACGTAATCTTGATATTCTGTTCTGGCCTTATTGACTGGCTGGCTGATTCTTAAACTTTGAAGTGATTCAGCGAGATCCTCAATGTCTGGTGTCTCTTCTCGGAGGTGCCTTGCTTTTTCTTCATTCATGTACGGAATAGAACGCACTGTGCCAGCAGCATCTGCCTTGCACTTATTGATAAAGATGCATGTGGCGCATTTCTTATTCAACACCCAGTCTGGATTAGGATCTTTGGAAATGGAGACGAGTGAGTCTTGATAGACAGCTCTGATCTTGTTCAATAGGAAATCAATACGGAAAGTCACAGGCGAGTCAAGATCGGAAGGTAACCAGACACCACCTAACCCATCGATTTCCAAATTTCGTATGTCTTTGATTAAATACGACAGACAAAAGGCATACGAAGCGACTTGGAATTGGTGGGATTTACTCATTTCTTTTGCTGATTTGGCATCAATGATCATGATTTTTTTGGTTTTGTTCTCTTGAAGGATATACAAGAAGTCAGGTATAAAATTTCGAATACGATAGGCATCTTTTGTACGAATGACATCGGTATAAAAAGACTCGGGCAAACTAAATTTGAGTTGATAGAGATAAGTACCTGGTTGAGCTTCCTGCAGCACTTTTTTAAAGTCCGTCGATTTGCTGTGGTCTCTCATGACAGCTTGGTGGCGCTTAAACAAATCGAGCTCAAACTGGTTGCCTCGATCACGGTTAGCATCCGAGATGGCGTCCGATGGTTTTTGTTTCTCTGCCTTGTAGACGTCTTTTTGAGAGAGGAGGTATATGTGTTTTTTGCAGTTGTAGTGAACACTATTGGCTAAGGCCGAGATAGTGTATGTTGCTAAGGGATTCTGAAAGGGTCGTTAGTACGCGTTCATCGCTTCATAGTATATACTTTACTTCACTTGGTTGCCCTGGTGATAAAGTCATTTTGATAGCTTATTCTGAAGGCAATAGAACTAAAGGAAAAAGAAAAAAAATGAAGATGCTTTTTTAAGCTTGACAATAAACATAAAGATACAAAAAAGGGATGTTTATTTTACTGCAAACATTTTCAGCGACTATCATCAAAAGATCCATTTTCGATTGGCAGAGTTTAATATGATGAGCAAGGTTCTTTCACAACTAAACTTAAGGACATGACAGTAACACAATATATTCAAAATCTTGGGTAAAAATGCATTATGACTAGATGTTAACTCTTTGATTTCAACGTATACATTACATAAAATCATAACGTTTATGTTATCTAAAGCAGCTGAAATACTATGATACAAAAATACATATCTTGATAGGAAAGACTTTACCGGAGATCTTGTGGTATTAACACTCTTGTTTTAAAACAATTAGGCAGGAATCAAGCTATCTCTTTATAAATAATAAGTCACAGCTAAGACGATGAACAGACATGATTTGAACGTTTCAGTTGACAACCCAGTGCAGATCCAAGAGCTGGTATAATCATTCAACTGATAATGTTTTAAAAGGAGTAGACTTGTTGACAGGCAAGTCATGAATGTTATCTAGACCCAACCCATAAAAGATAACATCAAAAAACTAATGTGTTTCTATAAGTACCATTTCAATCTAATGGTTGTGTGTGACTCTTTGATTAGTCAGTTGAAGAACAGGTAAAAGTACTTTATGATTGACATGTATACTAATAGCCATGCTGCTTCATGAGCAATATAGCCAAAGCATATTATCAAGTCCTCTTTTAAAACGATGACTTTCAACTCAAAATTCATACTTGTTTCACGTAGTTTTATGACATTCTGTCAGATAGTAGAATACACATCGAAAGTTAGTCTACAACGTCAAGCCAGAACCAGTACATAGCATTGACTTCTTTGTAAACAAATACCATTTTTGGTAGGTAGTGTAAAGAAGTATTTCGAAGGAATATCATGTACTCGAATTCTCTGACAGCAATATCTCTACGATAGAGACTGCTTTCAGGATATTACAAGTCTCTATTAACATTTAGTACAAGTGCCTAAAATCAAGAAATTGGAAAGTGATTATAACAAAAACCAACGAAAAATAAGCCAAGCCATCTGTTTTAAAGTTGAAGTGTAACACATTTGCACTTGAATAAGAGGAAAAGCTTCAAAAGACTGGTATTTATGTTCTGTCACGAATTCAAAATTTTTGAATGTCAAGATGAATAACCCCTATTCAACTCATTCAACTATAAAAATAAGCTAATCGTGTTCCTGATCAGAGTAAAACTAATTAAGAGAAAGACTACTCGAGATCTTCAACAACAAGTCTCTAAGAAAAAAAAATTATTCTTGTAAAAGAAACTAGGTCATTATCACTACTAAAGAAAAGCCAATCGATGACAAAAAAGGAAACGTTTTTTTTTTTAATCGAAATTCAAGCAGCTGTAGATTGTTTACTGTAAATCCAAATTAGGACGGTTGAAATCCCCCTTTTTCCCCTTTTTCTCTCTCTTACTTTCTCTTTCGTTCTTTCTTTTTATTCCCCTTTTTTTTTCTTTTCTTGTTGTTCTCTTTTTCACGCTATTTGTAAATAGTCAAGCATTTATATAAAAATGGTAAATGACGCAGAAAAAAAAAGGAAAAATCGAAATTCATGCTGTCCAATAGAATACATCTAGTCAATCGGCAGACCCAGAGCTTTATTATATTAAACAAGAACGTATAGGTAAGTAGATAATAAAGGAAAGCCATTGTGTATTCATAAGCATGGATAGGCAAAGGATCTTTTGGTGAAGTGTTTAAAGGGTGAGTTACCAACAAAAAGGCCTGTTCTCATCCCATTATTACAGCCTTGATAGAAGAACAAACAAACCAGTTGCTATCAAAATCATTGATCTTGAAAGTGCTGAAGATGAGATTGATGATATCCAGCAAGAAATTGCCATTCTGTCTCAGTTAGATTCGCCTTTTGTGACAAAGTAAGGTTGATCTTGTTTCTTATTGATCTCCTTAAATCTTTCTATAGATATCACGGCTCATATCTTAAGGGTACAGGTTTATGGATTATTATGGAATATTGTTCAGGAGGATCATGTAGTGATTTAGTAAGCTTATTTGAATTCTATACACAGTGACTAATTGGATCGCATTAGATGAAAATGGGCACTGTTCGTGAAGAATACATTGCCATTATCATAAAGGAGTTGCTGAAAGGTCTTGATTATCTCCATAATGAAGGAAAATTGCACCGAGGTAAGTAGTATATTTGCAGAAACGATCAAAAAAACTGATATCATGTAGACATTAAAGGTAAAACCGTGCTTTGGTAAACTCTGTTACTTATTTAATTTTTGAAAAAGCTGCAAACATTTTACTTAGCTCCAATGGTGAAGGTAAGTAACAATCTCCAGTATAAACAAAAACAACTGATAAACTTTTGATTAGTCAAATTGGCAGACTTTGGTGTATCTGGACAAGTAAGTCACCATATTTAGTAACCTGAAAACATGAACGGGGAAAATTAACCTTGACCTAGATTACTGCCACATTAACAAAGAAGAACACATTTGTGGGCACACCTGTAAGTAGATTTGAACCACCCGTTGTATCTCATGCAGTGAGTAGTTCTGGATGGCCCCTGAAGTTATCAAGCAATCAGGCTATGATTACAAAGCAGATATTTGGTCTCTTGGTATCACAGCAATCGAACTTGCTAATGGAGAACCGCCTTATGCCAAGATGCATCCCATGAAAGTCTTGTTTCATATACCCAAGAACGAACCGCCCACTTTAGGCCCTCCCCATAGTAAAGCATTTCGAGATTTTGTCAGTTTGTGCTTGCAATCCAATCCTGCTAACGTAAGTATGACATAATATACCATTCGATGCTAATTCTAGTTATCATAGAGACCCTCTGCTAAGGAATTGTTGAAGCACAAATTCATTAAGGGCAGTAAAAAGGTGGCTTACCTGACTGAATTGATTGAAGGTCATGAACGTTGGATCAATATCAATGGGCGTGAAGATGAGTCTTCTGAAGAAGAACAAGAGTAAGAAGTAACAGTTGGCATAGGATTCGTACTCATGATACTTTAGATTGGAATTAGAGACTGAAGATACATGGGATTTTGGTACAGTCAAAGTACCACCATCTAAAGCACCACTTCAGATGCACAATTCTCCAAGCCAGTACTCAATAGCAGACACTAATTTTCATCAAACATCACCTATGCCACGTACAACAAGCACCAATCTTGTACACTCTTCGCCTTATTCATCTTCTTCACGCGTGAATGAAATCACTGTAGGTTGTTCTCGTTGTTAGTATAAAAAACTAACATTGCCTGTAGACAAAGATGCAACAAACAGGATTCAGACAAAGTACAAGTGAATATGAAGACGTTAATCAAAATACTGTACGAGCAACAGAAATGGCTGCTGTTTACTCCCGCAGTAACAGCAGCAGCAAGAGAAATAGTTTGGCTCAACCTGGCTCAAATCCTTTACCTCCTTTACCTAACAAATCGCCTTCTTCCAGAAGTGTCAGCACAGTCGGTTCAAGTAAATATCATACAGAGACGAATGTCTTTTTAGAGTCTATTCTGCCTCTCTTAGATCAGGTATTTTTATGTACAATTGAATGACCATCGCTTATACTTTTGGTAGCTACAAAAGAAATGTAAAAATCACAAAAGCTTAGCAGCTGTTGAATCATTACAAAAATCACTTGTATCTGTTGAAAGAGAATTGCCAGGTACAATTAAGACTTTATTTGAAGATGCTTCTCATCTACTATAAACAATGATGCGGAATAAAAAAAACGGGTAGTTAAAGTAACCAAGGTAATGGGAAAAGAGCATAAGGACCCTTTCCACAGTGCTTTTCGTCTCGAAGCATGTTGGTGTCACCGGTCACGTTGACGCCATACTTGACCAGTTCTACGGGTGATTTGAGATCCTTATTTTTCTCAAAGTCATCAACCAATGTTTGAAGGTCAGCGCTTCTTGAGGCACTTGCAGGCCAAGCAGTGTCACTATGCATAAAATGAGTAAAACATGCCATTTATGTTTATACATACGGATAGCAGCATTGCAATTGACGTCTTGTCGTTAAAAAGCGAGTAAGAAAGCTCTTTTCGGATTCATCAGGCTGACGAGGACCCGTCAAGACAAGCACACGTACAATATTAATATCGGGTTCAACATATTGATATCCATGTTGAATAATTGTATCTGTTAAATATGAGCATCAACATTATTTCTAAAAACACATACCATAAAAGATAGCTTGTCCAAGAGGCGAGGTGACGTTACTTTGTGCTGCATAACGGACACTAGGTAACATGTAGTTTTTATAGACCCACTCCAATTGCATCTTTGCAAAACGGCTGTTGGAGCGGCATGCTTCTTTTTTCCAAGCACTACAGTAGTTACCTAAACCGAGAATGGTACCTCTGCTTTTTCTGTCACAATGGGGTAAAAGACTGATTTGCTTGATACGTGGAAGGAACGCCAAGAGGAAATTAATGGGACTATTAAATGTGTATTTCTCAATCACGATTTCTGCATCACCTGTACCGGTCTAGAAAAAAAAAGGGGGTTTGTATTTTCATTGGATCTTGTACGACTTACTGTAAATCCGGCATAGCCAGCTGTGTACCCTCTTGAATCATGAATGTCTTCACAGTAACTAGATAGAATATGAGATATAAAAAAATACACAAGCAACTTACGCATAAGCAAAATTAGGGCTACCGTCTTCAAAGACATTGGTAATCATACTGGCCATCTTGATTGTATTTTCATCCAACTTGGGATCCTTTGGAAGGTCCTTCAAACTGTAGAAAGTAGTACCATTTCTGGAAGGCACACATCCTTTTTTGACAGCCTATATCTTATTAGATTTCATTGTCATAGAGAGACTATACCTCCTGATTTGTTAAGAATTCGAATTTTTTACAAATAGCATCTGTAGGTTTAAAGTCGCCTTTACAGTTTGCATAGACATCTTCACCTCTTTTGACCTTTATAGCAGACACAACCACCAAAAAACTAACGAAACCAAATGCAATCAATCGAACCATGTTTGTGGATTTTTTTGTGAAAAAAACAGTCAAAAAGGAGGCAAGTTATATATGGTAGAAAATCGCATTAATTTTTTAAGGTTTAACTTTCTCCTTGATTTTTATTAAATTAATATTATTGTGTAGCTTCAAAAACATAATCAGGTGAAACGATGACAGGCAAAGACTCTGGAGGAGAAGGAGAAGGGTCTGGTACAAAGTACAGACGAGGCGTAGCAAGCATGGGTACAGGTGTAGGTGTAGCTGTACAATAGGGTGTGTTGGTATTGGGACAAGCACCGGTGGTTGCGCGCGTACAAGTGGAGCCTTCATCACATTCTGGACTAAAGAAATTATTTAGTGACAGGTTAAACAAAAGCATGGTTAGTAGCAAACCTACCATGGAACAATATAAAGCGGGCATACAACAAGCGTGGTTGGATCAACAGTGATAGTAGGCGTTGTGACACTAAATTGAAATCAAAAATTAGCTAAACTCGTGTCTGTTTCTTTTACCTTGAAGAAGACGAAGGAGGACACCATGGTTGATAGTTGAAAGGACAGGGTGCATCCATGGGATAAATACAGCCATCCGAACATTCAGCAGGACTAAAAATAAGAAGTGAGTGATTGTCTTTTTAGAAGAAAGCCTACCAAGGAATAATTGCTTGAGGACAATTGGTGGGATTGGCAAGTGCAGAAGTCACTGTGATGTACTTTGTACTGCTTGTGTGTCGAACGGCTTTTGATTGACGATAATTAGCGGCACTAAAGCTATTTTGAGCACTAGCCAGTGATTCTTGAATGTAAATATCACGTTTGAATTTCTTGTTATAGTAGTCTTCATCAGAGTCATAATCTTCGTCGAGCTCATCCGAATCATCTTCCTCAGTCTCTTGCAATTGTTCTTGAACAGCAGAGGCAGACACTAAAGAGGAAAGTTCTTGAGCAAAAGCTTGTTGAGCAGAGAATTCAGGATCCACAGCCGTAATATCTAACTCAACAATAGATGTAGGGAAAGCAATAAGTGTATCCAAAGGATAATCATAGGGCTTGTTGCCATACTTTTCACCATCTTTGGCTACAGCAGTGGATTGCGCTTGATAACTTTCGACAGTTTCATCGGCATTGACTGCGATTGTAAAATGAAGATGGTGTTTTCTAGTTGTTGCTTGAGCTTCAGCAGCTTTGGATGTTATGTGGAACGTATGAGGTCTTGCTAATGCAGCTGTGGGCAAGAGAATATCCGCGGTTGTATCAGGGTTAGGAAGAGAAGGTTCAATCACAGTGGTCAAGACAGTTGTTACTAAAGTAGTAACAGGGTAAGTGACTAAATTAGTGACTGGAGAAGTAACAATCACAGGAGGAGGGTGAATAGGGGGTAAGAGAGGATGGGTATAGATGGGAGGTGTGAAGACAGGAGGTGTGAAGTGGGGAGGTATGAAGACAGGAGGCGATGGCAAGCCAGTATGGATAGGCAAGGTTGAAATCACAGGTGGTTTGTTTCTACAGACAGCTTGGCCACTTTGAGGACAACAATAATCAGCATTAGGATAAAAGCAATCGTATGGGCAATCGGCAGGACAAGGTGTCACTTCACAAGGAGCAAAGGTATAACAAGTAGGTTCACATACAGGTTCACCAATGAAGGGACAACAAGGAGAGCTTGTGTATCGACAAGAAAAGGGACATTCAGCAGGACTATAGAGTGTGTTAGATATGAGTAGATAAGGAGCTTTCTTTACCATGGAAGTTGTCTAGTAAGACACTGCGTATTAGCACAGGTTGTAGCTTTACAAACAGGAATACCAGCGCCTTCACAACCACCGCTGTTGGGATAAACACATTCTTGTCCGCTAGGGCAATTGGGACATTGGAGTTGATAATTAGGACATTGCAAACCATTGCCTGGAAGTATTTGTGGATCCGGAATTAATTCTAGACGTAACACAAGAAGATATGAGCATAAAAAATACACAAAGGTTATTACCATGACTAGGGCCATGTTTGACATGTTGGTATCGGTCAATAGTGACAGCACCCACAGCAATCAAAGATGCTGTAATGGACAATAATTTTAACTTCATTGAAGAAAGTATAAAAGAAAAAAATCCATGCAAGATGCTCTTTTAAAAGAATCACTTGCCTTGTTGACAATGTCAAGCTCTTTTTTTTCGGAAATAAATATTTACATTCATCTCAAAAGTTAGGCTTGGTATTTCCTGCTCATACTTGGCTAAAGTTTTAATCCCGAATGAAAAAGCGCGTAAAGACGCGTCTTTATGTTTGTGACTTTTCCGAAACTTTATTTCTTTTTCCTTTATGTCTCAACTCTCTTCAAAGGCAGTAAAGCAGATTGCAAAAGAGTTGCAAAAATTAGAACAAACACCACCTGAAGATATTCAAGTGATCACCAATGAAGAAAATTTGACTCGAGTTCGAGCTTGGATTCGTGGTCCAGGTAAACAGACACTCTGCTTGTGTTGGTATCTTAACTATTGATTAGGTGGTACGCCTTATGAAGACGGTTATTTCAAGATTGAACTTGTCATGGACCAATGTTTTCCCGAGAAGCCGCCCAAGGGCTACTTTTTGACTAAAATTTTCCATCCCAATGTATCAGATACAGGTGAAATTTGTGTGAATACACTTAAAAAAGATTGGAAAGCAGAACTTGGCATTGAACATGTCTTACTGGTAACTCTAACGATAACTTGTATATACATGACTCATTGAAATATAGACCATCAAATGTTTATTGATTGTGCCTAATCCTGAGTCCGCCCTGAATGAAGAAGCAGGGAAATTGTTGCTGGAACACTATGATGATTATGCAAAACGAGCTCGACTTTATACCTCCATTCAAGCCAAAGCAGGAAAAAATGAATATTTGAAATTAACCAAGGAGAGATCCAATCATCAAGAAAACGAACCTTGTACTAAAAAGAGACCCCATGATACAGAAATAGAAAGTAAAAAAAAGGCGAAGAATGCAGACAAGAAAAAGACATTAAGAAGATTATAAAGTGTATATTAAAGTGTTTTTTTAACAAAGCTAGCAAATGCCTGTGGTGCCATTGTTTTTAGTAAGCCTTGTTCAACATGCAAATCAAGCTCCTGTATAATGTTAGAATCAGACAAAGTTGAGTTACTTACTTTAATCACATCTTGAGCAGAAGGACGGTTAGATGGATCGTCTTCCAACAACCAAGCAACAAGACCAGTACAATAGATGGTGGGGTAAGAATAAGTAAATGTTGGACTTGGATCCGATAGTATTTTGCCAAACAATTTCTCGTCATTCTTAATATTGTAATGGGGAGGCACACGATCCATCATTTCAATAAAAGTGATCCCTAATGACCATAAATCGACTTTTTCTGTATAACTCTGCTCTTGAATGACTTCCGGAGCCATCCACTAATTTAAGCTTTAGGAAATTATCTTGTGCATGATGTTTTACCTTGGCAGTACCTAACCGTTCATGATTAGGATGTTTTGTGCTTGTTGCCAAGCCAAAATCAGCTATGCATAGTATGAGTCTATGCCTTTTTTTTTTTTTTTGAAAACTAAGCAATACCTAATTTCACTTCACCATGATGGCTAATCAGTAAATTCTCGCATTTAACATCACGATGAATAAATCCTTTTGAATGCAAAAATACTAATGCATTCAAAGTCTAAAGATAAACTTAATAAAATGCTCAGTCTCGACTGACTCTACCTGTCGCCCAATATAAATAGCACACTCTTCAGGTAATCCTCTGACACATAAGACCGTAAAGACACTACATCGCATCAAATCCATCGCAATCCACACTTCGTTCCGATACACCGATACTTCTCTCAGCTTGATCAGATTCACATGACCACTTGACATAATTCTTAATTCTCGTACAATAGCTGCTCGATATTCTCGGTCTTGAGTTAGTTTACATCGCTTCAGCGCTAATTTTGTTTTGGAGTTCTTGACTTGGACTTGCACCACAGCACCATTCACTCTATGAGTCCATGAGAATTTTCCTCTCTCCTAATTTTGATTGATTCATTTACCCTGTTCCTATTTCTTTTGACCCCATATAACGTATTTTTGGCATGGAGACCAGTTGTAATTTAGGCATGGATCGCTTTAGACGTTTTTCGAACGCAGTTTCTTCGGCTCGAATTACGGGTGGTAATGGTAATGGTGTCCAATTCGACCCTGCAGGAATCCAAGGAGGCTATAGGAAGGTTCATTCGCTTTATTCTTTTTTACTAAATGACTTACTCGTTTGGGCGCTGGTTCTTTATGTTTGGATCGGGTGGGTGATAAAGTGGGCGGTAAATACGCATTGCCAAGAATATCTGGTATTTCGCAATGCCCTGGACTTCGCCATAAAGGTATTTTTGTGGGCTATCTATATTAATCATTCACATCTATCGCTTGATTACTTACTTGATTATTCCATCGTGAATGACCTAATGATCTTCTCTTTGCCATACTGGGTTGTTGTTGTCTCGCTGTCTCTGAACGAGACTTTCTTAGTAATGAAGATTTATTATTATTTGTTGTTATTGTTGTTGTTGGCATGAAAAATGATACTATTTGGTATGTATAAACAAAAAAAGATAAAAAGAAAAAAAATGCGCTCATCTTTATATAGATTTGGTTACATCAAAAGGGAGTGGAATTCTTTGTGTGTACCACATCATTGTGATGGTCTGTGGTTGCATGACGTTTAAATATCTATTACTCCCAAACAAAGTATTCAATTACAATTAATCGACATAAAACTAATTATTTTTGTTCATGAATAACCTCCTCTTTATTTTAAATATTCTCTCTCTTTTTGCAAAGTGAAGTAATCAGTCATTCTTCCCCTATTTTTTAATATAAGCCTTGTTCTCACTCAATTCGAGTTATACTAAAGCTAATGATTGTGTTGGATGACTAAAAAAAAAATCTACTGCTTATTACAAACTATCAAGTGATAAAGAGTACAAACTGCATTTTTTGTACTTGATTCTTTGTAACACGTTTTTCTTTTTTCTTTGCATATGATCTTTATTCTATTGCTTTGGGCTAGGATATGTCAGAATCGAGAGAGAGGGACTCATTCGTTGTGCAATATTTTCATGTGAGCGTTAACCACAGTAAGTCTGGAATATTTATACTGCAGCTCAACCAAGAGTGGGAACACTGCATTCAATCTGAAGGACTACTTTTAATCCAAAACTCAGTAGCCATAGGTAAAGCATTAAAGAAAGTAGTTATATACATCGACTTTTTAATCAAAAGAAAGCAAAGACATAGACTGTCAGTGAAAGACATGTTGCTAAGAGGAGGTAATTCCCGCCCTTTGTGGTCCTTTCATATTTCCAAAAGTATCCATGGAAGAAAGATTTCGATGTGAGACTTTAGTGCGCAACACTTTGTTAAACGAAGCATTGCCTAGTGAGAGTAATCGATCCACCATCTAACAAGAGTTGAGTATTTTGAGACAAATGTCTGTGCCTTACTTTTTTATCTTCAAGCTCTAATAGGGTATCAATATCTTGTTGGTTTATATATAGAGGGGCATTTCTAGTGTACAGTTTATAGGATACAAGTTGTCGTTTTATTTCATTATCAATCTATAGAGCAGATAAGTCATGAATAGCATAGTCGTTACCTTTTTACCTGTTTGATTCTATCTAGAGGTGGATTTCTTCGCTTGAGTAATTGTTGGCGGTGGTTAAAACTGGTTTTGATTGAAGTGGCAACTGTGCTTGCTAAATCCAAGTTTTTGTAAGCCTTCTGTAGCACACCTATATCATCTGATAAACACGTCATGAATAAGAAGCACTTTTAAAGATACGCGCATTACCATGCATGTATTTCTGCTTTTCATGGATAATATCCAAGTCTTTTAAGAGTCGGTCCATTTTAGACAGCAGTTTTTGTCGTTTAGCCTAACTCAAGTGAGTCCAAGGGATGATGAATAATATATGCTTACAGAGTCTTGTTGTTGATGACAATAATGATCAATCAGACAGAGACGAGAGGCGGACTGTATGGCAGAATCAAGTGCAGCTTCAGCATCTAACAGCTTATCTGACGAACACGTATCTTGCAGCACAACTTCAATATATTCTGTACCATTCTCTACACTGGTTAATGCTTGGTCTATGAGTTCGAGTTGACGGACAAGTTCGTTCAGTTCTGCTGATTTACAGGTCAATAAGGAACGTAGATTGATGATAGTGTGTGTGCCCTAACCTTGTGTAAGGACGTGTCATTTTTTTTTTCTTTCTTTCTTTTTTACCTCATCTAATTTTCTTAGTAATTGTTGAACAATTTTATCGTCGCATAAAGATTTTTTTGGCATCGTTTGATGAATCATAGTAGAATAAGTCGAGAAAAAAAAAAAAGAAAAAAAAAAAAGTATACATATTTTTATTTTCCTCCCTTTTTTATAAAAAAAATTAAGGTTTTTGCCCTACTGAAGTTTTACAAGGTTTTGGTATAGGCGCATCTTCAGGTATAGGATCATGTAAAACGCGTCCGATTTTATGATACGTATGATGGTTTTGATAAAACTTTTTCCAGTGTTCAACTCCTTTAAGTTGGTCTTCAGAGAGTCCTCGTAGATCATGGGTTAAATGGTCTTTAAAGCAACCTGTGACATAAGCTCTTGCTGCATCTTTGCCTGAAAAATGATGATAACTGCCTCCTTTGCCATACCAACCACCACCCAAGGTCACATCAAATACGTCACCACTATAGTCATTAAATATCTTTGCTGTCAAATGAGATACGTTACTCAATAGCCAAGTAAATGGGTTTAGTAGGATCTGAACCATCGTACTGTGCCAATTCGGATTCTGTAAACATTTTCTCTTTTGTCTATACCAATGGATCAGTTCTAGAACAATGTTCAAATGAAGCTTACAGGAATATACGTATGAATATTCGTCCATTTTCCACGGTATCCCCAAGTCCATGTCTCAGTCACTAAATAAGAACCTAAAAAGAAAAACAAAATAGTCCAAGATAGACCAATAAGACCTTGGCTTAATAATGAAGTTTCTTTTTTTGCCATAAGAAAATTTAAAGAAAAAAAGAGAAATTTCTAGCTCATTTTGAATTTTTTTTATTTTTCAATAGGTGTAGCGTCTTTGAGTTTTCTTTCAGGTATCACTTGCATAAATGCTTTCTGCCAGTCACGCAATTCGAGCCATTTGAGCATGATTTCACAAACTAATAAATGTCACGCCATACATTTCTGATATGCTTCACTTACCTTGGTTGACAGTCAAGACTTTTCGAGTGGATAATGAAAGATAATCACCAATAGGCAATCGAGCTGTTGGGATGCCTTGTTGAGTGGCTTTGTCTTGACAGAGATTTTTGTACCTGTTCTTGTCCACAATGCCACCTACAATATAATGTTTGCCTTCTTCTAACTCATGAATGACATTATCCGAGTCTGCCGATAAATAGACTAAGGTATTGGGGTCAAAGACATCCATGTAAGACAGAATATGTTTCTGTAGTTGCCATTGTTGCCAACTGGGTAATTTTGAGTCCAACATGGATTGAAGTGGACCATCAAATGAAGTCAAGTGCATCTTCATGGCTTTGGGTGCTACCTTGTTTCGACCATATGCGTAGCTTAATTGTGTGACATACGAGTATAATTCCTGTTACGGCTTAAACACATCAAATCCATACACCCAACTTACTTTCTCCGTCATCAGCTCACTGAATCCACAGTCAATAACAAGGCCCATATCGATCACTTGACTTAATGCAGCCAATTTTTTTTTCGAAGGTTGTTTTTCGACAAGTCCTTCACGTATCTGTTGGCGTTTCTCTTTACGTTTTAATCGAAATTTTTCTCGTTGATATGTCTTGCGGGATTCTTTTTGTTCACTCCATACTTCATTTCTCAATAATTTCTTTATGGCCCGTTTGGATAATCCCTCGAATTTAGGGTCACTAATGTCATATTCTCTGCCCTGAAAATTTCGAATGGTTGACATAAGAAATAGAAAAAAAAAAAAGAAAAAAAGCGTGTGACTAATTTTCGTATCCTATCGGATTTTAAATGCACAAAAAAAAAGAAAGCGCAGTGATATAATTTCATTTCTCTTTCTTTCATATATCATGATCTTTGGAATTTATCATATTGTATGGATATTATGTATTCTTGTTCTTTTTATTACTATTCTGTATTGCTTTAAAAGAGCAGCAGCACAAAAAAGAAACACAACTATACCCCCATCCAATTATATTGTGGTCGACATGAACGGCAATCCAACACAATCTTCCACATACCCTCCTACGTATGCTCCACCACCAGTGCAGCCAAGTACATCTACTTATCGTCCTCCAGATGATTCAATTGAACCACCACCACCTTCTTATAAAGACTATCGAAAAGACTATCGAGTATCCTAATTTATTGATCAAATTTTAATCTGTACAGACTAGTTTTCATCGGTTGTAAATCCTATTCATAATAAATACACCTTGTTTTTTTTTTGCCAAGCAATTTGGTTACCTTGTGAATAATATAGGCATCACATTTAAAGCACCATACAGATAAGTCACTATAGCTTATGCAGACAGCATGGCCTGTTTCTTCAGCATGTTGTTTCATATGGCCTTGGCAGTAACGAGAGCAATAGACAGCTCGACAGTGGAAACATTGCCAGTTTTCTTTGGTTTCGTTACAAGCCCCACAAGGCTGATGAAATAAGTCGGGTTCTTTTTCCTTGATTTCATAATGAGGTATATGAGGACAATCTGTCTTGGGTTTGACTGCAAAAAAGCCTTCGTTCATTTGAGTATGGCTTGCCATTTTTCCACTTTAGAAAGAGAAGAAAAAAGAAAAAAGAAAAAAGAGTAGCACAGACCAAAAAAAGCATGATTTGGTAACGATACGTCATATTGGCTACACAAGCCCATCTTTTTATTTCCTAAAATAATAAACTAGCTGCCAAGTCTGGGTTACCTCCAGCCATTTCTAAAGCGTTCAATGCTTTCTATAGTTGCCATCAGTCAGAATTTATCAAGTGTGTTGTTTTACCTGTCGATCAACACCCATATCTGTCAAGAGTTTGATATCTTTCTCTGGGAATCGACTTGAGGATCCACTAGGTTGTACTGCTGATGTGGACGCTGATGGTGGAGGTGGTGTAGACACATGAGGTACAATGGTTCTTCCTTCAACGGCAGCTTCATCTTCATCACTCCCATGAATCTAACAAGGTTAATCGCACTGCAGATAATTCACTCATCACTTACTTCAATTCTTCGCTGCTTTTCAGGCAATTCATGCTCCGCTAAGAATGGAATGTCACAGGAATCAAACGTCAATGCATTTTTACGAAGATCAATACAAGCACGATGCTTTTTCAACATGTCAAGGCCAAACAAGAGCTCAGATCCTTTGCCTTCAACCACAATAAATGAGCATGTTAAAAACAAGTTTTGAGATAGTCGCATTTGTGCACTATGAATACGACCCAAAATTTTAGCAGTACCCACTCCTTTAGCAACACCACTAAAACGTGTGTCCAATAAACGCATCAGACCACACGATTCAGCTGTTTCGGGACTAACTATGTCCTGAGTTTAATAACATGATAGCTTACGCCATTCTACTTACTCACTGTGCTTTGGGCACCCGAATCAACAAGAGCCACAAGACGCTTATTATTGATTTCCACATTGATATACAGACGCGTCACCTATGTATTCAATTAGTCTCTGTAGACAAGAAGACAAAAACTTACTCTAGCAAACGATTCCGGGTTATATTCCATCGCTGCTTCCAAATTAGCAGCAATGTTTTCTTGTCGAATGGCATCTTCAATACGTTTTTGTGCTTCAATATCAAAAGGGTCACCGTTCAAAGCAGCCTGCTTGCGTGAGTTTAATTATGTGGCATCATACGCTTACAAGTTGAGATTTCTGAAGTTCAGCATGACGCCTTGTCTGTTCAATTTGTTGTACCATAGCTGAGAATCGTGCAGGATCATTTCGTGCTGCATAAGCAAGTTCTGGATTTGTCTAACAGAAACGCGTTATTTTATTATTATTTTTTATGTGTTTACTTACACTTTCAAGTTGTTGTAAGAGTCGAGGATCTCTAAGGACATGTTGACGCATCACGTCAAAATTAGGAAGATCACTACAAGATGATGAGTGGTTGGTTTCATTTGTCATTGTTTGTTCACCTCTGTTGTTGTTGTTGTTGTTGTTGTTGCATATGGATAATTTCATTTGGACTTACTTGATATTCCTCCAATGTCTTTTTGGCTTCAGTCAATTCTTTACCATTAAAATAAAGACGTTGAGAAGTGGGAGGAATACCAGACTATGTCTAGATTAAAATATGGGGTTCTTATGGGTGTAGTTTACCTCTGCTTCAAGTAAGGCCTTGACGTCCTCAATAGCCATTTGATTATCTATTTCAAGATTATACATCTCGTCTCCATCCGTAGTGACAGTAATAAGCATGATAAGGTATGAATAATAATAAGAAAGAAAAAGAGAAAAAAAGAAGAGGGCGCATTTCATTCTACTCTATCGGGCAGTTAAAAAGGGAGTTGCTCCATAAACATGGCGTGTGTAACCAGAAAGTTCTGGTAACATCAGTCAAAAGTCGTTGCTTTCATGTTTAGTAAGCATGAAGGCCATAAGCAAACACAGACATAAAGGTGTTGGTATACCATCTCAGAGGGATGGGTCAGCATTTGATTTAGATTAGGAGACGAGTATTACATGTACGACATTCGGATACTATATTTGTGTATTGCTTTATGCAAAAACTTGTCTTGTTTCCTAGAAAGCGTATGCTTATTAATAGCTTGGGTCAATAAAATACAAACGAGTTATTTGTTGAAAATGAAGGAAAAGAAAAGAGACATCCTCAATGTTAAACAAATCCATTTGAAGTAAAAGACAGGTTGATATTTGCTATTTTTTATTAGTGCAGCCAGCAAAGGCTACGGATAGAGATTGTTTCGAAGTATGCAAGGCATTTTTGTACACTAATTTGAATGAAGGGCCATAGGAAAGTTATTTGCTATTTTAGAGGAAAAAAAAATAACGAGAAACACTTGCACCAACGTTTATAATTATCTTATGTATTTTCCCTTTGTATCTCTTAAAATTGCGGCCACCTCTTGACAGGCTTTAGCCATAGTCTACGTGGAGCAAAAAATAAAAACCTTTTTAAAAAAAATAGAGGAAAAAAATATATCATCTATGATATATAACAATAGCCTACTAGAGTTACAACAATTACCAAGACGGAAAGGGAAAATGTTTCTCAATAGTTTATATACGGATGGCTATACCTGTCGTGTCAACTTCGCGAGAAATATACCTCAAGTTCCAAACGAAGATAAAATTGTATTAGAGCTTAGTGACTTTAACCAGGGCGAAATCGATGAACACTTCAATCCTTGTTTCTTGGACCCCAATAGAAACAGTCCCTATGTCGCCTATTATGGTGAGAATCAAGTCAGGAAACTGTCTAGCAAAGAATACTATTCCATGTCAGGATTGCCTAACCGATCAGAAAAAGAAGGTCAGTTGAAGACAATACAAGGGCTAAAGAAGCTGGAGACAAGAATCCCCACCCCAAAAACATCAAGCGTGGATAACTATGAGATACATGTAAATTACATGATGACACACCTGCCCAATTTTTTTGGTTTCTACAGCTTCCGGACAGCCTCAATCAGATGGAAAAACTACGTTGGCCGACAATGTGCCTTAGATGAAGCTGTTAATATTTTGTTAAGTGGTGGCAAAAAGTATAATCCAGCAAAAAGGAAAAGAACAAAGTCCAACCGACGAAAAAGAAAGAAAATGCTCAACAGACGAATTCCAGGAATTCCCCACCTCCCAGTTGATATAACGTAACATAATTGCATTCTATTACTTATAGTGTTTATATATTAAGCTTCTTTCAACTTAGATGGCCCTTACACAAGAATAATTTTACGGAAATGGATGGGGAAAAAATGCCTTTAATAATCTTTGGTAACGGCATGAAAGGAAAAGGCCATGTCAGATTCAGAGGAAAGCGTGTCGGTGTCTCTGGAATTATATACAGACATTTAAAAAGACGAGAGAAGTTAGGTGAGCTATCAGTGTTGGACATAGACGAATTCCGTACGTCATCTGTAAGTCTTTTGACATACTGTTAAATTGCATTGACTCTGAATATTCTTGTGCATAAAATACTAGGTTTGTGACACATGCCACCAGATGAACTTTCGCAATCACCGTGATCAAGACATATCATTCCATAGTATATTAATTTGCAACAATTGTAATATATATTGGAATAGGGATGTTTTAGCAAGCAACATGGCATATATTTCAGCACAAATCTGGTCTGGAAGTGGACGACCAGTTGTTTTTTCTCGGCCTAATAGGCAAAGCGCCACATAGAACGTGGTTGTTTGTTGCCCTTTTGGTGACTAACTTAAAGATACTACAGGTAGGAAACAAACAATTATATTTGTATTTAGTCTAAAATCATTTCTCTTTTGTCTGATTTCCATTTTGGTATCGTCTACAAAAGGTGAGCGAAACATATAATCTTTATAGGTCTACAAAGAAACTAACATTTTGTTTAAAACTGGATTTGTTCCACTTTGATCCGTTTTCGGATGTGCGTCCCATTTTCACATTTCTGTCCCATTTTCCTAATTTTGCAACTCTGTCCCAATCTAATTTGGAAACGACCAAAAAAAAAATAGTTGGCCCAACCTAGTTTCGTCGGCTGTATGATTGAAGAGTATTCTAAATTTTGGCCGTAGGAAATTCTGAGCGGTTCGGACCGGAACATAAACTTTCATTGTAAGTTTGAAGTGATCCTCGCCTCATTGTTCAAATGATGATATTTTTTACGTTCGAACTTGCCTATGATGTCCGTTGAAGCCTAGATACCCTTTTTTCTATTAACTAAACTACAGTGAGTCAACTGAGCAAGAAAAAAAAAAAAAAAAAAAAGAGAGAGAGAGAGAGAGAGAGGGGGGGTATGTATGCAATGCTAGTGCTTGTCTTTCTATAAAATACATGTCAGTATAGCTAATACCAGAGACTCTCAAGATATCGTCATATTTATATCCTATCCTATGTTATGCTTTCATACTGGATTGTAAATTTTTGGTTAGATCAAATCACAAGCACCATGAATATCTTCTGCGAATGCAAGTGGCTCATTTTATCTTGAGAGAAGGATCAGTATAGCTAATCTGAATAAACAGTGCATGTACAGAACCGGAAATGGCGATTTTAAGATCCTGTGGGAATTGGTTACCCGCTCAATAACAGAAATAAGGGCATCATTCTCTGCTTTTTTTCTTCTTCTTCTCTTCTCAGCTTTCTTATTATTACATGACTGATACTCTTAAAGACATTCCTGAGTTCTTTGAGAACGAACTTGGCGAGTCAATCACGGCACGTACAGACGCCCTGGGTAAGAAAATAGACTTGTCCCTTATGAAAGTTAACGTGTGCTTTTTTATTTTTTTAGGCACTTTTCGTGAATTAGGTCCACCCGATTTATGTCATATTATAAAAACACACGCCAAAGTTGGCATGAAAGAGGCAAGGGATTTAGGATGAGAGTCATGTGGATTCTGACATTGCTCTAGCTTGGTAGTTATCACTACGTTTCTGGTGTCGATGCTTCGTCATCTGCTACACTAGCAGCCTACTTGAACTCATTGACTTATTTATTGGTATATATCAACTCACACATTGGAGCGCACTAAACAACTTGCTAGGATGATACACAGTCATGGTTCTCTAAATCCAATGCTTGGCGAATTCGTTCAGGCATTTATTGGTAATTATTGATTTTGCATTATCTTTCAAAGCTGATCCATATCACTAGTTGTTTCAACGCGTTTTCTCGTGTGGATGTTCGTGTTGAAGTCAAGATTCCAGGTGGTGTTGAGAGTTATTATGTGGATGTGAGAGGCGAAAGGTAACTTTGTGTGTGTGTGTGTTGATGCGACAGATGTTGATGTACCCTCTAGACATGAAGCAACAGCCGCTATTTGGCAAGAAACCTATTTATCAGCCGTACTTCGTGCTATTCTTTACTCAGATGACAGTTATTATCGATTGGCTGGCTACCGAAAGATTGACCCCATCACCAACTTGGCCGGAGAACAACGATTTTTGGAAGCAGTGGAACAACTCTTTTGGCGAGGATGGCAACTCGGTAGTAATCCAGAGATTCAGACAGCCACCACAGTCCATAACCATCTGACTTCAGGTGTCATGAAGTATTTCGGCGATAGTTTTCGTTATGGACCTGCTATTGAACTGTATGAGAAGCTAAGAAAAAAGGATCCTGAAGTGGGTGCCTTGTTGGCACAATCGTTTATTGGTCAAAATCAAGAAATGAAGGCTGTGAAAGTGTTAAATGATGACTTGAAGCGTATGCCTATGAGTTATTCTTTATTGCATGTTCAGATTGATTTCCTTCGTAGCAAGGTAATAAGCTATACTTATGGCTCTTGATCACTTATTGTTATAGGGTGAATATGAAATGGCCTTGAAACTAGCTAAATTTGCAGTCAATACAACACCCTCAGAATTCTTAACATGGTCAAAACTAACAGAAGGTAAGCCAGTCATTCATACTTGAGACCGTCTTAACTTTAACTGTAGTCTATATTGATATTGGTGACTATAAGAATGTAATTCATGATTGATTGAGCTGTATTATTAACCTAATCGAATAGGCTCTCTTGACATTGAACTCTTGTCCCATGTTTACATACAGTGAGCGTGATATGCATCGCATGCCTGCACCCATCAAGACACATTTGCCTATCAAATCTGATATTTTGAATTCTGGTATCATGGAAGAAGATGCAGCTGGAAGAGAGAATGAAGCGGATCCTAACTTGGCAAGATTACCTGCTCCTGCTTTACATGGCACATTTGCCAAAGCCTATTCTCTTTTGACTCGTTTGGCAAGCAAGATTGGATGGGATGATTTACTGAAATGTAGATCACAAGTGTTTGTTATGGAAGAAGAATATCGTATGCAAAAAGCCAAGGAAGATGTTCAAAAATCAAGTACATCCATCAACAGAGAAACAGAACCTACAGAAAAGGAATTGAGTGTCAAAGAGAAAGAAACGGTAAAAGAAGACCCAGTTGAGAGCGCATCAAGTAAAGAAGAAGAAGAAGTCGACAACAAAGAAGAAGATGACAAAGAAGAAGAAGGCGACAACAAAGAAGAAAAAGAGGATGAACAAGTAACAGATCAGATGGATAATATTGATTTAGATGCTGATGAAGATTCTCAGCCAGTTAAAGTACAGCATACTCCTCTTGAACGCCCTGTACAAGCTGCTGAAGATAATTCAAAGGTTTGTTGTGATAAAGAGACAATAGCTTATATTGTTTTGATAGGCAGACAATGCTACTGCTGATGAAAAAGTACCTTTAAGCACACCACATCCAAGTGATGGTGTCAGCTTTTCATTTAGTAACAAACGCCTTTGTGAACGTTGGTTGGACAATTTATTTATGGTATTATATGAAGATTTGCGTATCTACACTTTTTGGAGAACTGAAGCTGCTCATTATCGTGCACAACAATTACCTTATCGAAAGACAGGTACCGAATGGGAACTTTTGGGTGATCTTGCACTTAGATTGTGGCATGAAATGGAAGCAAAAGAAGCATATGAACAATGCTTGAACCATAAGTTTTCTGCTAAGGCTTGGATGAAGCTTTTAGAAATCTATGTGACTGAACCTAATGTTCAAAGGGCTTTGTTGGCTGCTGTCAAATTGACAGTATACCATGAACGTTGGTATCATGAAATTGTGGTAAGTATGAATACAAAAGGAGAATGTCACTAATTTAAAACATAGTATCCAAGTGAGATTGCTCGTAACTTAAATATAATTATTCGTAGAGAAGGTCTTTCCAAGATGCAAAATATGCTGACTTCTATGAACTTACCTCGTCCTGTTCAACAGTTGATGACACGATACTTTGATTATGCTGAGCTCTTTAAAGTAGAAGGCTATGAATTCTAAAGAGTATAAAAAAAAATTACACAATAACATAGAATAATAATTCTTTACACTTTATTCTCAAATGCTTGAAATAAAAAACATAATGCAATCGTACATGATCAGTTCTTTTACATTCTATAGGTCTTCTTCATCAATCACAATCTCAGACTCTATTTTCATTCGCTTCATTGGCATTCGTTCTTGTCTACAATCATTATTGATTTTGTTTTCAATATCAATCTCTTTACAGAATTCGACAGTTTGAGGGTTAAGGAATGGATACTCTGACAAAAATCAATTATCAATCTATTTTTGTCCTAAGTGACTTACGATTGTCCCAAATAGCTTGACGATCCATCTGAACACCAGGCATATAACCAGGTGCTGTTGCTTCAAAGTTATGCGGTATTTTTAAATCAAGTGAGTTTGACTCTTGTTTTGCCACTAAATAAGCTCTTTCTTTTTCAATCAAAGCCTTTAATTCATCATGCGATGGTAGTGGTGTTTGTTGATGACCTGTACTTAAAAAGGGGTGCATAGCCCTAGTAATTGAGAGCCACTCCATATCATAATAAAAGTCATAATCTCGGTTCGCATCATTAGGAGAAGGAATATCGATAATTTGCAAGAACTGTCTCTTTGGCAAACATTTGTCTAAACTAAGAAACTTTGTTAATGTACTATTCTCCTCACTGGATTCTTGTATATCATCCTCGTCAAGTATAATTTCGTCTGGATTTTTGGGCTTGAATTGATCTAATATGGCTTGTGTCTTGGGTGGATATTGACCTTTTTGCCACATATCATGACGGACAATGGCTGCGTAATGTACGTGTAGATGAGCAGAAAACCAATAGGAAGGTTTTAGTTGAGACAAAATCAATTCATTAGGATAACTTCCGAGTGTGTTTGACATGATCTAAAGAAAGTCAATTTTCTAAAGACAAAAACGGCTTTTACCTCAGAAACAAAGTACTCTTTTATCTTCATCAAGTGGCCTAAATCACCATATCTTTCTACTCCTCTTGGCCAGTCGTGTGATAGAAATATATCCATAGGCTCCTTGATCTGAAGCAGTTTCTGAACATCATATTCTCTTACATGGTACGCACTTCGAATATCTGATTGGTTATAAGGAGATTTTTCATAATGTCCCTTCTTATAGTGGTTTTCTTTTGCAATGCCTGACAGTCCACCAATGCGCAACCCACCAAATTCAATGACACCAGCATGTCCTAGGTAGTAGATATTATCGCATACCCAGCCACCATGATATAACTCCCACAAATAGTTGCTAGCCTCATGGTTGCCTCCAATGAAAATAGTAGGATAAGGAGCTCGAGCCTGGCCTGTATAATACTTCCAAAATGTACCCAAGTTTCGATATTTGGGTGGAACAGCCATACAATACATATCTGATTCGTTTCGAATAGCCTAGAATGGCCTAAGTATCATACACAAGCGCGAGTGAAAGTTACCTGGAAATCACCACAGATTAAGACGAGATCTATCTTACAGTTTTCTTTCTCTTCGACAAGACGAATAGATCCATAAATGTCGTCAAGTTGGCCATGACAACAGCCTTCAATTGCAATCTATTTTCAAGATCAATATTTACGATAGACACACATCTCAAACTACCTTCATCACAAGTCAATTAAGCAAGAAAATAATCAAAAGGCGCTTTCACAAACGATTTTTTGAACGAGGACAGATAAACTGTGATTTTTATTTCTTGCACGTAACAATTGAAATTGGAAGTGCTGCTCAACAATTGATAGAATAAAAGAACAATAAAGAGAATCAATTATAGAAAAGGCAACTATTCGTCAACGAAAGTGCCTTCAGCATAACAGCACTGGATCGCTAACTGTAGTGAATGGAAAGACAGCAAGAGGAGAGAAGGGAACGTTATGAGCGAGTTGGAGCCAGTGAAAATTCCAGACTTCAAATAGTTCGATAGTCAATAACATAAGCAGGGAAACTGGACATGAAGTCAGTATTCGAATATGTTGGAATCTTAAAAAGATCATTGCGTCATGTATATCGTCTATGGTGGAGCCAAGCCAAGCATGTTCGTGAATAAGATGGTCTCAATAGATGAATTTGGTAGGGCAACGAAAAAGGAAGTGATAGATGTCCTTAACATCACCACAAAAACAGCAAGAAGGAGAAGGATACTGATTATAAGGAGTTGTGATAATAATTAATGATTAGAAATCAGACGTTGTAGTAACATTGCACGGTACGATAGTGAGTGCCATATGTGTACTAAAGTTAATACATGGAGAAATATATGTGGATAATGACATTACATGGTATATGTAATCAGAGTGTTATTTTCTATACTGGTATGAGAGAAAATGTCTACGCTGTAGAGTTAGAGATAGATATTTACTATGTGTCTTATGATACTGTTACATTCCAGTCGCTGTCAGCAATTGTAGTCTTTCTCTCATTTCTCTCTTGATATCATTACTTTCATTTTTATTACTATTGTTATTATCTTTTTACTTTCTCATCTTACTTGAGACTACTACTTTTGACATGATCATCGTTGTGATATTGTAAGAGAGAAGATAAAACAAAAAAGTCAGTTAGAACTTGTATAGGTTTATTATCGAAAAACTACGATGTGATATCTTGAAGACAAAGATTTATAAGAAAGATAATAAAGAGACAAAGGTAAATACTTTGAAACTGTTTTGTTCCTTCTTGAACATGAATTATTCTAGCGTATCTATACATTTAATAGTGTTCGCAATCAAGTCAAGCTTGAAACCGCTCGACTTGATTCAGGCGTGGTGTTGCATACACAGCATTATTCATCTCTTCTTACACTAGTTATGTACTAAAAAGAGCAAGTATTAATGTCATGTATAATTCTAGGTCGAAAGAAATTCCTCGTAAGAATTTCTTGAGACCATCAGAACAAAATAGGAAATAGGATTGTGCTAGAATCTTCTTGAAGCTTTATTTCGAGCGAATTCAAAGAATATATAAAGGAAAAAATTCTAATCATTATACTATCAATCTTCTTTTCGCTCGGTCATTACCAGCAAAACTTTGCAATAACATTCTACACATTTCTTATGTCCTCTATTGAACAACAATTCCAATTGATGCAGCAACAGATTGCTGCTCTGCAAGAACAACTCAACAACACCAATCTGGTATCCATGCAGTCAGCGGATGACACTGCAACTCGATCTCTCGATTCTATGAGTACTCGCCCTCATTACGACTGGTCCCCTTCGGAAGCCCTTACGGAAGTCATGAATTTGGATGCTCCTTTGCACACCTCTCCTATGCTTTCGGATTCGGAACGAAAAATGATCATTGAATCTTACCCTCCAATGGCTCACATGGAGTATAAGACCCCAGCAACCATTCCTACGGCTGAACGTTTAATGAACAAAGGTCAACGTTATGAAGATACCAATCTCAAGCACCTGCAATACCTTTTGTCGGCTGCATTCCGCCCGTTGGATATCCTCAGTCATGAACTCGTTTTCGCAGAATCTGACAATCCTAATTTGGAACATTATTGTACCATGTTAGGCGATGTCCGTAAGCTATTGCTGCACACCAGTGCAGCAATGACTCAGTCTCGTAACAACATTGCCCTTAGGGCTGTCAACCCTTCGTTTTCGGTGAAATCTGATTCGGAAGCTTAGTATACTCTTCCCTTGGATGAATTCCAAAACACGTTGATTCAACAAACGGCAGCTCGTAAGGCTACTCGTGAAGCCACGGTCAACCGTCGTCAACGATGTCGTTTCCAACCCGGCAACACCAACAACGGTAGCTCTACCTCTAATGGCTTCAATCAAGCGTTTTTTTCGGCCAGGTCCACCCTCTCAGCAGGGTGGTTTCAACAATAACACCCACAATGTCTCTTCCAACAGCAACTACAGCAACAACACCAGTTTTCGACAAGCCAACAACAACAACAACAACAACAACAACAGCTACAACAACAACAACAACAGCAAGAAGTCCAGCAATCCTTTTCGCCAGTAGACTCAGCAATCACAGACACCAACAACGATCCAGTAGGGTGTCGTTTCAGCAAGTATTTTACAAAATGGCTCACAATTTCCAACAACTCATTCGTCAACACCACAATTCAACACGAATATCAAATTCCTTTCCACACGCAACCACCAGTAACTACAACCCCAACACCAATAGTCGCCTTTTCTCAGGAACAATCACAACTTATAGATCAAGCAATTCAAGACCTGTTACAAAAGTCAGCAATCGAGAAAGTGTCACCACAGCAAGTTCAGGAGATTCCAGGCTACTACAGCTCGATGTTTGTCATCCCCAAGAAGAACGGGGGCATTCGTCCTGTCTTCAACCTCAAGAAGTTGAACCAGTACTTGGAAGCTCCACATTTCAAGATGGAAACAATCAGGGAAGTGTCATTATTAATCAATCCGAACGATTATCTAGTGTCCATCGATTTATCCGACGCTTTTCTACATATAGGGCTCCACCCGGAATCGAGGCGCTTTTTACGGCTCAAATGGAAGGATCAGGTCTACCAATATTGTACGACAGCTTTTGGATTGGCGCCAAGTCCTTATGTCTTCACAAAAGTCTGCAGGCCCATATTAGAGCACTTCCGATCTCAAGGTTACAAGATCTCCGCCTACTTGGACGACTGGATTCTAGCAGCAAACTCAAAGCAATTGGCCCTTCACCAAGCACAAACGGTGGTAACACTGTTTCAGCAATTAGGATGGATTATGATTCTGAAGAAATCGGTGTTGACTCTCACTCAATCATTGGAACATCTAGGCTTCTTGTTGAATACTCGGACAATGACAGCAGCCCTTCCTTTGAAGAAGCTACGCGACATTCGTCGCTCTATCAAACAGGTGTTGGACAAACCAACTCGACAATCGCCTCGTGTGATACACAGTCTAACAATGAGGATACAAGCAGCAACGTTTGCAATCTTCCAGGCACGTCTCTACACTCGGCATCTCCTATATCTCAAGAATCAAGTGGTGAAATCCGAAGCAGACTGGGACAAACCCCACCTTCTGGACCTAGCAGGCAAAGAGGAATTGCAGTGGTGGTACCACAACCTGAAGAAGTGGAATGGTCGGTCTCTCCTCCCATTAACTCCCTCCAAGACAATCTTCGTGGATGCCAGCAACACCGGTTGGGGTGCAGTCTAGGGATGAAGCGTACTCACGGATACTGGACGCAGGAAGAAGCGAGTCAATCGATCAACTGGAGAGAGTTGAAGGCGGCTCACCTTGCCCTAGAAACGTTTCAAGGACTGCAGAACTCAACAATTCTGATTCGAACAGACAACACAACCAGCTTGTCTTACATCAACAAACAAGGTGGAACGAGGTCGCTATCCCTTCTGAATCTAGCAACAGAGATGCGTTCACATGCCAATGGAGTCAGTGGGACTGTTGTGAGATGAAGAGAGAGTAGATATTCAATAAGAGAAAAGGTAAGAACACAGAGAAAGTCCGTTAGAACTTGTATAGGTTTTGATTTCTCCTAGAAATGTTGATTTCCAATTGCTATAAAATGTCAAGGTATTTGTGATATAATCACTAATAAAATGGTCAAATCAATAAGTCGATTAGAACCAAAACGGCCCAAAGAAGTCCTCTTTATTAAAGGTTATATTTTGTATTGTATTTATACTGTTTGTATGATAATTGATTATCCTTAATTTGGGACTGAGTGTGTATACACTAGCTAATCGGTTGAGTGGATTAAGGTACACAAGAACTGGGTACATGATCAGGGCACAGACCTCGTCTACCATTGGTATTGATGCAGATGTCAATTTGTGATTATGTGATGGTCTGATCTTTAACATGTTTAAACTAAGATAGAAGACATCCATCGAAGCTGCGGATAAAACTGTGATTGAAAGATATATTTATACATGATATTAATACTTGCTCTTTTAAGGCATAACTAGTGTAAGAAGGGATGAATAATGCTGTGTATACAACAGTATTTATACTTTTTCTTCTCGGTCAAAATATTATTTTGGGCTAGCTTCTTGACTACGGATTGATTTGTTAGATCAGGAGCAATTAAGAGAAATGCCTTTAGAGGAAGTTGTCAGCTCAGCCAATAGTACATGATCTGACCTGAACTTGAATAAGCTATTACATATTTGTTAAATGCCAATGCTAATGTATTTGTCAGCTCTAACTGTCACTTTATGAGGGCCATAAATAATAACAGAGTCACTAGGTTCATAATCTCTGACTATGAGGATGATGTAGTACTTCTAGTAGAATGAGTGAATGTCAGTGACTATAGATCCATTGCAATTGCCATAGATGTGATCTGGTTTTTTGCCATGATCATCATATATTGATCTATGCATATGAATTCATATATGTTCACAACATCGTCCACGAGGGGCAGAGTTTCGCCATACAATGTCAATCGAGGGCCATCACAAGGTGAGTTTAGAACTGCACACTTGGCCGGACTCCAACGATATCCAAGGGAGCAAGAATGCTCAGCAGCAAGGTTCAACATATGCTGGACTTGACTACGAGAGCCGAAAATCGCAACATCATCCGCAAAAAGAAGACAATTCAGAGGAATTGCATCAGACATACCAGGAGGACATACCAAAGTAGTACCAGCCGTAGCAGCAGAACGAAGGAGAGAAGGTAGAGAGTTAATGTACAAAGAGTACAAGTGCGGAGAGAGAACAGAACCTTGCAGAACACCCGTGACAGGCTGAAAGGGAGTAGAAGAGTGGTTGACTATCAGCACAGATACTTGTACGTCGTCAAACAAGTTGACTAGTAAAGCAAGCACAGGCCGAGGTAGAGAGAAGCGAGCCAGTACATCCCAGATGACACGTCTGTCGACAGTATCATAAGCAGCCTTGATGTCAAGAAAAGCAACAACAGGACGGCGATGGTTGGTTAGAAAGTAATCATGCATCAAGTCATGCAAGCATAGAGCTTGATCCAGAGGACTACGTTGAGGACGAAAACCACCTTGCGCAATGTCCAGTGTAGGCGAGTGTTCATGAAGACAATCAGCTATTGTAAACTCAAAGAGCTTACGCATGACTGATGTCAACGAAATCGGTCGATAGTTGGACGGATCAGAGGGATCACCTTTTTTGTGTATCGGGTATACATTAGCAAGACGCCAGAGAGAAGGAGTGTGAGCCCATTGATAACACAGGGAGAACAGGAGAGACAAAAGCGGGGCAAGGTCCTTGGTCACGGCCTTCAGCATTTCTGCTTTCAGGTGATCGCTTCCAGGTGCCTTCCGAAGAGGTAAACGCTTGATGTGATCCATGATCGTGTCTGCTGAGAACATATCCAAATTGGATGGCAAGACAAAAGGAACCAAACTATCACAGGAAAGTGGTGGGGGTGGACGAGATTCTGATGGGGGCAACAGAGAGCCAGCATAGACCGAAGTCAAGTGAGTAGCCATAGCATCTACTGAAGCTTTAGGACCATCTTTGTGAGCATAAGTACCGGAACAATCACGTCTTCTTTTCATACGAGAGAGGGTGCCAGTGGCTTTAGAAAAGTCTTGTTCCAACTGAGCACAGAAGTTCTTCCAAGAGAGACGCTTAGCTTTAGCAACAAGACGACGAAAGTGACGATGTGCATCATGATGCAACGACCACCAGTAAGCTTTGTCAACACCAGAGGCATGACGCCACCTACTATAACAGCGATCGCGTTCTCGAGCTGCTGATTCGATATCAGGAGTCCAGTACTTCTTCCACCATTTTCCAGACCGATGTTGTCTTGCACCAACCGACCCATCCAAAGCCTCGTAGAAGCACCCATTAAGAGTAGCATTCAACTCGTCAATATCAGGGCGTGCAAGCGGTGGCGCAGAGACCAGCTGACTCAGAGTAGATTCCAGAGGAACTACAAGCGAGCGAAACTTGCTTTGGAACAGTGCCAGAGGTTCCTTTTCCCGCAAGCGAGATAGGTTCCAAAGGCGTCGTGGAGCAAGACCGTCAGAGCCAGCATGAGCCCCAGATCCCAAAGTAGAATCAAAGTCGAATGACAAAGTCATCAACCGGTGATCAGACCCAAGGGAGAGATCAGATTCTACTGCGACTTGAGCACCACACATATTCCACGAGGAAATATTTGTAATGAACAAATCGATAATACTACTCATTTCTATACCACGTCGAAACGTTGTAAAGGTGGGCACACCACGACAAAGAGTAGTATTCAGCACAGCCAGGTCTCGTTGTTCAAGCCATGCACGCATAGCAAGACCACGCGAGTTGGTAGCGGAATCACCAGTGAAATCACCAAAGCGAGCATTAAAGTCACCACAGAGGATAGAGTCAGAGTTGAGAGGAATAGAGGAGAGGGCGGATAGCACCAGCTCATTAGAGAGACTGGGTGGAAAGTACGAACAATGCACATTGACTGCTCCCATTTTGAGTGAGAGAGTATATGCATTGAAAGACGGCAACTGGGTGACAGGAAAAGGACAGGAAGGAGAGACAAGAGCAGAGACACCACCAGAACCACGGTTGTTTGCACCAACTACCTTTGATCCATATAGATGGTATTGCGACCAATCTATAGGAAGATAGCCGGCGGTGAGCCAAGTTTCAGTGATAAGTAGGATACTGGTGGTCAAGACATGTGATATAACATCGTGGATGGTCGTGGTTTTTAGGCCATTCGCATTCCAGATGCTAATTGAAAAGGAGCGGAGAGGGTTTGTTGTTTCTTGTACAGTTGATGGAATATTCATTAATATTCCATTTCAGACTCATTGTCTGAAGCACCAGCTGACTTGAACAAGAAAGCAGCCGATTTGGGGTCTTGCTTCTCCAAACGAGCACGAGCAGCAGAGAGAACAGTCTTGAGATCATCGTGATCAATCCAACCCAACTCCATGAAAGAGCGGGCAAGAGGACCAACAACGACAGGGCGAACAAAAGAGAGAGTATCAAGTGCACGGTCATGCACAAGAGAGTGCATTTGTTGAGCACGGTCATCAACAGAGAGAGC